GGACCTGACAGGATTGGGGGTAAATGTTCCAGTAACACACCAGCTATTGCAAATAGCTGTCTACCCTAGAGTAATGCTCAAATAGTAAGTAAAAATGGTACGCTGCACCACCATTAACCATGTTCTTTACAAGCATGACCCACAGCTTCATTTGTAACAAAACTATATTTATTTGGCTAATATCAGGCAACACTGCTGCCCCCAAGGACATATTAAAGGTGTTTGTGTTTTGGATGCAAAGTGATAAGGTGGGCAGGCCTATCCCTATTTGTTAGGTTGATGCCATCATATCAGACAGGCCCAGTAGAGTGCAACCTATTGCTCACATATGCTTCCACACAGCCCAGCTTCTTATTCGTGCATCAGGTCTGAGGGGACGTGGGTTAGGAGTGATGCGTAATCTCGTGTTCATTTCAAAGAATTTGTAATCTTCACGCCCTTGGTGCCAGAAATTTAATCTGACAATGTCCGACACACATCTAAAGGGTTCGTGATGGATCCAGCCTGTAACGTCGTAATGCTTGAACAGACCGATCGAGCAGAAACCATCCACACCTTTTAGTCTGTGTGGTCCATCTCTAAATGGGGTCACTGCCCAATAATCAAAAACATATCTCAGGAGATGCTATTCGAGCTGTTGTCATCAAAGGCTGCAGAGTGACAGCCTAGTGGACTCAAATAGGAGCACTAACTACAAGCTGAGCGCATCATCTTCCCAGCACGTTCGAGGCGCAGCACGCATCTCGCCCATGAATCTCCGCCAGTGGTTTTGGTCTTTTTTCGGCAACAATGTGTTAAACCACTGGTGATCACACCGACTGCTCCACTGTGGCTCTGCCTGAGCCAGACTCGCCCCTTCCCCACTTACCGGATTTGAAAAACGCCGCTATGTCTGCCGCGTCCTTCGCAGCCTCATCTAGTCCCTCTCCTGCGCTCATGGCTGTGTTCGGTTGTGCCGTAATTGCGATAGATATCCTCAAAGGGTTTAATTGTAGCGATAGTAATTTATCAACAAAAGCGGATCCTTTCGCCTTTCATTGAAGCAGATCCGGTCATACAATCTGTGCTCTCTTCATTAAGCGAGAGACCTCCTCCTCCATTTTGGCCGAGAAGGGAAAATCCTGGCGACCGATCGGCGGCGCTCCCGAGTTGGGACGTGAGGGAGAGGACGAGGAGGAGGAAGAGGAGGAGGAGGAGGAAGGGGGTGATAGTGAGAGAAGGCGGAGGTAAAAAGAGGAGGGGACGAAAACTGAGGAAGGAGGGCTATTCCGCTGGTGGGTGGGGGTGGGATATCCTGGGATTCCGTTTCGGGGGGTTTTGGTGCATTGTGCGCCACCCAAAATTAGTGTGCGCCACAGCACACCAGCAGCCCACAGCGTCACTCACTGCGGTGCTGATGCGGGCTGCGTGGGAGTCATTCTTCAGGATTGTAGCCTATGCTTCAACAGCCAGAGCCCAGATGTGTGTAAGATGTCATAATGACACACCGTGGATATCCCCGATTTTGTCTTCCAGTGTGAGTTAGGAGGCTAATAAAAAACGCGACTAAACCTATTTTATTTCACCTTTATAAAATGCACTTCTTGCAGTAACGTTGGTTATTTATACCCATGAGGTCATTGAGCTGTAGCCCATTATTTAGTTTCCGAACGATGTCCTGCATGATTACAAGTTGTTCAGACGGTTTTTTGTTTTTTTTTTGCTTTCAATATAAATAACTGGTAGCCTAATATTTTCTGCGAATGATGGGGTTCGCATGAAAATGATGAGGAAGGAATTCTTTCTTCATCTCCCAGTGATGAAGATGATGCTTGGGTATGAGGTCATTTGCCCCACAAATCTAACCCACTTCTTCCTGACAGCTGCAGATCAGTCCTTTTGAATAGGAACGGTGTACTGCTGCTATCTAGTGGTTATATCCACTAATTACTCAAGGAAGATGAGCATCTGTGCGCCAACCTACAAGCAATAGCTACAGGGCAGGCTAATCTGATTTATTTATTATTTATTTTTACAATTTGAACAATTAACTTTCATATTGGCCTATTTCGTTAAATGTAAAGTGAAATGCTTTGGCCTTTTTGTTTTAATTTCAATTGCTTTAGTTTACGATTCAATTCAATTCAATTCAACTTTATTTATATGGCACTTTATATGGCACTTTTCATACAAAAACCACAATAATGACAAAAACCCAACCCTCCCACCTACATACACACTCCCATGGACCCACACGCACACAAAGACTCACACCCACCCTCACTCACCCACACATACACACACGCACAACCGCACACAGTGTGAGAATTTAAGATATTTTGTTAAAGAGACATGGCCTGACACCGAGACATTACATGAGGAAAGAGCTACCTTTAGGAAACACTGGAGAAAAAAATAGAGATAAAAATTGTGAAAAGAGTATAACCTGATGGACTAAAATAAGAAAATAATATTAAATGAACAAATAAGTAAAAGGGGTAAAAGAAGTAAAAAAACTGTGACGGGAAATTAAGAAAAAGACTAAGAAGAGAGATAATAAATAGAGTGACATAAAATAAACATTAAGAGCTTTGATTAAAATGAACATTTGCAATAAGATAAATCTAAAATGGCAATTAGTAAAAAGCCTGGTTAAAAAAGTGAGTCTTGAGCCTCTCCCAAAAAATATCAACAGTCTCTGCAGCCTTGAGGCTTTCCGCCGCCTCGTGTGTTTTTGTTTTGTCTTTGGGTAAGGTTAAAAGGCCTGTGCCAGAGGACCTCAGGGTCCGTGAGGGTTGATATGGTAAAAGTAAATCAGATAAATAGGAGGGGCCAAGCCCATTAATACATCTAAAAACTAATAAAAGAACCTTAAAATTCAGTCAGAAATACAGTATCTGATATTTTTAGAATATTTCCTTAGATCAATCAAGAAAGGATTTTCATTACAAAAATGTCAGAAATGTGCATTTTTACACTCAGTATTTGGCAGGGACAACTTGACAATGATTCTAAACCGCAGTGGCCGTCAGCCTGTGGCACTGCTGAGGTGTTACTGAAGTCTGGGATGCTCTTATGGCCACATTAAACTTATCTGTATTTTTGGGTCAGATGTTTCTCCTCTTTCTTTTGACAAATATCATACAGATGGGCTTCAGGTCAGGTGACTTTGCTGCCTAATGAAGCACAGTGATATTGTGCTCAATAAACAATTTAAAGGGATATTCCGGCATAAAATTAATTTAGGGTCAAACGCACCGTAACACTGAGTTAGACACCTCATCGAGAGATGAATGTTGCCGACCAATTGCTTCTCTAGTTATATCAACTTTAGTAACGACAGCACGATAGCAATACACAGTGGTCTGAGGAGCCACACACTTATATATACACTCTTATATACAGTCTATGGTGTATTCCCGATCAGAAAATAACCTGGCCAATCAGAGACCGTGTTTCCACTGTTACCCGGACTACAGGGAGAGGCAGCCCCTGATTGGTCCATGTGTAGTGGTGACGTCTAACACATGCTGCGGGACTTTTCAAAGCCCCGTTCATTCAGAACGCCTTTAATTCTGCAGTTGACGCTGCAAAGTCGGCAGAAATCGTTTATATCCGACGTCTTCTGCGTATATAAACGATTTCTGCCGACTTTGCAGAGTCAGCTCATTCCCAGTCTAAAATAAAATTCTATCTGACTGTCCCTGTCCATTGTGTCGCTTTTGCCTCAACCTTTGATCCGAGAGGTGCGCTCGATTTGCTTACCCAGCCGTGCTGGAATTATTTTAATAGTATTAATTAGTATTTCGTGCGCACAATATACCTGTTTCGTGCGAACAAATTAGTATTTCATGCGCACGTTATAGCTATATTGTGGCCACGATTTTTTTTTTTTCGACAATGTAATGAGAGGGGCTCTGTACTTTTCATGCATATGGAACATATCAAACTTTGCCACAATGCTTTCAAAGCACCGCGATGCGTAAGCACTATTGATATAACGCTGAGCACACGCAAAGGGTTTTAAAAAAGAGTAAACACGTAAATATCTGTTTGGATGGTAATAAGATCAACATACCTTGCAGTCCACGTCAGTGACATCTTCGGGTTGATTGGTACAGCTGTCCATTCAGCAGACCAGGCACACACGTGACTGCTAAAATTAAAAAAAAAAAAAAACAGTGACTGCTAGCTAGCTGTCATTTCTTCTGTTATACGGGTAATTTTTATGTGTATTGTCTGGCTTAAAACTTGTTTCTTACTTTTCTTCAACAGTTCATAGGGCGGCCTTTTGTAGCGAACCTCATAACAACCTGCCTCTTGAACAGAAACTCAAATTAACTCGTAGCTAAAATCTGCGTGCTTCCGGGTAGTGTTTGCCAGAGCAGTGGATTAAACAATGATCAATGACAATGATCAACTTTGTTTTTTTTGTTTTTTTAAACAGGGGGACAAAGTGCTTTACAGATGTAGTTACTGCTCTAAAATATTGATATGATAGGAGTATACATAGACTATTTTTAGTAGCCTTCTAAAGAAAATCGACTGATTTAATTGAAGTAAAGGCTTCAGTGGAAATTATAATGAAACACAAAGTTTCCAGTTTTTGTTGGATAGGCCTACTAAGTTAAAGTTTTCAAAACGTTGCCGTTTTGTACCGAAATAAGGAAGTTTTTTTTTAATTAAAATGCTTTTAAACTCTTAAACTGGTTGACGAAAAATAACCTCCACTTTACTTCAAGAGATATTTATTCCATTGAGATTAAAGTAAATTAAAGATAATATTAAACTTTTAGATATAACCTACCAGTGTAACGGTTTTTCTAAAGTAAGCAGCATTTTAAATCTCCATGGTAACCTGTAACGATGTAAAAACTTTAAATCATTACAAGCTAAAGAGCGGTCATTTCTGAAGATCATATCTGAAGAGAACAGCACGAAAAACTTAAGCGGCTCACGAATTTACAACTTTTGACGGCTTCATCGAAAATTAAACCTCACCGGATGACTAAGGACTCCAACAAACACCTCTAAACAACACCTGAACAAAGAAGACAACATCTCCGACAAACACCTTCGGCCAACACCTGAACAAAGAAGACAACATCTTCGACATGGAGACCGTAAGATTTCATGACAATATTAGCCTATCATACAAACTTGTGTTACTGATTTTCGTGATGGTTAAGCGATGCATCGACAAGGATTAAATGTGTGCATGGATATTTACAGTGTTTATGACTTTAATGTGACAGGTATTATCAAAACTAGAAAAATTGCATTTCCATGCAGAAAATGCGTGGAAGTGCTGAAAGCTTAAAAAGCTATGCTAAACTGCTTAAAAAAAAAAATGGAGGAAGGTTTAAATGTAAAATTGGTTAAAGAGCTGGAGAAAGAAAAGTAGAAGTTAGATGAAAGTGAAAATTGCTGAAGTACAAATAGTATGAATCTGCTTCATAAATTAAAATTGCATTCATGCTGAATAAGGCTAGAAAAACTGTCTGAAATTGCAAAATAAAAAATTGGATAAGAAAGAAAATTACCTTAAAACACAGAAAAGTAAGAAGTGGCATAAGTTTAAGTTGGAGTACTAGAAGTAGTATAATAATAGGTAGTTGTACTAGTGATATTAGTAGTCATGTAAGCAGTAAAAGTAGTTTTAGAATAGAAGAAGTAGAAGTCAAAGCAGTAGAGCTCATGGTAGAAGTAATAGAAGTAAAAAAATAAAAAGAGAAGCAAGAGCAGTGGAGGTAAAGTAAAGTTAAAGTGATATCAGTAGTAATTGTAGTGGTAGAACTGGGATTTTGTTTAAAGAATTAAAACAAACATAAATAATGAGAATGATTTTGAAGTGGGAAAAATTAAAATAATCATTAGTCCTAAAGTGTTAAATAGGTTTGAAGTATCAGAAAGGTTTGAATCAGTTTGAATGAGTTTGGATTTGTCTGACGAATTTAATAATGCATGAATAATGAGAATAATTTTAAAGTGGGGAAAAGTTTAATAAAAAAAATCCTGAGTACACCCCATAATGTCCTCAATGAGCTGAATTTTTGAAGCCCAGAATGGTTTCTGTAGCTCAAAGTTTGTGGGTAAAGATAGGTGGTGATGCAGACACATATTAACTGTGTGTACAAGCAGGTCTTTTAGACACAGACACACACACACACACACATTGTCAGACTGTGTGTGTGTGTGTCTCGTTAATGATTGCATCCTAAACAGCTGTGAGATCAAAGGCATTAACTGACCTACGGTTTGAATGAGAAGCTGCCTCTGGACTTCTTCACATAGCACGATTTCCTTAAATCCCAGAATGAAAATAAAATCCTCCGCCCTTCATGAACACAATGATCTGTTTTTCATGTCTGTACTCCAAAAAATGTGGCCACAACAGCGAGTTAAAAGTCGAGACGTTCGGATGGTTATCTTAAAAGTGATGCATTGACATCACATGAAAGTCTTCCACCATGTCAAAGACTCTTCGTGCTTAAGAGCAGAAAAGCTCATGTTATTGTGAAAAATCTCTATAAGAGATTTTTTTATGTCTTCTGGGCTATTAAAAGTCGTCTGTCTGAAACTTATTTGACAGTTTCTTTTACACTAACCAATGCTTTCTTATTTCTTCTTTAAATCTGCACAGAAGATTCAACCCACTCCTGTAAGTGGAGAAGCTCCGAGAATTGCGGGCTCGAGCTTCAACACGAGGTAAGAAACACGTTTAACTTATGATGACAGTAAAATGCAAACTCAAATTTATAGGGGTGTGATATTTAACAGTAGTTTACCAATGTGTCTCTAAAACAGTCTTTTACCTCTTTTGCATTTAATATGCAGAGTGTAACATTTGAAACATGACAGAGACCTCCCAGCAGATTATAATCTGGGACAGTTCAGAGTTAAATCTGTGACAGTGCCAGCAAAAATCTAAAGATTCGCAAATTTAGGATTTGATTTTGGACTTACACTGTGTTTCATACTCTTTTTGTCACAAGACATGTATTTATGTTATACATTTCAGTGGTTATTTTAACTGAATAAGACAATTCAAAGGCTTCACATAAGACATTTACTGATCAATTAATCAGTCAGACAAAGGAAATGTGTAAAAACACTAAATGAAATGAAATGAAGTTTTATCATCGTTTGCTCTTACTGGGAGTCTCTAGTCAAAAAGTAGTAAAGTCAGGTATGATAGATAAGATACTCCTTTATTAGTCCCACAAGGGGAAATTCCCAGTAAGGGAAACAAAGACCATTTTAATTTACTGTGTTTGAAATTGAAGGAAAAACATGTTTTGTATGAGGCCTTTCCCGGATAATATGCATTAAAAAAGCTTTGTTTTAAAAATGCTGTGTCAACTTAAAGAGATTCAGCACTTAGGTTTTTAATGAATAAGTGTGAACAAAGAGGGGGTTCATTTATCAATAACAACAACACAAAAACAGGGAATAACCTTCAGGTATTTTAAATCACTGTGAGTGTGCTGTATTATTTTTGATACATAAAGACACTTTTTCAGTTTGACTCTGATACTTCCTCAAAGACCATCCAGTGCGTGTTTATTGTATTTTATCGTCTGAATATCACCATGGTTTGAGTCTGTGTGACTGTCATGTGTCTCTGCAGATATTTCTGTTTATGGATTTGTTTTGTTCATTAAAATAACCAACTTGTTATTCTGTGTTGACCAGTGACACTGCGCCAGAGGCGTCTAGCGCAGAAAACCGCTGCCCAAAGTATTTTTGGCTGCACAGGCTGTTTGGTCAACCTGTGGTATGTTTCAGAGCTGTTAAAATAAGATCATTTTATAAGTGTGACATTTAAAATCAGACACTAAAAATATTTGACACAGTGGGTTTTCATTTTTATACTTCTTGTTACTCCACAGAGAAAAGTCAGAAGTCCAATCAGCCAACAGCGGAGGTGAGTAAACTGCTCCAACAATCAGCTGTTTATTTGTGCAGCCACAAAAGCTTCTGATAAATGTTGACTAGTCACTGCAGACTCCTTTAAAAACATCACTACAGGTTGTTAAAACAAATGTCACCGCAAGGTAATGGTGTGTGCTTGTGTCTGCAGAGATGTCACCCCCAATGGTCTGGCTGGCTCCACAGCACCCCCACCTGGGCAGAAAATCAAGAAACCAAAGGAGAAGAAATGGGGTTGTTCTTGGTTTTTGAAGTGCTGTAGTGTAAGTAAAGCATAGGAATACCAGTCTGGACTTCAGTGTTGTTATAAGCATTAGTTTTGGTTTATCTTTCAGTTGATTCTGTCACTGACAAATCAAAATTATTTTTACTCCATTAGAGAGAAAAGCGTGAGTCTCCTCTCTCTGATCCTAAAGGTCAGCAAAAGCCTCCTAAGGAACTCCAGAGAAGGTAACAAACTCATTTTGTTCACAGGATGGATCAATTTTGGTGTCACCTGATGAGTTAAATCATCACGTGACACAAATCAGGTGTTATCAATTCTTTCTTAAAGCTCCCGTGAGGAATTTTTGGTTTGTGTTGCTTCTTATGCTTCTTTTCATAACCTCACTTTCAAATTGTGTTAAGTCTTGTTTTCAAACAAAAAATCTCCCTGCTCAATTTTAAAAGTCATTGGTCATCTTCACCTGAGATATTTTTGAAAAAGCCTTTTTAAAAAGCTTCAATTTAGCTAAATCATCTGACACCTATACCCCTGACAACAGTTTCTAACCTCACAAATAACTTTGTAGAGATGAACAAACCCTTCAAAGGTGGTCTGATTTGCTTTTTAAGGCCACACAGAGGCATCCCTATCAATATCAGTCAGTTATAATCGGCTGAAAATTCCCCACAGTAGCTTTAACATGAAGTCACTTGTACATGAAAATCAGTATATCTGCTAAATATGTCCTGACACATTATTTTTTTCCCCTTGAAACACACTCACAGTCTGTTCCTCAGTCTATGAATCATTTATTTATATATTAAGAAGCGCTGTAATGCTGTAGAATAGCCAACTTGATTTTTTGACCTTGAATTTAAATGAAAAGAGCAGTTTAATACACACTTTCTTTACCAGATTTAATGTGGAGGTTGATATCTCAATAAAGAAAGTTAGGGTTTGAGTTAGCTTGAGGTTATCGCTTTCACACCCTTTTTAACTTTATGTTCTTACTTGGGACATGTTTTGATTGGCATTGAAAGTCAATAAGGATTATTGGCAGTGCTGGTAATGTGAATTAAAAACTCTGAGTGTTGTGTATCAATCAATCAGAATTGATTCAATACTAAATCAATACTGATTTTTGCTAAAATAACCTTCTTTTCCACGGATGAGGTCAACTGTAAAATATGATTCAGTACAAGTAGATTACTAGCCCCACACACTTGTAGCTCTTTGCTGTTCATTGTTATTTACAGTTTGTTTTTGTCTCACTGCAGCACTGACGAGGTTTCTCAGAGCAGCGTGCCACAGAGCGAACCGACAGTCGCCTGTCAGCAGATCAACCTTAGGTAAGTACACGTGATTTTCTGGATTCATCACTTAAATCCATGCAGCTACATTTTGATAAAAATAATCCTCAGTTGTTTCCTGGTTTGGTTCAGAAAAGATCGTGGCTTGGATTAAAATTCAACTGTGACCTTTACATGCTCTCATACAGCTTCAACAACAGAACCTGTGGTTCAAGCTACGAGTCAAACTTTTGACGTAAACTAAAAACTGAAATACAAGAAAGAAAAGGAATAATGCATCAAAATTAACCCAAAGCTTTTTTGGGTCCTCAGGATATGAGAAATATTAAGCTTTTGTCTTTTTTTTTTTAATGAAAAATCTGGTTTATTGTGTTAATGAACTAGCATTTAATTATTAATTATAAATAATAGGTATTAATATACAGGACTGAAACTGAGGAAAATAATAATAATAATAAATTATCGCTTTCATCCCCTTTTTAACCTTATATTCTTACTTGGGACATGTTTTGATTGGCATTGAAAGTCCATAAGGATTATTGGCAGTGCTGGTAATGTGAATTAAAAACTCTGAGTGTTGTGTATCAATCAATCAGTATTGATTCAATACTAAATCAATACTGATTTTTGCTAAAATAACCTTCTTTTCCACGGATGAGGTCAACTGTAAAATATGATTCAGTACAAGTAGATTACTAGCCCCACACACTTGTAGCTCTTTGCTGTTTATTGTTATTTACAGTTTGTTTTTGTCTCACTGCAGCATTGACGAGGTTTCTCAGAGCAGCGTGCCACAGAGCGAACCGACAGTCGCCTGTCAGCAGATCAACCTTAGGTGAGTACACGTGATTTTCTGGATTCATCACTTAAATCCATGCAGCTACATTTTGATAAAAACAATCCTCAGTTGTTTCCTGGTTTGGTTCAGAAAAGATCGTGGCTTGGATTAAAATTCAACTGTGACCTTTACATGCTCTCATACAGCTTCAACAACAGAACCTGTGGTTCAAGCTACAAGTCAAACTTTTGACGTAAACTAAAAACTGAAATACAAGAAAGAAAAGGAATAATGCATCAAAATTAATGTTGCTATTCAAAATTGACCCAAAGCTTTTTTTGGTCCTCAGGATATGAGAAATATTAAGCTTTTGTCTTTTTTTTTGAATGAAAAATCTGGTTTATTGTGTTAATGAACTAGCATTTAATTATTAATTACAAATAATAGGTATTAATATACAGGACTGAAACTGAGGAAAAGATAAAAATAATTAATTAATAATAATAATAATAATAATAATAATAAATTATCGCTTTCATCCCCTTTTAAACTTTATGTTCTTACTTGGGACATGTTTTGATTGGCATTGAAAGTCCATAAGTATTATTGGCAGTGCTGGTAATGTGAATTAAAAACTCTGAGTGTTGTGTTGGTCAAATCTCGTCTCCTTAAATTCAATCCCACTTCGATCTCAATACTGATTTTTGCTAAAATAACCTTCTTTTCCACGGATGAGGTCAATTGTAAAATATGATTCAGTACAAGTAGATTACTAGCCCCACACACTTGTAGCTCTTCGCTGTTCATTGTTATTTACAGTTTGTTTTTGTCTCAATGCAGCACTGAGGAGGTTTCTCAGAGAAGAGTGCCACAGAGCGAACCGAGATTCACCTGTCAGCAGGTCAACCTTGGGTGAGTACACGTGATTTTCTGGATTCATCACTTAAATCCATGCAGCTACATTTTGATAAAAACAATCCTCAGTTTGTGTCTGGAGCTGTGATATTAAGATATGATTCCATTTGTTGTGTTTGTGTGTCAGATTTCCAAACCCAGCCCAGATCTGCTACATGAACTCCAGCCTCCAGAGCTTGCTTACGCTCACACGGTTTGTGAGGGACATCAGGAGCCAGGAGGAGGTCTGGAGTCTGATCCCAGAGGCCCAGCTGATGAGGTGTAGTATCTGTAAACACATACACACACACACACACACACACACACACACACACACACACACACACACACACACACACACACAGTTAACTGTTTAATATAAGTGTAAAAGATGACTAAAGTAGAGGGTTAGGTTGTTTTATGCCAGACTGCATGACTAAGAGAGGTACACACAGCAGATAACAGCTAGCATAGCTGTCTGCGGGAGTTCCTACGTTAAAGCAAAGCTATGCACTGCAGATGGGTCACAAGAAGCAACTTACACCACTTTGAGTCAAAAATGTATATATTTATTTTTTTTTTAGATTATTATATATCGCCTTCAAACACCTGAACTATCCTTGAATAATTTCACACAAAACATGCCAAGTACAAGGTTTACGTTGAGAAATGGTCTCTGATTTGTTAGTTTTGTACACCAACGTTTCCTGGTTTGGTTCAGAAAAGATCGTGGCTTGGATTAAAATTCAACTGTGATCTTTACATGCTCTCAAACAGCTTCAACAACAGAACGTGTTGTTGAAGCTACGAGTCAAACTTTTGACGTAAACTAAAAACTGAAATACAAGAAAGAAAAGGAATAATGCATCAAAATTAATATTGCTATTCAAAATTGACCCAAAGCTTTTTTTGGTCCCCAGGATATGAGAAATATTAAGCTTTTGCCTTTTTTTTTAAATGAAAAATCTGGTTTATTGTGTTAATGAACTAGCATTTAATTATTAATTATTAACAATAGGTATTAATTTACAGGACTGAAACTGAGGGAAAGATAAAAATAATAAATAAGAAAAACTTATGAAATATATCAATGTCAGATAATTCAAATGAAGTATTGTAATTAAATGGGTTTTTAAATCTGACTTATTAAAAAAAATTAACATACCCCAAATCATTTTAACTGGTGATCACAAAAATGTCCCAATATGAGTTTGATTGTTTTTTTTTAATGTTAGCTCATAGTGTAAAATGTTGGATAACAATATATTTTTTTCAATGCATTGTATATGTAGACTCGCATAGGGTTAAAATTCTGGAAATTGTTTATCATTTGATATTTATAAACAGAGTTGAAGCTGAAGAAATAAATGTGATTCATTATAAGTTGAAAACAATATTTATGTATAATTTTATGTCAGTTTTTGGCTTTGAACTTATTTTTTGCCCTGTACTGTAAAAAGAGATTTTTTTTAAAGTCTAAAAATGATTCAACATTTAATATAGATGAACAGTAAATCTGCTTACAAGATTTGACCCATTAAAAGAAGAGATAATATCCATGTTAAACTATTTCATGACAGATTTTTTGCCAAGGATAAGTTAATTTCAGGATGTCAGGAACTTTTTGTTGCTGAGACATGAGGCTTCAGTTTATCCGCAAATCTTTAAATCAAACTAAAACAAGCTCCTCTCTGTTCCTCTGCAGTTATTTCATGGACATTGTTCGTCTTCGTGACGTGGGTGACATGCGCCGCAAACTTGAGGCTCTGTATAAATTTAAGAGGCTTCTGTCTATCGAGGCCCCAGAGTTTGTGGACCACCATCAGAAAGTAAGTCAGCTTGTTTTCTTTAAAGTTTCACTAACTGCTCCTTGTCTGCTTATCCAATCAAACCTGTGTTTCTGTTCGCTCAGGATGCCCATGAGTTTCTGACCGCAGTTCTGGGTCAGATGAGGGACCTGGCTGCGCCACTGAGGCAAGTTGCCTCTATCCTGGGGAGGTACTACAGATGTCCTGTGGAGCAGAACCTGGTGTTCAGGATGCAGAACACAAGAAAATGCAAGAGGTAAAAACATACAGATGGTTGCAGGACAAATTTACCTCCAGTTTGACTAATTTGTTTAATTTTTTGCTCATTTTGATCAAGTCAGGTCAAATCTACAGTAATCTTTTCTTTTATCTTTACATTTTCTTTTCACAACATGTATAACTACAGTATATAATCATATGTATTGTCCTTTTAACGTGCAGTTGTGGCTCCGCCTCAGTGAGAGAGGAGGAATTCCTGAATCTCTCTCTGGACCTGATTCCTGGGGGTTCAGTGCAGCAGATGCTGCAGGAATACGAGAAGGTAAAGAAGCTGGACTTCTTTAATCAACAGCCACATTGTCTGATATGAAGCCACTCAAATGTTTCACTCTGCTGTTATTTTTGGTTGTTGTTTTTCCATGTTTACTGTACACAGTATCTGACAGCATGTTTTCTCTGCAGGCGACTGATGTTGATTTCTCTTGCGAGTGTGGAGGCAAAACATCAGCACAGTGCTCCACCTTCACAACCCTGCCAAAGTGGGTGACGTTATATCCATCCCAGACTCACTGTTTCCCTCTGTTGCAGACACATGCACAGATTATTTTCTGTTAATTTATCCTCAGTATTTTCATGCTCAGAAATTCCCTCAGTTTAATAATCCTGTGGTCATTCCCTCTCTGCTGCTCTCCACAGTTTCTTGGTGCTCCAGATTAAGAGGTTCCGTTTCACTGAGTCCTACGAGCTGGTGAAACAGCATGACCCTGTGGACCTCACCAGGGAACTTATCATGACATCTAGCCAGGTAAGACATTTATGCGCCAAAGTGTAAGAGTGTAGAAGTGTGTGTGTGTGTGTGTGTGTGTGTGTGTGTGTGTGTGTGTGTGTGTGTGTGTGTGTGTGTGTGTGTGTGTGTTTGTGTTTGTGTTTGTTTCTAACAGTTGTTCTGTGTGTTTGCTCTCAGGCTACGAGCTGGTACAGTCTGGTTAGTGTCATCAGTCATTTAGGCAGTGAAGGAAATTCAGGTAAAATATTCACTCAGTGAGGGTCAGATCAGTCAGTGCAGTCTTCTGTAAGGTCCTCAGATACATAACAGATAGATAAATGCCAATCAAATGCTGGAATGTTTAAAGTCTCAGGAAGATCAAATTAACATTAGCCTTCAAACCATGTCTTTGTAAGAAAGATAAAACATTACGAAGTAACTTTCAGCATTCAGCAGAAAGTGCAGCCCGCTCTTGGATCTTGGTAACATTTTCCATCATTTTACTTTCAAAGAACTGCTGAACTCCTAAGAATGTTTGAAGAAACTTGTTATAAACCAATTTTTATGATTTATAATCACATAATTTAACATGTAAGCTAAAGCACCAGAATTAGAATTAGAAGTATAATTTTATTTTTAGAAATGCAGCCAAATAAAAGTGAAAGTCGCGGGCACAAAAAAAAGTACAGTAAAGTACAGACACACACTAAAATTATACTCAAGTACTATATTTAAGTAATGCTACGTACTTACTGTACAACACTGTTCTAGACTGTGCAATTCATTGTATTAAAAATTCAGAGAGCCTACTAACTGTTAAAGTTTATGAAATGACACAAAGCAGAACAACTTTTGATGGTGAGATCACCTGATTTACTCTTTGACAGCTGAGATCCCAGAGTCTGCTGTGTCTGCAGACATGGGGTCACTCTCCAGATTTGTCTTTAAGCCATCATGCAGCATTACCTTGAATGTTCAGAGAAAATACTGAGACATCTGAGAAAATCTGTGTGATCAGTTTTACAAGAGAATAACTTTTTGACATTAAGCCAAGTTGTGAAATTAACTCTACTCTGGTTCTTTAGTCAAACCTGCTCTGCGCTCATGTTATGGTCCAGTGCTGGCCCCTGTGGCTGACTGCAATAATACTTAATTGTCACTATAATGTACAAATGTAGGCTGCTGTTATTAATCAAGATTTCCTGCAGTGCATTTTGACTATTTCACCCTGACTTTCTTGGAGTTTTGATCAAATGTTTGCTCACAGTAACGGATCATTTTTATTCCATGACCGTCTTTACATCAACACATAAAACAAACAACAAACATCACGAAAGACCCACATGTTTATGGCTATAATTCTGTTCAGCTGGGTTTATCCAGAAATCTTGTCTGAAATTTGCTCCAACTTTTGATGCACACTCTTCTTCCTCTCCTGTTAGGACACTACATCAGTAGCGGGCTGCACCCTGATGTGGCTCCTCAGACTGCCAGTGATCTTTGGCTGAATTATAATGACTCCATGGTCACCTATATGACAAGAGAGGATGTATGCCAAAGATCAGAGGAGTCAGCATATCTTCTCTTTTACGAGAAGATGGTGAGAAAAAATTGTTAAACATAGATTATAATTAAATAAGCTGAATTCTCCACAAACAGAGATCATTAACTGTCTTTATGTTTGTTTTAGGAATAACATGCCAAAATGAATTTAAGAGTTTTTGACGGGGAGTCCTAAGTCAAAAACCAGTGAAGTCAGGTAAGATAGAGAAAATACTCCTTTATTTGTCCCGCAAGGGGACATTTCCAGTTTGGGAACCAAAGACCATTTTAATTTACTGTTTTTGCATGAATGATTTTAATTACAGAAATGTGTTTATGAATTTGTCTTTTTTAATTTTAATTTTCTTTAACTGAATTATATTCATTAATTTATTTCAAAGATGTGAAACCTTCCCCTGGAAAAATCATTTCTGCAGACTTCAGATTTTATAATTTGTCGTTTTTTCTGTCTCAGGTCCGAGTGGAGCAGTACAGCCTCGTCCAGAACCAGGATGAGTCCACTCCTTGGCTGTTACTGAGGAAGGTCCCACCGATGGACGGCCCTCCACGTTCTCCTCCCCCAAGCTCAACCAGGCTCAACCAAGCTCAACCACTCCCTCTTTTTCCCCTGGGGGGGGGAAGGAAAGGAGGAAAAAGGTACTGGTTGCCCCTCTCTGTGCTCTTCTCCAGCCAGGTCACCGGGACCTACCCGCAGCCCCTTCCCCTGCCTCCCCCCTCTGCTCTGATGTCAGAGGAGGAGCAGTGGCCAGGTTTGGAGCCTGAGGACCCAGAGGAGCTCTCCAGATGGAGGAGACGGTGGATGGCCCCACTGAGGACCACTCAGGAGGAACCTGCGCCCCCCTTCATCCACCAAGCTCATCTCCAAGGGTCCTTAGCCCAGGTGGAAGAAGAATCTTCAGCGCGTCGTTATGTGCTGTGTTACCTGGTATTGTGATGTGTTGTTTTCTTCTGTGTGTTGTGTCGTCGCGTGTGTTTGTGTTGTGATGTGTTGTGTCACGTCCTTTCGCGTGACCTCTTAACTTGATTTAATCACTTAGTGGGTAAGTGAGTCTAAAGGTGAGTTTGGTTCCTCCAGAGTCATTGTTAACATGAAACAAAGTCAGTGTAGGACCCATTTTCTTTTTGTTTTTTTTTAGGAAAAGGACCTCAATTGAGAAGGAACCCCCAGAAGAGCCGAGCACGAGACAGAAGACGCAGGAGGACCAAACATCCGAGAGACAGGCCCATGAAGAGAGAGACGAGGAAAATGGATGTACTGTGTGTTTCTGGGAATTTGAAGGTGAATAACTCTATAACTACTTAAAAGGTTCGGCTTTTAAGAAAAAAATAGACAATTTTAACTGAAGGGCTGAAATTCATGTTTGTTTCAGGTAACTTCAAAGAGTCAAATGCCTGAAATGACTCCAGAGGAGGCCAAAGACCAACTCCGTGATGCAGAAGGAGATTGGATGAACAAGACAACATGGAGAAGTAAAGTAAGTAAAGTTTGATGAATGTGTCATGTTTCATTAAACTGTTGTCTTTGTGTGCTGCTCTATTGACCTGCATTTTCTTCATCTTTCATCTCCTTATATTTATCTCTGTACAATAGAGACACGCAAGAATGAGAGTGAAGATGATGAGCAGCCGAAAGAAGAAGAGAAGATGAGAACAGCAGCAAAGATGGTGAACATGGACAAGAGTTTCAGAGCATGAAGGTACACTGAGTGCATCCTCTGCTCTTTTCTTTCAGAATGTAATCACTTCTTAAAGATTGGTCTCTACATACTTTGGTGGATATCTGTTAAAGGATATTGTATTTTAATATTTTTGTCTTTTCATTATAGTTTAACAAGTGTAAGAGTGGCCTCCTAACGCAGCAGTTATCCAGCTGGTGACTGAAATGGACAAGAAACTCTGGAAGGAGAACAGCCATGTTGGCACAGAGGCTGCACCAAATTTTGCACATGCAAATAAATTGTGATATTATTGTTTAAACCATGTCTTAAGTTGTGTTTTCAAAAGATGAAAGTTCTTGAACCCTTTGCACACACTTACAGCCTGTCTCCTCATAGCATATTAAATTATTTGTATTGTTTACCATATAATGTGTGCAGAGAAGAAGAAAACAAGACTTCAGAAAAACACAAGATTTGTGAAATACTAAGACTGATGAGGCTGTAAAACCAAGTTCTTAAATACAAACTGATTTATTCTCAAGTGGTTTGTTACAGCCACTAGAGGATGCTTTATGTTTAGTGCCGAGTATGCTTTTAAACAGTCTTTATTATTATGTCAGCACTGTAGGTCAGCTCAGGTGAAAAGAAAAACTCGTCATAGTTCTCAGGTGTGTTTGGGGTAAAAAAACTGTGGCTGAAACCACAACAGGAGTTACTAAAAGAAAGAAAGAAGGAAGGGAGGACAGATGGCTGGAAAGAAGGGGGGTAAAAAAAAAAGCCTAAACACTTATAATCATTTTTACTCAAGCTACTTCTGAGTTGTGTTAGTAATCAGAAGGCATGAATCCTGTCTCTTCTGCTGATTATTCAACACCTTTACTGGCCAAACTACAAAATGATTTATAACCAAAGAAAGAAAAGAACTGCAAGAAAAAAGGTCAGAAAGAAAAAAAATATGATCAACTTTACCTATTAAATACTGTAAACTAGATGTCTTCATCCTAGTTAAACATTTTGTGATAGAAAGGTAATTAATTGTTTGGTAAACTGCTTTGGCAGAAGTATCAGGCACTACTTGTGATAATAAAAACAATTCAAACATGGATTAAGGGAGGAAGAAAGAAGAAAGAAATGTTTAAAACAAAGATAAAAAGAAGAGGGAAAAAAGAAAAGGGAAGATAAAAATGAAGCAACTTTGCCCTCATGATCATTGTTTTTATCAGAGCTATTTCTGAGTTACATGAATGATCCTGATCCTGTGTCTTCTGTCACTCAGCGAAAACATAAAAAGAAAGAAAGAAAGACCTTTTAATCGTGTTTAATTTATTAACAGTATTGTGTGAAGGAAAAAAAAGTCTTTTTAGGGAGGCTGCCAGATTTCATGGTTTTATTCATGCTGATCTGACTGAATGTTGATAAAAGCAGTGATGGATTCTTATATCCGAGCTGAAAAATATCAATCCTGCTGAGTTTTCCTGGTTTTCCTTCAGGTTGTTTTTCACTGGAATTGGTTCACAGCCTTGTCTCTGTACATTTTGTTGCCTATTTTGGAGGCTTGTTGTTAGCTGGAATAGGTGTGCTGATACAAAATTGTTTAGTAAATCACATTCTAAGTAACTGCACAATTATAATTTAGAAAAATAAGAGTAAAGTGGGAAATTTATGTAAAATCTTCATATTACTTGACTGAATTAAATGTTATTTTTATGCAGCTGACATCCTTATTCACATATCTGTATGCAAGTGGAGTTATAAATCAGTTCTATGTCATGCCAACACCACTGTAGGATAAGATTAATTCTAATCTTATATCATAAGTCTCAGTCTTATCTTAATGTACCATAAGCAGAGCACCTTTCAGCATTTAGAAAGTTAGAGTGGCACAGAAGAAACCTTCTCACTAAGAAGGCAGAAAACCTGGAGCAGACCAAGACCCCTGCTAAAAAGCCATAAGATAGAGACAAAAACAGAGGAGAAATGGTTCAGAGCTCCTCAGCATCCCTGGATCTACCAGAGAGTTATCTTGAACACATAGAGTTAAGTCAATTGTTTTTCTGATTGGAGCAGCTGGTCCAGCTCGAAGGCCACTGGGGCACATAGGTGATTGTACACAGGTGCTTTAAGGTAATCTGAAATTGGCCTGGTAAGCTGCTGAGGTTGTTAAAACTACAAGCTTTTTCTCCATGTGCACAGTGTATGTAGAAGTTACAACTATAATTGTCCGTATACGAATAAAATGCTATTGAAAAGGTGTGCTGAAATATTGTATCTTAATAAAAAAAATAATGTACACAGTCGTAAAATAGTTTAATCTAGTGTAACAAATTAGCTGTGCTGATCACACACTACAGTGAATTGGAAATGAATTGTTTGATTATTTTTTTAAAGAACTCAAAATAAATCTTTATGATCATTTGGTTTTCCTCTGTGTTTCAGTGGTATCAATCCTAAATATTGCTTGTTTTTTTTTGACATTTTATTTTGTCCCAAGCTATGTTTGCAGTTTTCACCTAAATTTAGACACCCGTGTGCTAAAATTTTACATGGTGTGTGCTAAATCCAGATCATAAAAACAAATAAGGCTGCTTTATGTCATTATTTTAGAGAAAAAGGGATATTATCTTTATTCTGAATATTCCTTTAAAGCAAAGACACCAATCTTTGAACACAGAAAAACTGGGACGAATGTTTTCTTTTACAAATTGAAGTTCATCTTTTAATTCTAACATGATCATTTTTGTTAACTATATAAAAAAGAACTTTTTTCCCCCCGAAAATGTTTTAGTAAATTCTGAGATATAATTCTTGTAAATTCAGGAGACAAGAGCAGTTTTATCCTCAAATAAATGCAGTACGCCTCTGTGTTGAATAACTCTACATTTCTGTCGAACATTAATCTCAAATATACCTCAAGGTAGGTAAAAAAAAAAGTTAAAAATAACTTTGAATGCATTAATCAGGTAAAAAGTTGAGATTTTATGGCGTTTCCGGGTTAAAATTGTGTAATTTCCTGTGGTTTTAGTCAACATCAAAGCAGAGCAGTGGATTAGCTCTGGTGTTAGCCACACGAGTGTACCCGAATGTAATGGCGTTTACTATGGCTATGTGCTATTCGAGACTCAAATGTTTCGGTGTCATAGCTACTATTTTCAAAACATGTCTGTTACGAGATAATTCTGGAGAACACACGATGAGTAGTCTGTATCGAGACCTGTCCACTACCCCCTTGGCCCATTTGACAAATTGCCTCGTTACTGTGGCAACCACCGTCAACATACATGTGAAGTGCTAGGAAATGTGTGTGTGTGTGTGTGTGTGCAGCCAGAGAAAAATCTCAGTTTCTCATTTCAGCAAATTGAAAACGCAGAGAAACGCCACAGACCCGTCTGAGAATTTGATAACCACAACAATTGTCACGGAGAAGGCCCCCTGTGTACAGGAATGTTTGAGCCATGTCGTTCAGCACTCGACTCCACAAAGTCAGCTACAGGAGCAGGCCCAGCCAGTGTTCGGTGCAGGGGGAGGCACACAAGGAGATGCAGGTTTGGTCTCAAATGTTTTTAACAGTCATATTGTGTTTTGTAAACATCGACAGTTTTTGATTGTATTGGTGTCCAACTGTAGACATTAAAAATACCACAAACAGGGCTATTTCCATTCCACTCAAGGGTTAAATAGAGCTTTCTGGACGTGTTTGCATGTTTAGTTTGGCCTGCATTAATCACCTAAATGTACAAGAGGTTCTCCTTTTGAAAATGAATCCATTCATAAGTACCTCAGACCGAATTACCTATATAAATTCGTTCTAGTACACCAGTTATGAGGTAATTGGACTGATAAAATGAATAAATTTCATTTTCAACTCTATAACCCCTGAGCTGCTATTTTAAATTGCTTTGAGAATCTACTACTGGACTAATTTCCCTCAGCATCCTTTGGATAGCTTTAGCACAACTTGAGTACAACTTTGTGCCTTTGTTGTGTTATGCGCTTCAGTCCACTAGATGGTAGTGCATAGTTGCTGTAGTTTTAAATGAATCCGGCTGAATGATGTTCAAGAAAATATTTCTAAAAATATATTGACAGGATATCTATACAGCGACCAGCAGGTTTAGATTAGTATTCATCTCCTAGTTTAAACCAAACACTGATTGAACTAAGGGTGGAAATATGTATCAGCACCAGTTTTTTAATCCATTTTGAGGTTTTCAGCCATTATTTTTTCTGTTTGGACCCATTCATTTAAAGCAAAGACAAAACTTGAGGCACAGTCAAAACTGTCCCCTGGTTTGCTTTGTATAAAAATAACATAAGTCCTTCTGACAGAAAAAAAAAATAGTTCTGGTCTTTGAAAAGATTGGAGAAGTTATCACAGACAATTTTGTATAAAACGGCTAATTTTTTTGTGGAAAACATCTCAGATAACCAACTTGGGAGTTTCTGCTTGGTGTGACTGGTTGGTGTTTGGCAATAAATGGTGCTGCTTTGCGCCTGGAGATTTGTGTCATGTTTGTTTTGATGTAAAGACAGGACTCACATGGAGACAGAATAGAAGGCAGTGCAAGTTTATTTGGTTTTATTTGGTTACGATCAAGAGGGGTTAAACCAAAAATTTTAATTGAAAGAAAAATATTACCAGTCAAGACATATTCCAAGGGCTCTTTCAGCTACTAAGAAATGTTGTGCTGTGACTTGGTGTGGTTTCAAAACATATTTGTTGGATCTTTCTAGGTCTGTAAGCATGAGCATCCTCTGGGAAAACAGTGGACTCTCTGTCTCACTCTTTCTCTCTGTCTGTCTCTCTCAGATCTCACCACCCCTTCATTTATAATTTACCGTCACTCTCCTGTTTCATGGCAGCTCAAAACCAGGCAGTTCAGCTTAGAAAATCAGTCATGGCGTTGTGAAAAATTGATGACCCAACTGCTTTTAAATGCAAAGCTGCGCAATCATTCCTTCAATATCAAGCCGTCTGTCAGGTCCTTGATGAGAGAGCTGTGCTTCTCATCTGCAGGGTGCCAAAGTAAAAGCTAATGGAATTTAATATTAATTGGTGGGAGGTCTGTGTTTATGTTGGTGTGTATGTGGTTGTGTTAACTAAACAGATAAGGGTCTCTCGCTGCTGGTGTTGCAAGTGATGATTGATTTTCATACAGTCTTTTCTATTTCTTTTATTTTTTTCATGATCAATCATTTCATCAACTTATGTCAAAACAGAGCTCAGGGTGGCATTTAATTTGCACATCCTTTAAAAACACTGCAAATTCTCCATGTGTATACCTGATAGAGGACTTCATATTGCTCCAGGGATCCTTGTTAGTTAATGGAGAATTGAACTGAACTACTGAACAGTTATTTTAAATGCCTGTAAATGTGTTACGTTATAAATGTATATAGTCTACAGTACCCGCTTGCATCAAGTGTTTAACTAGAATTTAGTAAGTCTTAATGCTATTTAATGTTTCTTCTTATAAATAGACGTGGTATGTCAAGAGAGCTGTATAACCAACGGTAAAATAATGACACCATCAATATATTTGACCAGAATTTTAAAAAAAGCACTATGCTTTTGTTTGCTAAGTTTTACCATTACTTTTTGAAACAGTGACTGCAGACACCAGTTGACCAGTTTCAGTCAGTTAACATACAAAAGCAATGCATACAAAGAGGTGTTAGGTCGATGAAACCTGTAACCTCGGAGAGTGTGGCACGCATATTCAGATTTTTTTTTTTTTGTAAACTGTACTAAAACCCCTTTAAAAAAATATATATATATATATGTGTGTGCATTTGCTGTGTGTGTCTGGTGGTCTCAAAATGTTACTTGCCAATGCTCTTTTCCAACATAGTAACAGCCTTTCCACCCCCCCACTGACCCCCCTCCATCCCATTGTTGCAGTAGATTTGTAAGGTGAGAGCAAGACCTTGATAATTACCTGGCAGACAGATGGTCATCCAACACCGCATTATGTGGCTAGCAGTCCTCTTTTAGGAGCAACACTCTCATAATTTCAGGGCAGTAACCTTTCTCACATGGCTAATAAGAGGGCCGATTGCTCACATACTGTAGCAAAGCCGCTTGTCTTGCCTTGTCTTCATTGTTGGAAGCTGTAAATCTCTAATGTCATGAAAAGAAAAGAGGGAGAGGGAGGAATGACTTGAAAAGACGTGTCAGACTGAAAGGCTGAGCAGGATGCTACATTTCAAACCAGACTATCAAAACAAGGTAAGGTGACCCAAGAGTTCTGAAGTTACAACCAACCTGGCTTCTTGACTATCTGCATTGGCCAGATGTAATTCATCATTAATGTGTTTGGATTCACTAAACAGCTGATGTGTTTGTGTGTACTTGCAGATGGGAGATAAAAGAGGTAAACTGAGCTGAGATAAATATTTGAATAAAGGCAAATTCTTTACTGCATAAAAAGCCAATATTAAAAAGTACTCTTGAGCTGCAGATTTGCAACCAATTTCATCGAGACTTTGCTTGATCCTAAGTCGGATCAATTTTTCGGTAGAATATACAACAGGGAAAAGGGTTTTCTTTATTCTGAATATATTTCATGCAGTGAAAAAGAAAACTGCAAAACAAAGATGTACTACATGCTGCATCGTTTAACTTAAAGTTGTAAGAGGATATAAAAACAGCAGTTTTTTTTGTAGTTAGTAGTTGCTGCTACTGCTGCAAATAACATCTGATAACACATACATGTGACACAGGTTCATTCGGATAAAAAGCATGAAAGTGCTGAGCATAAATTTGTGCCTGACTTCTATGTTTCCATTCAAACTGCATGCAGATGCTCAAAAAACTGACTGCTTTCACAGAACATTATGAAAAGGAATCTGCACTAGGAGTGAAAGACAAAAATGTGGCTTAAGTTTTTTCCTGGTATTTTGCAGGGTCTGGTTCTTCTACCATGTTATCAGGTGTGGAAAAAAAATCACATTAGATTGGACAGAGGAGGTGTGAGATGGCTGCTTTTGCAGGTAGAACAGCTTCTCAGTCATTCGAAGACATAACTTGACCAAATCACTGGTTTGTCTTGATAAGGTTTGGGATTTTTCTGCTGTTAAAAGAAAAAAAAAAACTATTGAGGAAAGGGATTGAGATGGTCCTTTTGTGTCCTTTTGACCTGTGTTAAAATTGAGGTCTTGTATTGAGGCATGGAAGGGATGTCTGGTATTAGGTATGCAGAGCTGAGCTTTAGCCATTGTGGTTGTATATGTTAGTACTGCTTCATATGTATTTTCATGTCTTTTTCTCTGTATGACAAGCTGTTATATTGAAGTGTGTTTAGCTAATAAACTGTTGAATTCTTCATAGAGTTCATGGGTATCATGTCCATCCTAAAAACTCACACACTGTTGACTGGAATATCCATTAAACAAAAAGCAAGTATAGCTTCTGCTCACCTGGTTGAGTGGTCATGACTGACAACTTGATAGGGCTGTAGTCCCTGAGCGAATGTGAGTATCTACATCCTGTGTGTATATGTAGATGAGGAAATGATAGTAGGGTGTTAGACAACATGTTGAAGGCTTTGAGTTAAAGAGGAGAGTAGCTGTCATGTCACAGGTGTTTAGAAAGCAGCTCTGGAGAAAAACCGTTTCCAAAGTCATCAAGGTAAGAGGAGGTGTTGTGGTTTTGGTTGTGGTGTTGATGCCAAACATTAGCTCTGACAGCATTTTCCCTTTTCACAATGTGAAATGAAAAGAAAAAAAAGTTATCTGTGAAATTTAATTAACTTCTGTGTTGAATTTTGAAGTTTGTGTTGGTTTTTGTCCTTCAGGTTTTAATCAAATTTCAGTTTATCCTTGGCTTTGTTCTTAAAGCCTTGGCAGGGATGATCAGACTATATTCCTGAAAAAAACGTCCCTCAGTGTACCTGGATATCATGTTCTAGCTGTTTTGTCTTTGTTTACTGAAAAGATTGCCAGTCTCATTATGGCTTATCTCAGTTTTTGCTACAATAACACGGGTAACAGAGTTACTTTCCATGCCTGTGTTATAGGAATAAATGCGGTTGTGTGTGTTTGCATATCATTGTTGGTGCATCTTAGTGTTTGTGAGTGTATTTTGTGTATTTGTTAATTGCATTCAGGGGTGACATAGTCTGCCTGTTTGAATAACCTTTACCTCACTGCATTATGTTGCTTGTCTTTGGGCAGCAGGCTGACTGTCATTCACACAATTTGAAAAAAAAGGCAAGAAGAAGGTGTGAAATGCCTGGTCGCCCAGCAACTGATAGCTTGATAGCTTATGGCTGACTTGTGATGTGAGTGCAGGTTTGTGCACACAGTGTGTTCGTGTGTATCTCCGGGGACTAAAGCAACATTTGTTTGATCTATTGTCTGAGCCCTGTGAGGTGGTGTGATTTTACTTCTTTTAAATTTGAGCAACTGTCTTTTTTGTAAGGAAGAACTGGAGAATATTTAAATGAATTTATGTCTGATAAATATATTATATATTATATGTCTGAATTCTTTTTATGTGTCAAAACCAATGCTTGAAATAGAATCTGTCATTCAAATATACTGTACACCTGTTTCACAGCCTCGACATAGGTAGCAACAAGAAACCTCTATTTTTCTGTCTATCTGTATAGAGATATTCTGTATGAGGGTCATATACAGTAGAAACAAAGATGCAAGTTACAATACAATTTCTTTTTTTGCAGAAATTATTTTTCTCTCTGCACTGAGATCATGGGTTGTATAATTCACCCCCTTCAGTTTGTTGTGCCTGGCAACCATCCTGCTATCCGCCGAGATGACCCTTGACTTGCAGCCACTCTTCCTGAGAGTGGTGCTGGGAAAATATTATCTTGAATTAAAGATAGTAAATGATTTATGGGATTTTGGCTTCCTTGCTGCTTGGCACCATTTGGACTCTGTAAAAATGTCCTATTAGCCTCCTCTCACAATAAAAACTTGAACATCAATTAGTTTATTTTCTGACCATCTTTACTGCTGCTGCTGAAGAGGTAATTTGTTGCTTCTTGGGCTAATCTTGTTGACACACACTTCATATGATGTTGTTGGCATTCTCCATTCCAGTCTAATCTCACATGACCTACCCTGAGGCTGTAACTGAGAAAAATCAATTCTTTGACTTTTAACAACACTTATCTGTAATAGAATTTTCTCCACTTATGTCTTCATCTACACTTCCAGGGACTCAGGCAGGGTGCTTGCATGTAGAGAACAGTTTCTGTAATTGTGTTGGCTAAAAAAGCTCCTTCTCAGGTCTATGACTCTTCTGTGAAGTACGTATTATAAAACCAAGAGAAAAGGAAGACTGGTCAAAGACAAATGTGATAATTTCCAGTGCAAGTTCCATCCTGTTAAAAATCATATTACAAGGAAAGTATTTAAGATACTGATGTCAGAGTTTCTATTTTTGGCATTGCCTGCATGTTTCTTGCTTTGTGTTGAGAGCGTCTTTCGGACAGCCTGTCCATGGTGACGTCAAAGAAGAAAAGTATTCAGAGGCAGAAAAGACTGTTTCTGTCATTCTCTGTGTAAATTTGACATGAACAAAAGGAAGGGGGAAATGAGAGAATTTAAATGCACCCTGCAGCTGGCACAGCACGTAGCACAAGGTTTCATGTAATTTATTGGCTAACCTTGTTCCTGTGTTACTGAGCAGTGTAACCTGGCAACTCATTGTAAATGATGACACTACCCCTCTGCCCTAAATGCAAGCCATGGCCTGTTGTAAACTGGGCGGTGTGGTTTAATTATTCTAGGAGACCAGATTTTTGAAGACCTTTGATGGGTACTCAGACGGCAAATTGTGGGACTCTGCAACCTTTAAAGGAATACACCACCAGCCTCTGTTTTGGTCACTTTTTGGTGAATTTGGAGTATTTTTTATACATCTAAGGACATGGATTCTCTATACTGATGACGGGGATGTATATATATTTTTCACATTTCCTCTTTGTTGAGACTATACTCATTATTCTTAGGACAGAGATCACAATTTAATAATGACAGAGCACAAGTGTAGAGCTACTGCAGATCTTCAACCGTCTGTCATTAAAGGTCTCATCAGGATAAACCAAGTATGTAAAACATGGAAGATTGGCTTTGTGAGCCATTGGTAATATGTTGGCTTGATTCGCTGTGTAATTTTTATTCTCTAATTGTCGGTGAATAAGAGCTGATTTGAATACTGCTTTATTTTCGTCTTCTTTGAAAGAATGTAATTAGCCTCACTATCAGCAAAAACTGGTCATGTTGCATGTTAACTCAAATTAAAAGCTTGATACTATTTTTTAAAAAATGTCTTTACACTTTTTTTAAAAGCAAAAGTTGAAGGAGGAGCGAGAAGCTAAACGGGCCCAGCTCGATGGCAGGCATGACTACATCCTCAGTATTGTGGCTTCATGTCTGGGACTGGAGAAAGCAGAGGTGGAAGATGCCATACTGGAAGGGAACCAGGTGAACTTTATTCAGATATTTTTACATCAAAACTTTCCTTATTTCAAGATGGCAACAGTAGTGTTTAAACTGGAACGTAAATATCTGGCTGTATATGTCCAACAGATCAAGGTCCTCTGTGTATACATTAAGAGCTGTACAGTTTCACCATGACTTTCAGTTTACGGGACTTCTGTGTCTAAATATACTGAAAGATTATCTTCTCATCTTTCTCAGATCGACCGCATGGAGCAGTTCTTTGTAGCTGAGGGTCTCCCGCACCTCATGTTCTACTATCAGGACACAGAGCCACTTGAAGCGGGTAAATCATACATGAACCATCTCTAAATTTGATGTAATGTGCTTTCCATGACTAATTGTTGGCAATAGATTACAAAATGATTTGTCTTTGTTTGAATTAACCTTTATTAACTGTCAGCAATCAAGACAGTACTATAACTGATAAAGTCTCTGTAATCAATTAGGGCATAATTTAGCTGAGGTCCCACCTAGCAGGAAACTGTGTGATTTCCTGTTGTTGTTGTTATTATTTTTGCGTCAGCAGCAGCATCAGCCTCAGCTCCCTTCCAGCCTGTTGCCCAGCAGCCTGGAAGCAGCAAAAAGCCTAAAGTGTTTGTGACAGACGGGAAGGATGTGGCTCTGACTGGAGTGTGCGTCTTTTTCACCAGAGCCAACACTTCGAAGACAATCACCTCTGAGAACATACACAGAGTGAGTCACTTTGTAACACTTAAAATATGAGAGTATGAAGTCACACTTTTCAAGGGCAATGACGCTGGTCAAGATATTTGGTAAAAGCTTTACGCAATCAAACCATAATCATTTTTTTAATGTGAAGTCTAATGTCTAATCTGAAGTATAAACAAAAGAGGGAAGGTAAAGGAAACTTTTTTTCTAACATGGAGCTTTCTGTTATGTAGCTAATGCTGTCAAACTGATTGTTGCAGGGTGACATGATAAAATTGAAGCGATGCAACAACATTTAATTGACAGCGAGGACTCTTTGAACAAATTCTTAAGATTAACAGTGACTTTGAAGTAAGACAGTTTTGTTTCATCTAGAGCAAGAAAGACAAGGGATGTCAGTAACAGTCTGACTTTACAACCAGTTCTGGCTATTAATTGCAGCTGTTGGAGTTTGGGTGTGATGACAAAAAAGTGTTGCTGTGCCAAAGCAAAGTTAAAAAATGACTTAAAGTTTTGTCTTATATGGTGTTTTGTGTCAGTGTTTTGCTCTGATATAACTTTTTTGCTATAATATTTGGATGTCTATTTTTCTCAGGATGTAAATTTCAATATGTTGGACACAACTGAGGGGGGTCTGTTAAAAAGTGTGGAGCAGTTACTGTCAGAGATCTTCATTCCCACATTGAGGAAGATGAACCATGGCTGGGGGGAACTGGCCAGTCCACAGGCCAAGGCGGTCAAACAGGACTTCATATCATCATTGGAAAATTTTGTGTCTGTTTTGGCTGGAGCACAGGAGAGCCTGCAAGAAAAGGTAAGAGAGAAAAAGAGTAAACACATTTGACTTAAAGCTTCTGTGGGGAGATTTTAAGTGGTTATGAAACAGACTGAACAGACATTGGTACGAGTGTCATCTAAATTTGTATAAAACCAAAGTCTCTTAGGAGCTGTAACCAAAATCAAATCATCAGTATATCTGTACACTCAAAATGTATACAGTATATTGTTACTGCAAACGCTATGTTGCTCTGCAAAACATACAGAAACACACATACAGAAAAGCAAGCCCAAATAAGTCCGTACTAGTTAGAAAACAAGCCCAAAAAGTGCACCCATGACCCACAAGTTTTACAAGCGACTTCTGAGAGAAACAAGCCTAAAGTCTTTTAAAATAAGCAGACTTGGCAGCTATAAGGCGTCTATGTAAATTTTGCCTATGTTTAAACTTATCTCTGTTCACGAATGCAGATCTAGGATGTACGCCCAAACAGAAATAAAACAACAGCTAGGTTTTCAAAATAAAAGCGACGCACTTGTATAGCATGTTGATGATTTGATTGACGGACTTCATGAAGGGCTGGGCAGGGACATCCAAAGGGCCGGATGTGGCCCTCGGGCCATAAAATGCCCAGGTCTGGTCCAAACCCTTGTCTTCTAAATGTATTTACATGCCAACACTGCTGGAAAACCAAACCATGTCACTGATTGCTTGCAGGTAACCTTAAAAGAGTGTGACACATTTGACCTGAGGGTGCTGAAAAGCCCATCAGACTACATGGTGGCAGCCAACAGTGCAGAGACAACAGAAAAGATAGAGGCCTGCATGAAGATATGGATCAAACAGATAGAACAGGTGAGACTGGTAAAGTTACACTCAAGAAGTTATACTCTACATTGTCACTTTTGTACAGCCTCATAGTTACTGTAATGTTGCAATTATCTGTACATTTGTCATAGTAGTTTGGAATCAGGTATTGGCTGAAGCTGAGCAGGTGTTTATTAACTATTTGAATACCCCATGAATCATACCGACAAATGCTTAGTGCTTATGATCAGTCTGTATAGTAACAAAGGTTTCCTGCAGGACAGATACAGAGGGAGAATTAAATCATACAAACAGTCTATTTGTACGGCTGCAGTCCTATGGTTTTTAGGAAGCACATATAGGCTGGATTTTTCATTTCAAAACAACTACAATAAACTCAATATGTGAAATTGAGAAAAATTAGATAAACTGAAGAAATTATGTTCAAACAGAAAGCAGATAGTCAGATCCTGTGTTCTCCAGATTCTTGCTCAAAGTGACCAGCTGAGAAAGGCTGATGACCTCGGACCTCGGGCTGAACTCGACTACTGGAAGAAACGAATGTCTCGCTTCAACTATCTTCTGGACCAGCTCAAAAGCCCTGATGTCAAAGCTGTAATGGGTGTGCTGCTGATGGCCAAGTCTAAACTTTTAAAGGTATAATATTGATGAGATTTTTGATAAGCCTGCATATGTTTGACAGTGTCTTGATGGTAGAAGTGTTGAGTTACTTTATTTTGTCAAAATGACTGAAGCATGTACCAGTTTTAAGACTGCAAAAATTAAAATGTAAGAGTGTCTTACATTAAGTTTTTGTTCTGTCTAGTCATGGCGGGAATTGGATACCCGGATAACAGATGCAGCCAACGAGGCCAAAGACAATGTCAAGTACCTCTACAGTCTGGAGAAGTTTTGTGACCCTCTCTACAACAGTGACCCTGTAAGAGAAATGCTTTAATCTGTTTCTGAGGATGACGTGCTCAGCTGGATTTTAATACATTGTTGAGTCATCTCCATGTTTAGAAAAATGCTTTGGCATTGAGCTACACTGATAAATTCAACAAATGCTCACAATTACTACTTTCTTTACATCAGGTATCAATGGTGGATGCAATCCCAGGTCTGATCAACGCTATCAGGATGATTCACAGTATTTCTCGCTACTACAACACATCAGAAAAGATCACGTCACTTTTCGATAAGGTAGGAGCAGGTATTAGTTTACTCAATGGAATAAAAATAGATTCAATCAGCATTTAAATTGTTTTCCTCCTATCTAGATATTGAATATCCCCACAGGGATCAACAAAGTTCTTCTTCTTCTTATTCTTATAAACTCTGCACAAACCTAGAGAATTCTTAAGGGTGACATTGAGACATGAAGAAACCACTGAAACATTCCTTTTTGAAACCTACTGAATATATTGTTATATTAACAGAACAAAATTAAACAGAGTTTAAAGGTACTTAATGCCACAGAAATCAAATAAAGTCATAATAATACATGCACTAATTTTCAGCTAGGCATTTTTGGTAACATGTTGTCTGGGAATACAGAATCTTAAAAAGCATCTCTGTATTTTTCCATACATATCAATATCTCCAGGTGACAAATCAGATGATCACTGCCTGCAAGGCTTACATCACCAACAATGGCTCAAATTCAATATGGGACCAGCCTCAGCAAGTCATTGCTGACAAGATCAAAGCTGCCATTCATCTAAACCAGGTATGGAGTGTTGCTTATTGGTAGAATATATAATGATTACTGTTTGTCAGTTGTCCTGTCTTCTTATTTTCCCCATGCTTGAATTATTCTTGTAGCTCCATGATTTTTAAACATATTCAGGTTAAAATTTGTGTGTTTTGTGGGGGAATCAATGAAACTACTTGCTGAAAACAGTTGTTACTCTGATTAATAAAATGCTGATGAGGGTGTTTTTAGCTAAAAAATAGTTATCTCATTAATACAATGAAAAGACTAAAAGGTTATGAGTTTTGTGTCCTTCAGGAGTACCAGCGGCATTTTCATAAAACCAAGGAGAAGCTGAAACAGACTCCTTCAGAGAGGCAGTTCGATTTTGGTGAGATGTACATTTTTGGGAAGTTTGACACATTCCAGCGGCGCCTCAACAAGATCCTGGAAATGTTCAGCACCATTTCTACTTACTCCGCCCTGCAGGACTCTAAGATAGAAGGACTTGAGACAATAGCCACCAGGTTTCAAGTGGGTACATTTTCACACATGGTTATATCTTTACATTTTATCACAAAATATATTATTTTGAAATAAGCTGTGAGGTTGCATTACCTGATTAAATATCACTTCCTGATGCTAAGCCGGCCCTTGAATTGTGTTAGAATATATTAGTAAAACATGTGAAGTTTGAAACAGTAACTCTACAGATATTGCTGCACAAGATAGTATGAAACGGTTTGCTTTTTGTTGCCATAGTACGTCAATGTGACAGTGGTAGATTGCTTTCATTGTCTTCTTTTCTGTGTTTCTATGTTTGGACTGTTCTTGTAAACGTAGGATCTATTTCTTGAATTTCACTGTGTTGTCTAACTGTGTTTTTCAATGAGGATTTTTTTGATGTGAGCTATCTGTTTGTTTCTGCTCCCTTGGATGCACAGACTGCAGAAATGCAGGGGAAATGGGAGGTAACGTCTCACCATAGTTGGTACATTTAGATGAGCATGGCCCATTTTCATACTTAACATCATTCAGTGGTGCAATTCAAAACCATGAAATGTCACCACTGGGCATGTAACTCATTATGGTTTGACAATACTAACTGCATGGAATTTAAACAGAAAAAAATAACAATTTAGCAGGTTAATATTTACTGTTTATTATTTGCTCTATTAATTTTTGGGGGTAATATTTCTTGCATATATATATCGCATAGTGTCCAGTTCACCTGCTGTAATCCTATCAGTCCTTTCATTCGCTAAGTAACCACAAAGAGTTGGATTAAAATGGCTTAAAGACCTTCCTTTTGTAGAACTTGGTTATCAGTGAGCTTAAAGATAAAGTGTTATAGAAAATAATGTTCTGCAATAGGATTGTCTTTTCTCTTCTAAACCCACCTACACGTTAGTCAGTTTAGAGACACCTTGAACAATGACTCACGGCTCAGAGGGAAAATAGAATCCAAGAGTAATGGCAGTACTTCCCAGGTTATGGTTTACCGTGGCACTACAAAACTGATTTTAAAGAGGCTTTCGCTGTAGAGTTAATAAAAGTTTAAAAAAAAACGACTTGCATGTCCGTACAGTTATCTTTCCATGCCTGTGCGTTTTTGTCTTAACAGGCTATTGTGCTAACCATGAAGAAGAAACATTACAGTTTCCTAGATCACAGAAGAACCGACTTTGATGTAGACTATGAAGAATTCTGCAAAAGCACATCCGAGCTTCATGTAAGTTGAATATTAAATTACTAGTTAAATATTACAGACATGACTTTGAGACACTGTGTAATGAGGCAATAAATGAAACCCCCTGTGGCTCATCTTATTACAGCCCACCGTGGTATGAACCATTTGGGGGTTGCTTTTCTATTAGAAAGTTCCACTCAACCATCTCATTTTTTATTATCTTTTGTCATTGGTTCATGTGTTTACAGAACCAGCTAAAGAGTTTCATGGATAGCACTTTTGAGAAGATTCAAAATACAGAGGGAGCTCTAAATGTGCTGAAGAAATTCGAAAGGTAATCCATTTTCTACAGTAGTACATTTAACCCCTCTGTTAAGACTTATATACAAGAATAGAATTGTACGGTTCACTCGCATGTCATTCACGTTTTTATTTTCTCTGTTTTAAAATTCTGATCAACTCATTGTATTTTCATTTCACAACAGACTAGGTATTCCAGACCTCGGCATTGATGAGAAGTACCAGAGAATTTTGCAGAATTATGGCCGGGACATTGAAATGGTCTCCCGCATTTACGTGAAACAGAAACTGGATCCCCCAATTGGACGGGACTTGCCCCCTGTGTCAGGGCGTATCATGTGGGCTCGACAGCTGTATAGCAGAATCCAGGGTCCCATGGATCTGTTTCAACAGGTTGCTGTAAATTTCGCCCTCTATACATTTACATTTGCTTAGACCTGACTGTAGATTTTGTTGTTTTTCAGTACCATTGTTAGTGCATTTTTCTTTTGTGTGATGGAGTCATCTCTCTCTATTTAGCAACCGGGAGTTCTTTCCACACCAGAGGCCAAGAGGATCATCAAAAATTATAACAGGGTTGCAAGGGTGCTGCTGGAGTTTGAGATGCTTTACCATCAGAGCTGGATGTCAAAGGTTGAGGGAAAATGAAATACTGTGTAATGTTTGGGGTGTAAAATCCTGATATCTTATGTTAGAGTGAAAAATTATATACTACAAAAATGACAGAAACATGCATATAAGATCTAGATTAATGTGATTTTATCATGTAAAACATATAAATGTCTGTGTGAGATTTTTCTGCCCTTGTCCACACCAACTTCCCCCATTCTCTCACTGATATTTTTTTTTCCGCCATATTTCTGCAGATGAAAGATGCCCGTGTGGGCCTGCAGGCTTCCCTACTGGTCAGGTCCCAAGAGACAGGGGAGCTGTTTGTCAACTTTGACCCAGAGATTCTGACCCAGATCAGAGAGACCAACTGCATGATGAGGATGAATCTGGAGATCCCACCATTCGCTGCCCTTTTACGGCAAAAACAGGACACTCTTAAAAAGAACAACGACAAACTAAAGGTGGATGTTTTACACGGTTCTGTACAACTGACAATAATTACAAGAGAAAGTAGTCATTTTAGGGGCCAAAAGTGATTGTAAGAGATGTCATATCTACTGCTTTGAATATATTCATGATGAATAGATTCAAAACTGCTGTAAAGAAAACAAAATCTGTATAAACACCTTTTCCCTCCTTAGTTAATGCTGACTGAGAACACCAGAGTGCGTGCTAAGATTCAGAGTGCCTTTGAGCAACTGGCCATGCCTCATGTCGCTAAGGTAAGATGTAAAAATGTAATTAAAATGTATGACTTACATTTAATTATTTATCGGATTAAAATGATATAACACCATTAAAATTACTAGAAGCTGCTCCCAGTGCAGATTGCAACATACATTTAAATATCAAACCACTTTAAAACTCTTTACAGTTACGATGATATTATTCTCCCTAAAAAGCCAAAGTTAGCATAAATTTTGCAAATGGCATTTCCGTTTTGTTCATTTTTCATCAGTGGGAACCGCTGGTGCATCCTAATCTAGCAGAACTCTCTCTGAACCATGATCTGACACTGCTTCTTGAATGATGCTAATGTACAAAAAGTGAACCACAGATCATTTTATTTCCTGTTGAAAATGTCCTAACAAGCTTCATGTGTCAGAAACAGGCAGAGTGATTAAAAAAGAAAAACGCCCACCCTGGTTCTTTTCATGCAAATTTTGGAAATTCGTATTATATTTGCAGAGGGAGAAATATTATCAGAGAGATAATTCTGCTCATCAGCTGTGCTACTGTCCTCAGTGTGTTGTGGAAAACGTGTTGTTTGCCCTGCATGTGCAAACAACACATGCACCCTCATTGCTTTTAGGTTCATTTAGAGAAGATTTTTAAGGTAGTGAAGGGGCACTTTAACTATTCTGTTTTATTATTTAATCATTTAGATTGTCTTTAACCAGGAGGCCTCATTGAGCTTATTAGTCTCTTTAACTAGTCACCTTGTGTTCTGAGGTGGGCATTTCTGCATTGCTTTAAACAAGTCTCAGTATTATCTGCTGGTGTATCGGAAAAGCGTTTTGCTATCCTGATGAATAGGAGCTCTATTTAACCACATGAATCAAAAATATGTATTTTTGGTAGAGGTTGGCTTTTAACCTAAGTTGAGAATTCTTTTACACACTATCAACAATTGTGTAGTTATTAGTTATTGTATTGTCATTGGCTCTCATTTTTTCTGTTCATAAGAAGGTTATCAACTTGGGTAGTGAACCACAATCAATCAGATCAGTCCTGTTTGAAAATTAGACATGGCCTTGCCCTGAAATTGTGTCGGGATAAGCAGAAAATGGGCTCCAGACTGAAATATTTAGATGAGTGCTCTCCACTTTTAAACTACACTCTTTCTACTGGTTTAATCACAACTTAAACATATGAATCTGTGTTTAAATGAGAGTTATTTTGCATGGCAGTTACCATACAGAGTTTATCCTCACATATCACTGACTTGACAGGTGGATGAGGCTATACAGCCTGGTTTAACATCCCTCAACTGGACATCTCTCAACATTGACAAGTACCTCAGCTGCATTGACAAGGCTTTAGGTAAGCAAAAATAACTGACAAGATCGATGTTTTATAAGCTGACACACAAGGCATCCTTCAACTCAGAACTGACAGCATCATTAATCATTATGTACTGGGTGTTTGTCTGCTCTAAGAATACATACAATACCTCCCCCCATCCCACCTTTCTCTCCTCAAATCCTCTACCTGCTTCTCTTATATTCTTGTGTGCTTACTCATATCCGCTTGTCTCTCCAGTTGACCTCGAGCTGTTGATGGACAGGGTGAATGACTTGGTAGAGTTTAGGATTGACGCAGTACTGCAAGAGATGAGCAGTTCTACACTGTGTGTTTTGCCAGAGGATGAGCCCGTCACCTGTGAAGACTTTGTTCAGACAACCAGGGTAAATGAGAAATACACTTTTTTTTTTAAATAGTGCAATATTCAGGAATTTTGTGCAGCAATATAGAGGCTACAGATCACAATCAATAACCATTTACACACATCATTGGTTTGTGAATGAAACACACTAAGCATTGTAACCCTTGCAATGCTGGGTAGAAATAACTGACGGTAAGTAAGTGTGGCTGACATCACTGACTTTGTGCTCAGGTAGCTCCTTTAGAGTTTTGCATGTAGGGTTGAATTAAGGTAAATTGAAAAGAAATGACAAGAGAGCATGGTGTGCCTTAGTGCATTACCCTTCATGTCATATTTATGGTGCACGATGTATGTATGTGTGTATGTAGGACCTGTGCATAAGACAAGCCCAGAGCCTCCACACTAAGAGCTCACTGGTGGAGGAGGCTGCTAATGAACTGATCAACATGTTGCTGGAGTTTGACCACAACCAGAGAGAGGAGGTGGAGAAGACGGAGGAAGAAAGCTGTGTGGAGAGCAAAACCATAGACCACATTGAAAGTGAAGGTACACTGACATTTCCTTTCGAGATTTAAGAGAATTAAACACAAGGGGCCAACGTTTGTTTGAACAGTGCAACTCTCATTTCTGTTACATATTAATAAATTCTTTATATCTTTGTGTTGGCTGAGAAAGGAGAGCATTTAAAGATGTAAATGTTCTCTCAAATTATCCACTTTTGTATCTCAGGTGAAGATGAGAGATGCTCAGAGGGTCACCTATTCTCCAGAAACACCCTGATCCCTCCGGCCAGTGTTGGCCCTTCATCTCCTTTAATGAGGAAGAAAAAGAAGAGAGACCTAATGGAAGTGATGGAGGAGGAAGCCCAGCAGCTTCTCGCCTACTTCAACCACCGTAATGTTGATGCTTTGCTCAGATTGACACGCAACACCCTTGAGATGTTACGCAAGCGCATCCACACCTCTTCACTTGTACATTTCTTGGGTAGGTCTTGTGTAACCACTTTGCTGCTCTCTGAATAGTCTCTCATCTTAATCTTAATGTTCAGTCATGTTGGTTATGAAAGCTGACTTTTGGTTCTGAACAAGGCTTGATCCATAATTTGTCAAATGATGAAAGACCGAAACAAACAAATATAATTTCCCTGGATCTAAAAAAAAATCTATTACTAACTTATGTTGTAGTCAGTAGCCTTATCTCTGCCAAAACCACACCATCTGCAGTGCTTTTTTTGACTGGGAGATGACCTGAAGTCAATAAGTTCTTCAATATTGGCTGTTTTTATGGATTCTTCTGTATTTTTGACAGCTCTGCATCAGAGGTTATTTGAAATAGATCTGATAAAATTAAGACAACTTAATCATCCCACAATGATATATCAAGCCAAACATAGAAAACGGAGGTCAAAGTACACATCATGAACCTGACCCTCTGGTCGCTGATTCAAATCTGAGATGCATGACTTCACATTTTGTGTTTTGATGTCAAGAATTGTCTCAAATATCTATTTGAGCAGAAGACTAAAATATCATGACCACATTTGATTAAAAAAAGTGCCAAGTTGTTATTGGTGCATCCAGCATCCCTATCTGCTCTTATACAACACAGCCTGCGCTACATACTGTACATGAATGGGCTTCCTTTTAAGTAGAAGGGATCTTGTTTTTGTTTTGGTTGATGTTACTCTATCTTATCTAGACATTTCACATCAAATCAAAGTCAAAGAATGCCAGGAACAAAGTGATCTTTGAGTGAGTGTTGTAAAGATTTAACATCATTTATCCAGTATGCAGTAAATAATCGTATACTTTCTTTCTAATGTCTGCAGCAACATTGGTAACCCACAAATATACAGGATAATTCAAAATTATTATTTTGATAGGTGTGAAGAAATAATATTTGGCTGGAGGCTTAAACAGGCGATTGAAATATTTGTGAGTGCATTGTAAATTGATATGCTGGCCTTAAGTTTCTGCTTTAAAGGGGCAATTAGGATAACTTCTTCCGAGCAACTCTACCAAAGTCTGAATAGATGCAGATCCTCGTCCTGTGAAAAACAAGTTGTGTCTGACAAGCAGAGTTGTCTGACCAAATCCTTAATCAGCCAAATTGGATACCATAGATTCTGGCTTGTAAGATTTAATCACAGATGTTTTTTTTAAATTATTATTTAAAGCTCAAAGTATGTCAGTCTTTGAATCCTCCTCTGTCCCCATGTAGCTGAGGGTGGTTCACTCGGCCGTCGGAAAAGTAGCGGTCAGCAGGCAATCTTCAGAGTCGATGTGACTCTCTCCATCCCTAACATCACTATGGTTCCAGCTCTGGAGGAGGTCCAGCAGGCTCTAAACAGAGCTGTAGAGTGTATAGTCAGTGTCACTAAAGGTGTCAGTCAGTGGAGCAAGGAGAGGATCTCAAAGGTGAGTATATCTGATTCAATAATCAAAGTATTTGGGGATTTATAATGTTATAGTCCTGTCATATATCCAAGAAACACTGGCCTGTCATCGCATTTCTTTTCCATTTTCCAGAGAAAAATGAATGAAAGACGGATGGCAGCTCTGAAACAGGAGAGCTCAGAGAGTGAATCAGAGGATGGAGCAACAACATACAGGAGCCTGGCTGGTATGAGACAGCATTAAATCTCCGCCTAACCCTGCACACGTGTGACAACTCTGCAGATTGCCTTTTTTTGGTCACACAGTTATTAATCTCTATTGTTTCCAACATACAGACCAGAGCACAGATCATTAGCCAGTGCACTGCAGTCACTAATAATCAGATCCTCTCATTTTGTAGCTCAGCAGAGCAAAACTGCGTCTGACTAGGAGCAGATAAAATTATGTGAATATGAAAACTGCATGAATATTTTGTCGGCTTTGGGCGGACATTTATGGATTTGGGAAAACTTATATAAAACCCAATCATAAGTGGAGTAACTGTCGCCTGTGATGAATCTGAGGGCTGAGTGATACATTGAATTTAAGAGTGCAAGGGTAGAAGCAAGGGCATTTCTATAAACAACATCACTGTAATCTAAAAGAGATAAAAAAAGACAGCCTAAATGGTTAGTTTGCTGAAGAGCCTCGGAAAGTTACTTTTTGGCATAGCTGTTTGGCAAGAGAATCAACATTGAATTTGAACAGCAGTTTTTGATCCAACCATAATCCAATATATTTACACTCAATACTCATTATTGCGTCCTGTCAGAGTGTTGATACATAAACCATTTTCTACAATATCTCTTGTTCTAGAAAATATCATGTGTTTTGTTGGGGTTGAGAGCCATTTTCAGATGGAACAGAACATGCTGTAAGTGATTAAAAGCTTGTGTTTGAATGGCTGATAATGTGGTGTCTGTAGAACAGTAAAGGACTGTATCGTCAGCACACAGATGTGTGGCACGATTTGCAGTGGTGGGCATAATAATATCAAGACAAATTGTAAATGAAAAAGGACCCACAATTGAACCTTGTGGTGCACCCACTGCCAAGGGAAGGAACACAGCATGTTATTTTTGTAAGACCATACACTGCTGCGTCTGTGACAGGTAATCCAGGAACCAATTGCGGGACTCTGAATCAAATTCAACATCATTCAGCCTATGAACAAGTAACGAGTGGTCGACGTGTCAAAGGCTTTGGATAAATCTATAAATAATGCAGCACAATATTTCCCTTTGTCAATGAAACAAATGTCATCATTTCTTCGTCATGTAATCACAAAAGAGGGGATCCAAGTATCACGCTATGGGGTTTGGCCCCCTCCTTTCAAACTCAACTTTTTCCTTTGTTTTCATGAAATATCCACCAAACTCTCTTCTTTGCAGATGGAAGCACTTCGGATATTTCAGCTTCTGTGATTCAGGCCATTCCATTTCAAGTTAGAAACTACTACAAGAGTGTTTCTGAGAACAAGGAGATAGCAAAACTCGTGTCTGTTCTCAGCACGTCCATCAGCTCCACCAAAAAGGTAATCTACCCCACAGATTCAACGAGAGCATTTTACTGGAGCATATATGCAGAGAGCTCAGTCTCTATGCTCTTTCTATATAACATGTTGCTTCTGTTTAGATTTGATTTTGATTTAAATTTGTTTTCTCTATTAATCGACAAAGGTAACAACAGTCAATTTCAGTCCCTTTATATTAATTCTAAACTTCTTGACCTTTAATAATAAGGAGAAACAAACTCAGATTCAAATTCTTGACTGTAACTCCTGTGTCATGCCCTTTCACAGGAAGTGATGATTGCTCTGGACCGTTTTAGTCGGTACCATCACATCTGGAGAAAGGACCGTGAAGACACCATGCAAAAGTATGATAAGCAAAAGGACTTATGTACAAATTGGACTTTCCTTACTGAGAACTAATTTTTTTTTGTTGTGGTTCTTTTCACAGATTTATCCAGGGCAGTCCCTTGCTGTCAGAGTTTGAGAGCCAGATTCTTTTCTATCGAGATCTGGAGCTGGAAATAAACTCTGAACTGGAGTACATCACAGTTGGAGCTTTGGCTCTTTTCACAGGTTAGATTGAAGTTTTAAATCATTGCAGAAACTTTCACAAGATGTCTTGACTTCTCGGAACACAGTCACTACAGTGCCTTTGATCAAACACAGTATTTCTGAAAGTCCTTCAGTAAAGAGAGAAAGACTTAGTAGACAATGACAACATGAAAAACAAAAAGCTGATTTCTGGCCAACCATCTACTGGTATCTGTGTATTTATTTTCACTAGCCAACCTCAAAATGTCCCTCACTGCTGAAACCAAGAACTGGATGATGGACTACGGACTGTACTGCAACAGGAAATACCGCTCAGAGATGGAGCAGATATTTGCCTTCATTGATGAAGCAGGAAAGAAACTGAACCGGCAAATCAAGGATCTGGATGATATCCGCATTGCCATGGCAGCACTTAAGGAGATCAGAGAGCATCAAATATCAATTGATTTCCAAGTTGCCCCTATAGAGGTACATCACAACATGGGGTCCTTCATAAAGCATAGCCCCCAGCATGCACACAGCAGGAGTTGGACTAGATGTCCGGGGGAGTTAACATAAGAGTATATCTGAAGTGTTTGATTGTGGCAGTTGTGAAAATAATGAGAAGGGTTTTCAATTTACAGATGGATGTTCACTCGAACTTTGAGTGTTGTTTTTTAAGTATTAATGATAAGTCTTGAATCAAAAGCTTAATGTCAGGGGAGACAAAGTTTGGGAATTTAAACTTCAGTTAATTGCTAAAAAGATGATGTATTTATGGTTTGGCAATATTCCTACTGGAGATCACAGAAAGAAGAAATGAAAAGAAAAAAAAAACCCTTAGCCTCCTTACACTGTTTTCCAGGAGTCCTATGCCATGCTTCATAAATATGGGCTGTCAGTGGCGAAAGAAGAGGCAGAAAAGGTGGATACTCTGCGTTACACTTGGGGGAAGTTGTTGTCCCGGAGCACAGAGGTCCAGAACGAGCTTGTTGCCCTGCAGCCCAACTTCAGGGGAGAGCTTGTCAGCAATGTTAAAACCTTCCTGGAAGACTGTCAACACTTTTACCAGGAATACGAGAAGGTAAGAAACAGAAAATAATAAGTATAATTTTCTGAATAAACACACAGACCCTGGATTGATCAACAGATATTCTTGGTAATCAGCGGGGCAGGAAATCACACACACAAGAGTAGGGATAAGGAGGTAGAAGAAACATGGGAAGAACTCAGGAAACCAATTAAAACAGCTCCTGTAGTGGGCTTAGGATAAATGTGAAAACTAACGTCATCCTCTCTGCTTCAGGATGGCCCCATGGTGGTGGGACTCGCTCCTCAGGATGCGAGTGATAGACTCATTATGTTCCAGGTATGTTATCTATGTAGAATCGTAGTAATTAGGCTCTGGAAATAAGTCATGATGTAACCAAAAAGTTTCTCTTTGCCATTTTGTTGTTTTAACCTCCTTTCCGCTCTTTGTAAATGAAATATATACAGAAAAAGAAGTAAAAGAAGATTTCAAATGCTTTACTACAGGCATGCAATGTTAACAAGTAAAGGTTTAAGTGAGGCAGTTTTACTGTGGGATAAACTAATGCCATTTCTCCCCCCTTCAGAACCGATTTGACAACCTATTCAGGAAGTACATCACATACACAGGTGGAGAAGAGTTGTTTGGACTTCCTGTTACCCAACATCCACAACTGTTGGAGATCAAAAAGCAGCTGGCTCTGCTGCAGAAGCTGTATGGCCTTTACAACAATGTCATTGAAACAGTTAATGGCTACTATGACATCCTCTGGGCTGACATCCATATCGAGAAGGTCAACAACGAGCTCCTGGACTTTCAGACAAGGTAAAACAATAACACTGATTTTTATTGACTATAATGTAATCTAGATTATACATTTGAAGCTTCTCGTGCTTGTTTGAGAGTTTCAGACCTCTAGGATGGCTGAAGAACTTTTTATGTGTGGGTCTTTGTTTTGTTTACCCACTGCAGTTACGGACGGACAGGCACGCATAAAAATGATGTATTGCACTTTTCCACTGACCTGGACTAAGGGTAAACAGCACAATAAGCTGCAACATGTTAGTGAGACAGGTTGGAAAAAGACCAAAAAATAGTATTCATTGGTTGAAAACTATATTGGATTTAGATATTTGAAATAATGGCTCTGTAAAATTTAATAAGGAACACACTCGACACATTAGTTTGCTTTCCACTTTACATTTGTGATTAGTAAAAATAAATGTGAATTAGTTTCCAGAAAAACTTTGCCAGTTCAATTGAATTAAATTTCCAGGAATTATGACGTGCTTTCTATTAAACTGAAATGAACAATGGAAGACTAAACAGACCTCAGTCAACAAAATGTTGAGGTGGTTTTCAAAGAAAAGGGCTTGACAAAGTAATCAGTCATCATTTTCCCACAGGAGGTTAATAACCATTAAACCCAAACACTGCCGTACAATAAAGAAGTGACCTAAGAGGAAAATAAAATGGAGCTACTCTATTTTTAAACTGTCCCTCTCACTATCACCTCTCTCCTCTTCTCGCCTGATAACAAAGTCCTTCCAATATAAACTGTTTTCATTTATTCTTTGCATGAATGCTCCAGAGGACATCAACTTCATATTTTCCATCCCCATTTATCTTTGTGCTCTGTCCTCTGCTCAGGTTTGTCATTGAGGATGTGACCAAGGGAAATTGAAAGAACAGGATAAGATAATTCAGGGTGAATAAATGTACTCCTCGCAGATTTTAGATGAAAAAGTTCTTCGTAATAGGTGTCTATTTTTGTTTTCTCCTGAAAATGTGAAAGTTATTCAAGGTTTCAAGCAGTAAAGACTCACAAAAGGGGTGCTGATGCATCAGTTAAAAAGAAAAGACAACCTGTGGGTCTCATGTATCTCTTAGTTTTGAGCATTACTTTGGATTAAACTTGGCAAAAGTGCTGAGCAACGAGTGCCGTTAATTACAATGTTGACAGCGTGCATGAACAGAAAACATGCGGAAAACTTCTGGACTTGATGCAGGACCGTTGTTTTGACTCAATGCCTTATATGTCCTTTAACTAACAGGTGTCGCAAGTTGCCTCGTGCACTGAAAGAGTGGCAGGCTTTCCTGGATCTGAAGAAAACAATCGATGAATTCAGTGAGTGCTGCCCTCTGCTGGAGCTCATGACCAACAAGGCTATGATGACAAGACACTGGAAGAGAATCACAGAGGTAAGATAAACAAGGCCTTGAACATACTACCAGAGATGTATCATGGGCATATCGTGATCTATCTATCTATGCAGTAATTAAAAATAGTCACTTTAATTTGATCACGCTGACCAGTAAATCTGCCTGATTTTGTACAAAGGTAACCGGGCATACCTTTGAAGTAGAAAGTGATACATTTAAACTGCGCAACATCATGGAGGCTCCTCTGCTCAAGTTTAAAGAAGAGATTGAGGTGAGTATTCAGGATGGGTTTCCTGTACAGATCAAGAAAAAAACATTTGAGTAGCTTCTTTTTGAAAAGCATACAGTGGATGGAAAAATAAATGGTAATTTAATGACATTTAAATAGTTGAATGTGCTGCTTATATTAGACTAATGCGTGCTCACTGAAAAGCAAAAAGGGCCTTTGTAAAGAAGACACATTTAGTTTTTTGCTACACTATATTAATCCTTTCTTGCTAAAACTGAACTATAACCCACTGAAAAAAACAGATGTGCAAAATGCAGTAATATAATTCTGTTGGCTCTAAATGTGTGTAAAAGCACCATTATCATTTTCATATAAGGCCATAATGTTAGCTGTTTTGACCAACAGATGATGGGTTTGCTTCAATCACAAAATCATAGATGTTTTTTACAGGAGCCTGTTTGCATACTTGAACAGTGAAACATTAAAAATAAAGATTTTTATACATTTTTATGTTAATAAATGTTTCATTATTCCTCAGCTTTTGTTTCCTGACATTTCTTTTTGTGGTCTCATAGTTTTAATCTTAAAGTACACTTGTTTTTTTCAGTTTCAGTTCTGTTTGTACCAACATCTTGAAAGGCAAATGAAAAGAGTTATTCTTTTTTTCACCTTTTTTTTTTCTCCAGGATATTTGTATTAGTGCTGTGAAAGAGCGGGATATTGAGCAAAAGCTGAAGCAGGTGATCGCTGAGTGGGACAATAAGACTTTCACGTTTGCCAACTTTAAGACCCGTGGAGAACTCCTTCTGAGAGGCGACAGCACATCAGAGATCATTGCCAGCATGGAGGACAGCCTGATGATGTTAGGGTCTCTTATGAGCAACAGGTAAATCATTGTTTACTGTTAAGTTTCCAGTACAAGGATTGCATGAAGCTTATTCAATTAGAATGAATCAGAAACATTACATATGTTCTGACTTTATAGGTTTGGGAATGCAAATGTTTGTCGCAGTCTGCTACTCTTTGTTGTCTGAGATAAGTATACGTGATGTTTTTGTAACCCATTTTGTCAGGTACAACACCCCATTTAAAGCTCAGATTCAGAAATGGGTCCAGAATCTTTCCAACACCACTGATATCATAGAAAACTGGATGACCGTCCAAAACCTTTGGATCTACCTGGAAGCTGTGTTTGTGGGTGGAGACATTGCTAAACAGCTGCCTAAGGTAACACTCATAAAATGTAGTTTCATGAGTTACGTAAATGACAAAACTGAGCCAGTTCATGAAAAATGCGCTCTTCCATCTCCAGGAGGCGAAGCGTTTCTCTAACATTGACAAATCATGGGTGAAGATTATGATGCGAGCCCATGAGATGCCCAATGTTGTACAGTCATGCGTGGGAGATGAGACTATGGGGCAGCTGCTTCCTCACCTCTTGGAACAACTTGAGATCTGCCAGAAGTCACTTACAGGGTGAGACAAAATGACCACATAATAAATGTATTTACTTATTTGTGTAAAAAAAGTAGAGGGTATTACTGAATACCACTACAAAGAGTCAGAATAACTGTTTTAGTATAGGTTGTAGGTTGTGTTTTTTTGAACAAATGCTTTTTTATTCTGTCAAATAGATATTTGGAGAAGAAGCGTCTGCTGTTTCCCCGTTTCTTTTTTGTCTCCGACCCTGCGCTGCTGGAGATACTGGGCCAGGCCTCGGACTCTCACACCATCCAGGCTCACCTTCTTAACGTCTTTGACAACATTAAAAGTGTTAAATTCCATGACAAGGTGAATTTTTCTCTGGACTGTTCTCATCATAAAAAATAGTTATTGACCTTATAGAGCACATAAAATAGAAATCTTCTGACCTCAAGTGACTCATCAGATTAGTTCTGTGGAGTATCCAACTCACAAGTGATAACAGATAACCAATATGTGGGTGTTAACTATAAAGGGTATCCTCTTCAACAGATATACGATCGTATTCTGGCTGTGTCATCGAGGGAGGGTGAGACTGTGGAGCTGGAGCGTCCGGTTACCGCAGAGGGGAATGTGGAGGTTTGGCTCAATGCTTTGCTGAAGGAATCCCAGAGGTCTTTGCACCTGGTGATCAGACAAGCTGCCCTGACCATCCAAGACTCTAGCTTTCAGCTCATTGACTTCCTCAACTCCTTCCCCGCTCAGGTAAATCATATTGTGACACCCAAAGAGAAAACAAGCAAAATACAACTTTTTAAAATCATGGGTCAGCCCTTTGGACTATCTTCAGGGCTGAAATAAAAGGTGTATAAATCAGTCACATAACCAGATCAAAAGTAGGATTCTCAATGATATATATTTAGAAGCAGATCAGCTGATTTCTTCCTTTTTGTTTTATTTTTTGAGGACTCTTTAAAACTACGATAAAGCATTAATGTGACCATATCAGACTTGAAGTTTTCCTGCTGCTTACAAAATATCATTATCCCTCAAACAGGTGGGCTTGTTAGGTATTCAAATGATATGGACCAGGGACTCTGAGGAGGCTCTCAACAATGCACGATATGATCGACGCATTATGGCCAAAACCAACCAGCTGTTCCTGGATCTGCTCAACACACTGATTGACATGACCACAAGAGACCTGGGGGCTGTGGAGAGGACCAAGTATGAGACCCTCATCACCATCCATGTCCACCAGAGGGACATATTTGATGACTTGGTGAGCATGGTGATCCACACAGTTGTAATCTTTAGTGTCTATTTTTTTAACTACAATATCTAGCACAAGATCACTTACTTTTTGTAAAACTGCTTTTGATATTTAGCTCCATAGGGGTCTGATAAAAGAATCTTCAAAGCGTTCACGTTTGCAGCCAAATAATATTTAGCACTGAAGAAATGAAGTCTTTGAAGTCTCCCCTCATAGAGTAAACCGCCTGGCCAATGTCCAATGTGAATAGAGCAGGTGTGGCGCAATCCTATTCCAGCATTTATATTTGATTCCATCCTGTTGTATTCACTTAACGTCCCCCCTTCATATTTGTCTCCCAAATCTTGCAGGAAGCCTTGTTTACAAAAATCTTTCTCTCTTGTCTTCACTTCAGTTCTTTCCCCCACAATTTTCCTCCACTGTTGCCTTTCTTCTCCCACATCATTTTCTTCCTTACAGCATTATGTGTTTCCACTGCACAGTTGTATTTCAACGCTCATTTTATTATACTGCTTATTCCACGCTCACTTCCTTTGTGTTTCCTCCGCCTCATTTCTCTCTCTTGGACTCTTGCGTCTTTTCTTTCATCCCACCCTTTCTTGCCTCTCTTCCTATCTCTGCCTCCTTTAATGTAACCTTCCTTTCACCTCATGCCCTCTCATACATCCTGCTCTTCCAATACTTCTTCTGTCTGTCGTACTGCTTTTATGACTCACCTCACCTCACCTCACAAATGGTCTACTTCGATTTTCTGTTTTTTACTCTCATCACCTTTCTCTCCATCCTTTCATCTTGCTCCTTTTTTGTCTCACTTTGTCTCCTCTCCCTCCACAGCTCTTCTTTTTGTCTCTCCTCCTCACCTTTATTGTCACTCTTTTTCCCTACAGTGCCGACTTCATGTCAAAAGCCCCAACGATTTTGAGTGGCTGAAGCAGTGTCGTTTTTACTTCAATGAGGACTCAGACAAGATGATCATCAACATCACAGACGTAGGCTTTGTCTACCAGAATGAGTTCCTGGGCTGCACTGAGAGGCTTGTCATCACGCCATTGACTGACAGGTAGAGGGCCATCAATAAAGACACACTCACACACAGACACACACATATACACACACACACACAAAGGCACTATTATTAAGGCAGTCATAAAATGAATGAAAGATGAAGAGGTTGAACCTTTTTGCTTGTATTTTCAAATCATACATATTTGTATAACAATACATATATATGTGTGTATACTATCTGCATGCTATATCTGTATGCTATAGCTAAAGCACCTTTAGGAAGCTGCTTTATAAAGCCTGAATAGCTGTTCTATCAAAGCTCTCACTAAAATTGGCCGCTCTTGACTTGAGTGGCCTCCCTCTGCCTCTGCCTCTGCCTTGTGAGTGGGGAGCAGATTAGGAACAATTGCATATGTAGCATTCACTGACTGAGTAAATCACTGGTACACTAAGTTATATTGGTGGCTGTAGGGGTATGGGGGGAAAAATCAAATGAAGAAGATAAGTGGAATAAGCTCAATGCTGGAAAAAGAAAGGAACAAAAAGATGAAACTAGATAGACTGGCAAGTGACTGGCTAAACGCAAGAAGCAGGGTTGCACAGTGTATAAAATTGTACTTAGTATTGCTATCTCAGTATTGCAAAAGTATGAAATAGCCAACAAATACCCGAAGGTTAATACCCTGGTGCCAATTCAAAGATGGAAAAAAAATGAAGGTGTTATTTTATGATGAATGGCAAATGGACAGAAATTGCAATTTACAGTACACTGTATGTGAATCCTTTAACTTCATGTTCATTCAACAGTATAATCACTCATTGTTTATTTTTTTATTATAATTAAAATTTTATGCAGACCTAGTGAAAAGGTTTGGAAGAATTAATCCTTGAATTTAATTTTCTTGGCCTAGCTTTTTTCATCACGTTTTGTGCACAACTAAGTCCTGCATCAAGAGCGTCTATGAGTAGTGACCACCCAAACTTATAACTTTAACTACTGTATTTGACAGTGAATAAAACCCAGAGCGCAAATTTGATAATATTGGTGCCTTTTACTGTCTTACTGTCTAGAATGTGTCAAAGATGTGCTTGCAACAAAAGAGTTACCATTAGGAATGAGAGCATCTTAAATTCCAGATTTGAAATATTAAAAACAGAACTGCACAGAGTGGACAAGGTAAATATAACCTTTAAACAACCATCATCTCCTTAAGACTTTGACCTTAGTTTGTAACAATTCAGCTTCTTTAATATTGTGAGTACTTTAGTGACACATTTGATTACATGTCTTTCATCAAGGAGCTTGCAGCAACAACTTGGTATACTTTCTAGCACTGCTCAAGATATGTGCTGATCACTGGTTTTATTTTGTTGTGGCTTAAATGGTCCACCAGTTTATATATTATGGTCTACGATTTATACCAATCAGTGTTAGATAGGGAGACTGTGGAAAGTAGATAGAAGAAGTAGACACTCTTTGCAGGATGACTATCACCCTGTTCCTTACAGAGGACATGAATGACAAAGAAAGAGGAAGTCAATCAGACTGAGAAAGGTAGCCAAAGGTCCAACAACACCAGTGTTGGTCTAATAGACCCAGAGAAGGAAATATGAGAGGACTGCAAGACAAAAAAGGAGACAGGGAGAGAGAGATTAGAAGAGACAGCAGCAGGGAGGGGGCAACCAGCAGACATCAGTTCTCCAGAGAAGTGGCACACTGTCCTTGTGGCCTGAGGCACCCAGACAGCTCTGATATTCTCATCGCCTACTTATCCTGCCTGAAACTCTATCTGATTCTGTCCATCCAGTTCCCATGTTTTGTCCTCTCTATCACTCACTGTCTTTATTCGTACTCTCTCACATTATCCAAGCTCTGTTTCTCTGCTATTGCATCAGGTTTGAAAATAAGTAACGGTGGATTTGGTTTTACATGAAATCAGAAAAGGAACAAAAACTATTTGAAGAGCCTTCCTAAAAACAGCTGTGGTCAAGTTAGTTTTACATTACTGAAGGACACAAAATTTGGTGCGCGATTTGGTGCACGCACACTTCTGCCATGTTTTTTGACTCGAGGCCAGCCAGGCAGTGGAAAGGGAAAGCTGTGTTCAGCCAGAAGGTCTGGGTCAGATCAGTCATCCTCTCTACTGAAGTGTCCTCTGGCAAGATTCAGAGTCCTCACCAGCCCAGGACAATGTGCTCTTTGGCAGCATCTGACCTCCGTTCTCCCTGCGGAGATCACACTGTATAAGTTCAATTGCACAATGACTTGGATGTGAACATGGATGGAAAAGTTTTCTGCTCATCTGGGAATTTTTAAAGGCCTCTAAATCTCAGCTTTCCTTCTCTCTGTGTGTGTGTGTTAGGTGCTACATCACCCTTGCACAGGCTCTGGGTATGAGTATGGGTGGAGCCCCTGCTGGACCTGCAGGAACAGGTAGGACTGAGGCACAAAAGCTCTTGACAATTCGTTCCTACATTATATAAAGGAACAAGGTGTCTTTATGGTATTTTTTTTTGGTCAAACTCCCCTTGTTTACAAACTATTTTTGTATAAATATGAGAATAAAAACAAATTTAAAGTGTACCAGGTTTTGATATTTAACTAAACTGCCTTTTGTTTTTAGGTAAGACAGAGACCACAAAGGACATGGGTCGCTGTCTGGGAAAATATGTTGTAGTATTCAACTGTTCTGACCAGATGGATTTCAGAGGCTTGGGGAGAATATTCAAAGGTAAGAGTCACAAAGTAAACTGGCCTTTTTTTACATTGGTGCAAACGACATAGAATAAGTAATACATCCTACATACACACAAAATGAGATGGCTGGTTTAATTGTTTTACAAACATAGATGTCATAAAGTGCTTGTTGTCTGATTTCTAGGTCTGGCTCAGTCTGGTTCTTGGGGCTGTTTCGATGAGTTTAATCGGATTGACCTCCCGGTTTTGTCGGTGGCAGCACAGCAGATTGCAATAGTTCTCACCTGCAAGAAGGAACGTCGCAAAAACTTTATCTTTACAGATGGAGACAGTGTGGACATGAACCCAGAGTTTGGCATCTTCCTTACTATGGTCAGTGACACAACAGAGCCAGAAATAAGAATTCATAATTTACTCTTTAGGCTGCCCTCACATCTGTTCCCAATAACTGTCATTATTTCCTGACACCCAAGTATTATTCGATTATCCCTGATGCTTAGAAATCATCTTTGTTGTTTCAATCACAATCAAATATTTAACACAGCCAAGTAATAAAAACACTGAGTTTATTGAGACCATGTTTTGTTTAACAAGGCAGTTTGATCAATACTAAAGACAACAACCTACCTCTTATCAATAATAGCTGTGTTCATTATTATCCTCTTACATTAACAGTTAGATCTCCTGAGTACAGTAGGTATCCCAAGACGAGTCATTAAAGAAGAACTGTGAGATAAAGCTTCAAGTGTGGAGAGGGGTCAGAGAAATTTTCTCTTTATTTTTTAGCCTGTGTTTGTGTGAGAGTGGGGGGGGGGGTGTTTCTATACATCTGTATAGAGGCATTAATCACTCTGTAGAGAGGAGGGGCTGTGCTGAGTCCATGGAGATTGAACAAGCTGCAGGAGAGTGCTTTCTATCCACTTTAATGATGTGCCAGTATTAACTTAAGGTTTTCTGCAGTTTACTTTGTGTGCAGTTATCAAGAGCAAATAGAAAGACACTCAAAATGGCCTGTGCATTTCTTTTCGCTCTAAATTGTACAAATTGCAGCCACTTGCTTTTATACATGCCTATAAATTAAAGGGCTGTACGACTTTATATCTGCAGTGTTTCTTTTTGTATTGGCTGTGCAGTCCTTGCCACTTTAACAGGAATGTGAATGTTCTGTGTTGTTAAGTCTTAATTGATACACACCGTATTTTCAGCCAATTAACATGATTCTCTTCTCTTCGTTGTATAACCAGAATCCAGGTTATGCGGGTCGCCAGGAGCTTCCTGAGAACCTGAAAATAAACTTTCGCTCTGTGGCCATGATGGTCCCTGACCGTCAGATAATCATTAGGGTGAAATTGGCCAGTTGTGGGTTCATAGACAACATGGAGTTAGCCCGCAAGTTTTTCACCCTTTACAAGCTGTGTGAGGAGCAACTGTCCAAGCAGGTAAAGACACAAGATGAAGAGTTTGTTCTGGGTCTTAAACATAAAAAGTTGTCTTGCCTCAGGTCATCACACATATGCACTTTGGCTGGGCTCAGATCTTAGCCTTTGCTCATATTGAACCATCTCATATTTTTCCTAAATAGACTTAGTCTAAGTGACAGTAGAATTAAAAACACAGAGCTTTTGATTTCTGAATTTCAAGATTAGACTCAGTGATTACTTTAAAATAAACACAAAATACTTGTAAGAAAGAAGGACGCTCAGTGGGGACCCTTCCAAACTACACCTTTATCGCAGTGCTGCTTAGTGGCCACTTCACCTCAAACAGCATTGACAGTTTCAGCAGACGTGAGTTGCAAATTGAGTAGGCAGCAAGAGCCAACAAATCAGCAGGGTTACTAAGTTGGCATGTCTCTTCTTTGGCGTTTCATCAAGAGAGGCTCAATAGTCAGCTTTGGTGTCAGGGACTGGAGTTTGTAGAGAGATGTCTGATAGAGGACATAGACGATAGAGCCAGATCGAGAAACCTGTTTGAGCCAGAGCTCGCTCTTTGGAGGAAAGCTTTGCACTCTACAACATGTAATATGGGTGATATCGTAATTAATTGCTTAGAGAACATATTCTCTATTAGTTATATACACATGAAATACGCAGCCCATAATTGTACAGTCGTTCCTGAGTGCTTGAACGTCTTCATTCTGGTAATTATGATTTGTTAGGGCTTCCTTATCATGAATCAGCACTGTTCACAATGCAATTCCCAGCTGATCAACATTTTTTTTTTTTTTTTATGCCTGAAGATTAATGGTTTATTGTCTTGTAGACAAATGTCTTATATAAAATATCCATTTAGATATCTGAAACTGTAAGCAGAGACAGTACATAGGAAAGCATTTAATCACATCGTTATAAGTTGTGTTCTCTTCTTATTGGTTCACAGGTTCACTATGATTTCGGCCTGAGAAACATCCTGTCAGTGCTGCGAACGCTGGGAGCAGCCAAGCGAGCCAACCCCAGTGACACAGAGTCCACCATCGTAATGAGGGTTCTCCGGGACATGAATTTATCCAAACTGGTCTGTCTGCAACACAATGAAACAGAGCATGAGAGAAATTACATTTCAGTTGATGTTAAAAACGTCTTTTTTTTACTCTCTAGGAGGCGCTATTTTGGAAACAAACAAATGCCCTTTTAATACGTTCAAGACCAAATGCCCCATAATCTCAGAACGTTTAAAAATTTTTAAGCAGCAATAGCTGAGTAAGACCGCCTTAATACTTTAAAAAAAACATTGTCCAACTATAGTGCCCCCTAGAGGTCAGCGCACAATGCATCAGAGATGGATATATATTTTTTTAAATCTCTGTTTTCAACATTTAACTGACACAAAGTTATTACTGAACAAACTGAAAATGGATGACCAAAAATTCCAAATGTAACATGTGAAATGTGCTGATTTAGAAAAAAAAAAAAAGAAATGTAGCCCCACCCCTGTGCATTTTAGAGGAAAATCCAAGTGGGCAAATTCAAAGGTCTTGAGAGCTTGGGCCCTAATAATAATATACGTGTAAATATATAAATATAATTACGTGAACAAGTGTAGGAACAAGTAAATTGTATGACAAAGGTAATTAAAAGCCAACAGACAAGAAAATCAGAGACACAGAGACACTTGTGTTTACTTGCTTGTATGTTTTATGTTTGTTAGATTGATGAAGATGAGCCACTCTTCCTGAGTTTGATTGAAGACCTCTTCCCTGGCATCCAGCTTGATAAAGCAGGCTACCCTGAACTAGAGGCTGCCATCGACAGACAGGTAGGAAGGAGTGACAGCTGAATTTTTTTAATGTTCAGGGAAGAAGGTGAAATGTAGTGAGAATAAATGCAGGACAGTGGAGTGGAGGAGAGTGTGAGGGAGTGAAGTGGATAGAGTGAAGAAGGACAGAGGAAAAACTAAGTGGTGAGAAATGAATCGGGGAAAAAGACTAATGAACTGTGGGACCACTCTATCTTTCATGTCACTCCCAAATGCCTCAGGAGCTCATACCCAAAGGGAAACAAATGGTGCCGTGTATTGTCTGTGAAGGAGCTAACATTAGTAACAGGCAGATACAGTGTGGAGAGAATAAGGAGTGAGATATACAGTACAACAGGTGTTAAAATCTCAGCTCTGAAGTAAAGTGTATCTTTGGAGTGTTGATAAGACTGCATCTCTGCAGAGATGTAAACATAGCAGCAATTTACTTGTTAATCCAAGAGTGCAATACTTATACACCCCTAACTGTACCACCCACAGTCATAAAGAGTCAATTTCTAGAAACATGATTCAGTACTTTAATGCTGGTGCTTCTATAGCTAACCACATGTGGATTATTGTGATACTGCCATCAGGTTGAGGAAGCAGGTCTGATCAGCCACCCTCCCTGGAAGCTGAAGGTCATCCAGCTGTTTGAGACACAGAGGGTCAGACATGGCATGATGGCTCTTGGGCCAAGTGGGGCTGGAAAGACAACGTGTATTCACACACTAATGAGAGCTATGACAGGTGGGTTTTGAACATGTAATGGAGTAACACGTCAGGAAGTGAGACAACAAACTTGTGATGAATTGGCTGTACATAAAACTTTATCACCTGTGTCTGAAAGCATCAAGGGGGGGGGAGCAAAAATCATCTTTTCTCCCTCCAAGCTTGGAGTGACACCTCACAAATCTGTGCATTTCTCTCAGAGTGTGGTCAGCCTCACAAAGAGATGCGTATGAACCCCAAAGCCATCACAGCCCCACAGATGTTTGGCAGGCTGGATGTAGCTACAAATGACTGGACCGACGGCATCTTCTCGACACTTTGGAGGAAAACGCTGAGAGCCAAGAAAGGTCAGAAAAGTTTCTTGCTCGACTTGAAATAGGCTGAGCTCACAATATAAATACTGCAACGTGATTGAAAATGAGGAAGCACTTGTTGCTATGATGATCATATTAATGCATTTGTCTGCAATTAAACAACACCTATTTTGTTTTATAGGCTGAAATGAATGTTAAAAATTGCTTATGTGAGGTATGCTTTGGGATAAGTAAAACTGCATGTGTGCACTTTAAGAAAGAAGGGAACAGAAATAATAACACTGTATCATAAAAGAGATACAGGAAGAGAAAGATATAAAACAGTGACAGGGGTCTCTGCTCTGTTAAGTAACAGCCTCTCAAATGATTCATTAGTTCTTAGTTGGAAATTTCCCCTTGTGGGACTAATAAAGGAGTATCTTATCCTATCTTATCTCTTGTAACTACCAAAAGTTTCTTGTTTTTCTGTGGGATCTCAAAGGAAAATGGTATTTTACAATGTTAGAGAGAACTTCAAATATCTTGGGACGTCATTGCATCTGGTTCAAAGCGCCACCAGAAGCTGTTTTATCTTTCTGCTCAGTGCTAATCCTACACACTTCATTAAAAAGAATGTGCGCATTTATGAATATACATTACATGTGTTCCCTTTCATGTGTCAAGATAGGCATCTGATGTGTCTACAGTATGCTCCCATGCTGCTATGGGTATCTTTAAATAGGATGTGTGTTTACTGATTGCCTTTTGCAGCCACTTGCTATAGCATTCACTTGAGTTAAAGCGAATGGTATCAAATCGCAGGTTTAGATTTATTTGTAAGTTAAGTTATAGTGAAGTTATAAGATAAGATAGACACAATGGTTCATCTGCGTTGTATACTTTTTTGTCCTGACAACCATCAAGTTATGGGTGTTCCTACACTGTATTATTGTTTTGTACAAATAAATGAACAGAAACACTGATTTGTCCCTCAGGAGAGCACATCTGGATAGTCCTGGATGGGCCAGTTGATGCCATCTGGATTGAGAACTTGAACTCAGTCTTGGATGATAACAGGACTCTGACACTGGCAAATGGAGACCGGATACCCATGGCCCCCAACTGCAAAGTCGTGTTTGAGCCACATAACATTGACAATGCCTCTCCAGCCACTGTCTCACGCAATGGCATGGTGTTTATGAGCTCCTCTGTGCTCAACTGGAGTCCAATCCTGGAGGTGATCTGATCAAATGAAAAACTGAAATCATTTATTGTTGTCCTCTTTTTCCACTCAAATATTGACACTTATGTTCATAAACATGCACATACATAAGCATTCGGTGCAATAAAAAAATACCTTTTTTGTGTACTCAAACAACCGGGGATGGCCAAGGTCGCTGTTTCAAGTCTCATCTTCATTCATTAGGTCTAAGTGTAGCAATTCACCTCATTAAAAAAGAACAAACCTGCAATATGTAAATAACTATAAAATGTTGTGCTTCATTTTCATGTGTTAAGACGTGCTTTTTTGGTTGGCAAGGGTTGTTTTTGCAGAGAAAATAAATGGCTTCCACATGTTCAATTAAATACTTAAATGGTAAAAGTAAGGAAACAATCATATCTATCCAGAGTTTTCGCATCTAAATTAAAACATGGCTGAAAACAGCAAATGATTATAATGTTTCTCAGAGCTATTATGGTCTTTCAGCCAAATAGTAATTTGCTGTCTTTGCTTTGAGGGCTAAATTACTCCTGAATCACAAAACTCTGTGTTTGCCTGTTTGTTTATTTTAAGACCATGCACCCTGTATTTTTTAACCTAATGTAATTTCTTTTATTGCATCCTGCCATGTTTTGTTTGATGACCTCAGGCCTGGTTGATGAAACGCTCCCCTCAGGAAGCCGAGGTGCTGAGAGGACTCTTCACATCTTCCTTCTCTGAGCTCTACCGCTTCAGTGTGCAGTCATTGGAGTTCAAGATGGACATGTTAGAGGCTTTTGTCATTATGCAGTGCATTAACATGCTGCAGGGACTCATACCATCAAAGGTAAGTAACAACAGCCATGAATTTCCTCCCAATTAGAAAGTACTGTTTGTGTATAATAAGAGGTCAATTTCAACTTCCAAAATGACTGCAGGAGTAACTAGGGGATTAAATATAGATAGAAATTATTTTTTATCATTTTACTATTTTAGAAATAACCCCCTAAAAATAATCTCTCTAGGGAGGAAAAAAGTTATTTAAAGTACGAAAATTAATTTGATATTAGTTCATAATTGAATGAATCAATTATTCATTCGAAGATGATTTATTGGTTGATAAACATTTTTCACTTAAACTGTTAATGTGTTAAGGTTTGTGAATCTTTTCATTAACTGGTCCAGATTATCTTCTAAGTAATAATCGATTTGAATAATGATTTTACAATAAATCCGATATGATATAATTTATGAGAGAGAAAATGAAGTGTACAACAATGACACAGTTCTAACTGATGATTTAGTCCCACACTCTAGTTTTGTAGTTGAAAAAAGGTCTTGATCTAAAAAAAGCTTTGCTTCACAGGAACAGTGTGGTGAGCTATCGAGAGAGCACTTGGAGCGACTGTACGTATTTGCCCTCATGTGGAGCACTGGAGCCTTACTTGAATTAGATGACCGCAGAAAGATGGAGATCTGGCTCAGAGGGAACAGCAGCATCTGTTTGGACATGCCAGACATTCCTTCTGACAGTGAGGACACCATGTTCGACTACCATGTCACAGCAGATGGTATGTTTAAGTTGATAAAAAGATGTTCACCTGTAGATAAGATGTGTACCTATAACAAAGCTGTGCCTTAGCAGGCAGTATAGTATTCAGCCTGATGCTGCTCTTGTAATGTGATAACAACTGCCTCATGTGCTACATCATTTTGATTTCTTAAATGCATGCACACCTGTTCTTCCTCCAGGTCAGTGGGTCCACTGGAACACCAGAGTGGAGGAGTATGTTTATCCATCTGAAATCACTCCAGAGTACAGCTCAATCTTGGTCCCCAATGTTGACAATGTTCGAACAGATTTCTTGATTCAGACCATCGCCAAGCAGGGCAAGGTGAGAAGCTGACAGACAGCCAGAAGAAACGTGCTTCAATTATAGGAATCTGTGTAACACAAATAATTAAACTGCCAATGCAGTAGAAGTATATTTTCTTTCTTTCTTTCTTTCTTTCTTTCTTTCTTTCTTTCTCTCTCTTATTCATTTTTTCTTTCTTTCTTTTATTTTTCGTTCTTTCTTTTCTTGACTTCTATCTATCTTTCTTTCTTTCCCTTTTTCTTTCTCTTATTCATTTTTTCTGTCTTTCCTTTTTTTTCTTTCTTTTATTGTTTCTTTCTTTCTTTTCTTTATTTTCTTCTATCTTTCCTTCTTTCTTTCTTTTCTTCTGTCTTTCTTTTTCTCATTTTTCATTTCTTTTTTCTTTCTTTCTCTTTCTTGTTCATTTTTTCTTTCTTTCTTTTATTTTTTCTTTCTTTGTCTTTATCTCCTTTTTTCTTTCCTTCTTTCTCTCTTCTTCAATTTTTTCTTTCTTTTGTTTTTCTTTTTTCTTTCTTTCTTTCTTTTCTTTTTCTTTCTTTTCTTCTTTCTTTCTTTCTTTTCTTCTTTCTTCCTTTCTTTTTCTTCTTTCTTTCTTTCTCTCCTCCTCTTTCTTTCTCTTTCTTTCTTTCTTTCTTTCTTTCTTTCTTTCTTTCTTTCTTTCTTTCTTTCTTTCATGATTATTTGTATAGGTTCAAGTATGAAGCAAGTAGACCATTTCCACAAACTAACTACAGCATTTGTAGCTTGAGTTGAGCAAATTTCCAATGCCCGTCTCAAGCTGGGCTTTTAAGATACATAAAATTCCCAAATAGTCACAACATCAAAAGGGCAACAATTTCACATAAAACAAGCACACAATTTCAAGACAAAACACAGAGACATAAAATACATAATCACACAGTAGCGCAGAATTAGAAAGGAGGTGAAATATCATCCATGACTGCTAATGTAACTCAAATATACTTAGAGTAATACAAAACCACTGTGTGGACTTCGCATACATTTTTATGGATTGTTATTCGATGCTTCGTGTGTCAAATAACAGACGACCTCAAATGGAGGAAATGGCACATCAAGTAAACACATGCACATCTTTGTAAAACCTTGAAAGCTTATAATCAGGATTTTAGGGAGGAAAGTGCTCGTTTGATCTCTGCTCTACTCAGAATATAATGCTTCATTTATTGTACGATACAGCTGAGTAGACACAGCCTTCAGATCGATAACACGGCCGCGTGGCTGGATGCAGAACAGCTCTGCTAGAGGACCAGAATAAAACACTGTGGTCGATACCCCTGTTCAAAAGCCCATCATATGCATCACCCGATGACATTTATGAGAAAGCCTGTGTGTGTTCTTGCATGTGTGGGAGAGTCATTTAAATTCATTATACCACAAGAAGAAGGGGAAACATCTTTATGGTAGTTAATAAAAAAGTGGTTCATGTGCAGGTCAGCTTAAATTTGAGCTCTCCTAAAATCTATTTATTTGGAATTGATCTAATTTATGTGCTGTATTTCGTTTCATTATGTTACACTGTGATGAAGATCCATTAAATTAGTCGTTAATATGACTGGCATGCAGCTAATGCAGCAGTATTTTTAATAATCTTCGTCTGTTTGGTCTTACAGTAAAGTGTTTGTATGTTTGATTGTTTAGCAAATAGCTTGTAATACACTCAGCAAAACTGGGGCCTCACATGTAATAGACTGCACAATTTCATTTGTCAGCTCTTTCTCCCTGCTGAGATTTTAATTTATTGCCTTGCACAAGCCTGGGTGAATAGCTAACATATTGTTTTCACAAACGGATCAGAAAAAGCAATTTGTTGCCATCATTAGCAATTATATAGAGCTGCAGCTTATGTCCAACTAATCTATTGAAGCAGCAAAATAAATTGTCTCTCAAAGCTGTATTAAGCAAACAGTTGTACTCTTGAGTAAAGATGCTGTGGGTCTGACAACAGTCTCCTGTTTTTCCCTCTTGCTGCTTACTTTAAGGGCTCTATTTTCGTGCCCGCTGGTGGCCCGGCGGAGGCTGGTGGACTCAGCGCAGTGGTATTTTCATCTGGCGGAGCCCGGCGCACAGCTAGTTTGATATTTTCGTAGACTGAGGCGCTCCGAGGTCCAACAAGCTGGGCATGGTGGCGTGGTAGGGGGATGTGTCGACAGAGTCAGCTGGTGTAGTGACATTTCTGTGCTTGCCGGCAGCGTGGAAAGTGCGCTGAAAGCTCGCCAATTCAAACCTGGTCAGCTTACAGCGCAGGTGGAGCGCAGCTGGTCTAGTGGTATTTTAGTAGACTGGCGACAGTGCACATACGTCACTGATGCCTCACCTGCAGGTTTCCACAGTGTCAGGCACATTTCAGTGCAATAAATAATCAACAACAGCCAATATTCTGAGTCTGCAAATACATTTAGATAAATAGAGCCTGAAATATCTGTATCTACTTTTTGGGTATCTTTATTGTTCCACTGCAATGAGTGTACATTCTTAACTTATTATGAACCTCTGATTCAGTCCAGATAACCATAAAACAATTGTTGACTTTTTTAAGGCTGTACTGCTGATTGGAGAGCAAGGAACGGCCAAAACTGTCATCATCAAGAGCTACATGTCAAAGTATGATCCTGAGACCTTTATGGGGAAGTGTCTCAACTTTTCTTCTGCTACCACACCCCTCATGTTCCAGGTAAAGCAGCACCACCTGTGTCATCTCCTCCTAATAAAGTTGATAGTCTCCTGTTTCATTATTTTCACTTTCATTGAGATAAGAATGCTTTCCTTCTGTGTTAACATGTCACAGATTTTCATGAATATATGAAGTAATACTTGATTATAAATCAAGTGCATACTTGGGGGGGTGACCACCATCCCTCCTGTTTTTCTTTATCAGAGTAGATCTAAGATCCATCAAAAGACTGGATCTATCCCTGTGTTTCTCTCTCACTCACTGTTTGTTGCTGTATGATTTTCTTTTTATCTTTCAGAGGACCGTGGAGAGCTATCTAGATAAGAGGATGGGAACCACTTATGGCCCCCCTGCCGGGAAGAAAATGTCAATTTTTATAGATGATATCAACATGCCCGTTATCAATGAATGGGGTGACCAGGTTAGCATCTACATAAAAAGAGAAAATTCACAAATTGACATTGCATACATCAGCCACCTGACAAAAAGATACAAGTGCACACATTGATAAAAAAAGGACAACGTGAATTTCTCCTCCCTAAAAAACCTACTTGCACCCTCCAATAACAGGTGACTAATGAAATCGTCAGGCAGCTGATGGAGCAAAATGGGTTCTATAATCTGGAGAAACCAGGAGAGTTCACCAATATTGTGGATGTCCACTTTCTGGCCGCAATGATCCATCCTGGAGGAGGCAGAAATGACATCCCGCAGAGACTCAAACGGCACTTCTCCATCTTTAACTGCACCCTGCCCTCTAATTCTTCCATTGACAAGATATTTGGTGAGTGAAAAGAGCCCGATAGAATTATTTTTGTGTTTTTAAATATGACGTCAAGGTAATGACAGGTGACATTAATGATGCTGATTTTCTCTTTACTGTGGCACCTGTCAGTTGGTGGGGTGTATTAGGCAGACAGTGAAAATTTTTTCCTCTAAGATGATGTGTCGGAAGCAGGAAAAATTGGCCAAGGTAAGGATGCAGGCAACTTTGAAGAGGGCCAAATCTGGAAACTAGTGATAGGGTCATGGAGCAGGCTTACTGATGGATGTGGAGGGTTAAGAGTGGGCCAACAGAAGAACTACTGGAGTTAAAATAGCTGATAAAGTTAATGATACTTCTAATAGGACCATGCCAGAGCATACAGCACAGCAAGTGCCATTTCTTTTTTTTTTTTTTTAACTGAGCTTTCAGGATGTCCATGCCAACCTGTGTCTACCACTACAAGTCCCTACAGTGAGTATATGAGTGTCAGAATGGGTTCATAGAGGAATCGAAGAAGGTGGCCTGAGGGAACATAACAAGTTCAAGGTGTTGAATTTCCCACATCTCAATGAAATCCATGAAGGCCCAATCTCAAAACTCACAGAATTTCATGGATCTGCTGCAAATGAATTTGTGTCATACTTTCACAAGTCCAGAGAGATTCATGTCTTGCCAGGTAGGGGCTGTTTAAGCCCTGATCTGAGAGTGGAAGCTACAAAATACAAGCCAGGTGATCATAATGTTATGGATGATAGGTGTATTATGCTTACTTAGTGAAATACTACTTTAGCTGAAGAAAAGAAAAAAGAAGAGTATGGAAGCTGTCGTTAATATATTCCACTGTGATTATTTGGCTCATATGTGCTAAATTTGTTAAGGTTTGCTTAATATATGATGTCTAGAACCATCCTTTCTATACTTGCTATTCAATCCACCCTTCCACTACTAACCACCCCCCCTCAACCTTATTTTGTAGGTGTGATGGGTGAAGGCCACTTCTGTGCACGTCGTGGTTTTGCTGCAGATGTCCGAAACACTGTGACCCGCTTGGTGTCCCTGACCCGCCATCTCTGGCAGTTGACAAAAGTCAAGATGCTTCCAACTCCAGCAAAGTTTCACTACATCTTTAACCTGAGGGACCTGTCTAGGATCTGGCAAGGGATGCTCAACACGAACTCTGAGGTGATCAACTCAGTCCAGGTAAGAAGATCATGCTTTTTTTTTAAAATAAATTGCACGCATTTATGGATATGAAGATGAGGTAGGAATAGCATTTAGTCAAGCCATATTTCAAACAAACACCTTGTTATGTAAATACATGTTTAACTGCATTGCTTTGATATTATTTCTCCTAGTTGTTGAGTTTCTTTAGCCCTGCATCAGTGTAGTGTGGTGAAGAGCGCTGTGTGGTAGACTGGAGAGGTGTAGAGACACTTTCAGATAACAACTAAATCCCCACTACTTATGTGGAAGAGCCTCTGCATGACTCCATGATGCATTAATGCTTAGTGCATTTTTTACTGTTATATATTCATGTTATTGAGACAGAGAAGTGTGAACGTTGGCAGGGAAGAAAGGAAAATCTGAGCATTGCAAGCTCAAATCTTGCTGATGTGGCCAACTTCCTGTTGGTCTGTGGCCTCACTGAATAATTGAATACAGAGAAATATATCTGCTACCTCGGGCTGCCCTGAGTCCGAAGAAACATGCTTAACATCTCAGCTGAGGCTGCCAACTTTATGTAGAGGTAGACTATAATGGACACGGCCAGAGAACAAGAGTTTATGTCGTCAGTTTTGCTGTATGTGTAAAATTCCTACAATATACAAACCCGAAGAACTTGTAGCTTAATGATTTTCAGTTAAAACAGATGATTCTGCCTTTTCTAGATGTTTCTTCTTTCCCATGTGAGCTTTTTATTTTTGCTTCAAACTTCCCCTGACCTTTCACAGTAGCTTCACTGTTGGTGTTTTTCCCTATGCAGTAGAGATGAACCAACTACATCACTGGCAAAATTCACCGATCTAACTTGCTTGTATTAAAGAAAACATAGTTTCAGCTTCTCAATAAGACTACAACAAAATCCACAGGTATTGCTGGAGCTGTGGAAGCATGAGTGCAAACGTGTGATAGCTGACAGGTTTACCATGCCTGAGGACATAGAATGGTTCGACCAGGCCTTGACAAAGCTGGTAGAGGAGGAATTGGGCGAGGAGTTCAAGAACATAGTGGGCTGTGGGCCAGACAGATACTTTGTGGACTTTCTGCGGGATACACCTGAGGCTACAGGTACTGAACTGGAACTTTTCAGCTGTGTAATTTAACTGTCTTAAGTACCTTACAGGATTGAACTTTTGCACCACGATCTTCTTGATTTGAAATATTCTTTCCTCACAGGGGAGGAACCAGAAGATTCAGATTTTGATTTACCAAAAGTGTACGAGCCTGTGGAATCAATCGAGAGTTTAAAGGAGCGTCTGAACATGTTCCTTAGCCATTACAACGAGAGCATCAGGGGAACTGGCATGGACATGGTCTTCTTTCAGGATGCTGTGATACATCTAGTCAAGGTACTGGATAAAAACCTTTGTTCCTTTGTATCCATAACTGCAAAAGTCTAACGCAATAAAGGAAACTGAAATATAAACATAAAAAGTTATAAGTGAAGAAATTAAACAAAAAGTATAGGGGTATAGGGTATATATGCTCATGAATAAAATCAAATTGTTCTTTTCTTTGCCAAAGCGAATATCCAGCTTGAGGGCAAAACCTTCAAATCTGGTCACTTCATTTGAGTCATATCTCTGGTAACCCGCCAAATGTTACGTCCTTCTTTAATTGAACGGTTAAGCTTCCTGCATCTAAAAGCCTCTAGATGTGTTCAGACAGCCTTGAAGTTTTAAAAGTACTCTTCAAGTGCAACTTTAGTGCTTTCTTATTTGTGGCACTCTTAAACGCTGCTTACATGCTTTCATGCTCTTCCACTCTAACAAAATCCTCTTTTGTATTGCGTTTCTATTGAACTTTCAAACATATAATAATAATAATAATAATAATAATAATAATAATAATGATACATGCTGGTCTTGTGTATATGTATGATTTTGTGTGTAGGTATCAAGGATAATCCGGACACCAGGAGGAAATGCCTTGTTGGTGGGTGTCGGGGGTTCAGGCAAACAAAGCCTGACAAGACTTGCATCATTCATAGCTGGATACAAGACCTTCCAGATCACCCTGACACGGTATTACTCCTATCACAGACACACACACACACACACACACACACACACACACACACACACACACACACACACACACACACACACACACACACACACACACACACACACAAGGTGTACAGTATGCATTCGTCCAGGACAGTTATTATTTCATGTGGGCTCTAAAAAGGATGATAGACAAATTCTTTGTTTCACACTGACAGCAACATAAAAATATTTCTCACAGAGGTTCCAAATTTAGAAGAAAAGATATTTCTTTTGATGTATAGTCTTCAATAGTTGAGCTACTTTGTTGGATAATAGCATGATAATTAAATCCTTCAAAGTACGTGTTTTGCTTATTTAAATTAAGAAACTACTGATGTAGGATTGAGCTTTTTTATGCCTTTAAGATACTTAATTGTAATAGTCCATGAATTTTGAATGACTCTGTGTCATTTAATTAAAAAAATCATCTTGTAATTTGTTGGATGGCTTGTCAAGCTTGATAGAGTTTTAATTGGATATTGTCAGATCAGTTTAAGTTTAGACTTTGCAAAATTAAGTAAACAGACCTCACTATTTATCCTAGCAAAGCAATAATTTTATTCAGAGCAGTGAGTACCAGGTAATTTACATAACCATTTGTTCTTTAAAAAAAAACCTTGACATTTCTCTGGTCTGACTCTGTCTTGTTCTGCCTTATTGTTCTGTGTCTCTCTATTATCCCTCTCTTCACTTTCCAAACCTGTCAAGTGTCTTGCACCAGTCCCCAGGTACATCTGTTGCTGTCATAGTCCCTTTGTGCTTTTTTGCCCTCACAGTTGCTTTTGTTTGGTGTCAGTACAAAAGAGCCGAGTGTTTCTCCTATAGTCCTCGCTGCTGTCTCCAGAGAAACATCCATCTGACTTTCATTCTTTGTGTCTTGTGTCTTTGTGTCATTTTTAAATTCTTTACATGGTCTTTTTCGTACACTTACTTCTCTTCTTATGCTGACTCAATCTGACTCTCATTCTCTGCTACTATACAGACGTTCTCTTTCAAACTGTTATTCCAGGAGAGAGACACGGTTCATGAGTTACTTAATTTTCTTTTCTTTTTTGCTGTCAATTTCTCTAAAAAAACAAACACTCAGAAACAGATGAAGGACATCGCCTGCTTCTTTTAACGACTTTGAAGTCAAAAATCAGCATGTTTTTCCCACTCTCTTTAAAGGCTTTTACCTGCAACAGCACCTGCTTTGTAAGACTCGGATGAATCCTTTCTCACTTGTTTGTCAAATCTGTAAGAAGTCTTTGATTTCATAATGAAGCTGAGAAACATCAGTCTGAGCATAGAGCTCTAGCATGGTTTATACAGGCAAATTCATGAAAACAATTAAATGAGTGTGGTATGAGAGAGAGTTTTCTTTCATGTGTTTCTCTGTATATCAGGCTAGTTTGATTTGCCAATAGTATCAAAAGTGAAAAGGAAAGAAAAATGAAAGACTTCATAATTATTTTATGTACCCTGTTCTTTGGCAGCTCATATAACACAGCCAACCTGATGGATGATCTGAAGGGTTTGTACAGGACAGCTGGCCAACATGGGAAAGGCGTCAGCTTCATCTTTACAGACAATGAAATCAAAGATGAGTCCTTCCTGGAGTACATGAATAACATCCTGTCATCTGGAGAGGTGAGGTGGAGACACATGAGAAAAGAAACACATGTTGAATGCATCCCATCAGTTTTTTATTTTTGTCATTTTAGTCAAATTTTGGGGTTATTGTTATAAATTTAACTTCTAATTCATCCTGTCAGATGTTTTGATAAGAGGTTTATCTTTCTTTGATATTAAATAGTGTTTGATAGTTGAGTTACTGAGGGGCTCTTACAGCTGAAGATCTTTAGTCAAGACCGAAAATGAATTCTGGCTCACAGAGGACATCCAAAATCATTAATAGAGGTCAGACAATGGGCAAAGTAATCAACAATAAGCATCCACCAGACGGTCTACTTTACATGCAGTTTCACCCAGGGGTGAAAGTAAGCCGGTACGCAGTGGTACGCCGTACCGGGAAGACATAAACAGCAGTTCACAGCCAGTACGCAAATTTTGCACCCCTGCAATGCATATAGGCTATATTTCCTTACCGTGTTGCCGCATGTTAGTCTGCACTCTGCATTGTAACCGTAGTAATCCAATAGAATCATGCTGCTTGCAAGTGAGTCGTATTTGCTTTCGCTAACAAACAAACTCCAGAAGTGGGAGTGCAGAAATAAATGCAGAAATAAAACAAAATGCAGAGAAAAGTTGATTTTATGTTCAACAGAAAGAGAGATGCAGCATATGATGATACTGTGGCATCAGAGTCAGCACCTTATTAAACTTGGGTGTGCTCCTCTTATACAAAGCCTACAGGTATACTACCTGCTGGAACCCTATCCTACTTTCACCCCTGGTTTCACTTACTGTGCATCTGTATATAAATAATGAAGGCACCTGATCCAAGTGAAAAGATTGAAGATGACTTTAGTCTCAAAGAGATGCCGTTGAGTTTGAATGGGTTTATGGGGTTAAGCAGTAAAAAAACAAAATAAGCCCCACTGTATTCACTGTTAAAAAGAGGTCATTGAGCAGGTGCTGATCTAACACAACAATCATCATATGGTTTAAGTGACCCTCTATTTTAGGACAAGCTGGACCTTTTGGGCCATAAAGGCATGGAAACTCCTGACATTCTTGTGTTGACTGAAAAGAGATTCAGACAAAGCACCTTTATATTGCCACAGTCACATTAGGAGAGAAGCATACTTGTATTTTTCGGATACACACATATTTACAGAACTTTCTAAACTTTAATCATGCTGATCAGGGTAATTTACTAAAGATATAGATGAAAACTGCTTCTTTGGCTGATAGACCATCAAAAAGTAAAGGTAGGAACGGGCCTTGTAGAAAGCATATAATTTAGAGGTCCTCTCTACTTTTGCAGCCACACTTTTCTCTGGTTTATTATACTTTCATGAAAGCACTGGCACATCTGTGTTGATGCAACAAAAGTCAACACACTTTATTATGGGGAATGCCTGCAGTGAGTACACCAAACTGCTGCACCGACACTTGCCTTTAAATCACCCACTTTGCCTACACAAAAGCTTCAATCACACATTTGCCGTGCCCTATGAAACTGGCAGCTGCCATCCAACCTTCAGAGAAAACGACATTCCACGATGGTGAAACCGAAGCAGCTACAGCACAGATCCAGAGAGGAGAAATCTGTGTTGTCTGTATCCGTGTAATGAGCAGTGCAGTTTATCTCAATTCAATCAAATTAAAAAGCAAATTGAATTTTCTCCCTCAATAAGATTGCAATTTACAATTATTTTTCAGCCAATCTGTGGCTAATGAATTGAAGCTGTAAGTGACAGAAGTAACAGGTTCAGCATGGCTTAATGGCTCTCCTCTGTATTAATATTTGAAAACAGCATTACAGCTCTGGGGTCAAATGGCACCATTTGCACTGATCTCGACTGCATCCTTATAGGAAATACCAATCCTCTTCTCACCCTCTCTGCTCTGGTTTTCCTCTCGTTCTGTTTCTCCGTTTTACCTTGACAGCATCTCTCCTTCTCTTGCTTCTCCTAATCTTCACTGTTATTCTTCGTGTCCTCCACTTGCTCTCAACCTTTGACACTTATTCACATGCCTCTATTAAGACTTATCTTCTTTATCCATGCTTCTTCTTGAACGTCTCTCCGTTTTGCTTGCTTTTCCTATCTGTTCTTCTTGGGAAATAATTTTCATTATCTTCTTTTACTCCCTTTTCCTCTATCCTCTCTTTATATTATTTAATGATTGTATTATATTAGATTATATTATAATATATTAGAAGGCTGTGGTATAAAAAATGTAACTTCCTGACATAAACACAAAATAATCCAGCAAAATGAAAGTAAATAGGATCTGTGGATGGCAGCCTCTAACTACAACAAAATCTATGTAGACTGAAGCAAACCTAAGTACCATTTTCATTTTCTACCCAGTGGGATATTTTCAGTAGTATTAAATAGGTTTCCTGTATAGTTTTAAGGTACTTCTTCATAATGTAAAGTATTGGCCTTCAATTTTTTAGCACACAGGCAGCCAATTCTCATACCCTGCATGTGCAAATGCTTTGAAATGATTCAATTTGATCTTACGCCCCCCTTTCCACACCCAATTTTCATCCAATTTTCTCTTCTTCCACTATTTGTTTACAACTTCTTATTTACCTCTTGTCTATTTTTTTTCTTCTTGTATCCTCCATCTGTTTGCTCCATTTTTGAAATCTTGCTTTATTTTTTTTGTTGCTCTCTCTCACTGTGAAAGCATTCCTTTTCCTGCTCTCTTCCACCTTTACTCCATCCCTTAATAATAATTTAAGGAGCGGCTGTTTTACTGACTATAAATACAAGTGGGCATCACGGAGGAGTCTAAATTCAGCTGTTGTTTTTGTGCGGATGTGGTGTTTTGTTGGCATATGATGGAGAAAGAGAGAGAAGCTTTGAAATGATTGTGAGTGTGACAGACAGTGAGAGAGATGAGGAAAGAAAATGAGAAGAAGGCTTTTGGTGTGAGGTTGTTGCTTATGTGAGAGTAAACCAGCAGATACTGAATCCATGACAAAGTTACCAACAACAACAACAACAACAACCCTTTCTGTGTGTTTTTCTCTGTTTCTCACCTGTAAAGGATTTAATCAAAAAGGTAATTTCAAAGCAGTTATAAAAGGTGAGTTGACACTTTCCCCTTTGGATCAGTCTGAATAAATTGGATGTGTCTTTTCAGACCAAACGTTTTATTGCTTTTACTCCCCAGTGTTAGGTAAGTCTACATGGGTGGAAATGATAAGGTTTTAAGCCAAATCAACTGGGTCTATAGAGTCTAAAACAGATAGTTAGTTGAAACCATCTTAAATTAAAAAAATAATACTGTACATAATATAAAGCCTTATTTGAAACAATTTAAATTGGATTGTTGACAGGGTGGTCATGAAGGTGGCAATTACTTGTTTTAAACATAGGCTAAGTAATGATATTGGAAAAAATCAGAGTAAATCAAAAAAACAAACAGAAGGTAGATCCAGAAACTGGTAAGTTGGGCAGGTGAATAATTCTGAACAAAATCAAGAAAAAGTATCACATGGAAATTAATAAAACATGTTTTTTTTTTATTTCAAGTATGTATTACTTAGCATTCACTTAATCTTGCTTGATTTCAGGTTATTACCTGAACAGTAAATAATTAAAAGGGTGTTTGGTCAACTGTATATCTACACTGACAAATGCCATCATCTTGCACCAACATGTTGCAAGGAAAGACATGACAAACTAGTTAACATGCATTTTTTGTATTCACTGAGTGGCTCTGCCAAAAGCACCTGTTGAAAGACAAAGAATAAAACAGCAGTTGTTGTGCTCACAAGAATTTGTACTGAGAGGTGTTTTTGGAGCTAGAAAATGGACACATTCCATCACCAACAGCATGGGTGAGCAGGGGAACAGCAGAAACTAACGTCTTTAAATATTCCCATTCCTCACAGCCTACGTTCGAGCTACAGAGTATAAGTTCAATATTTACTATGAAAGTGTTTATATGAGGCAAAGCTCAGTAAATCAACAGTTTTTTCAATGTCTTTTAATGTAGTGTATGCACTGGCAGAGCTAAATCTGTGTAATTTTGGACTTTTTTAGTCCTAATCTTTGTCTTTAGTTCAAACCTGCTTTGAAACAACCTTTCTATGAGTGAAAGAAATATTCTAAAATCAGCTGTAGGGTATCAAATGTATCATATTTGAAGACTATCCAGTTAACCACTGGTACAAAAATATGTTGTTGATAGAGTCTGACATCAATGGGTTTGTATTTCTGTCCTCAGGTGTCCAACCTATTTGCCCGTGATGAGATCGACGAAATCCTCAGTGATCTCATCCCTGTCATGAAGCGGGAATTTCCCAGGCGACCACCGACCAATGAAAACCTTTATGAGTACTTCATGTCACGAGTCCGACATAATCTTCACGTCGTTCTGTGCTTCTCACCTGTTGGGGAGAAGTTCCGCAACCGAGCATTAAAGTTTCCAGCTTTGATATCTGGTTGCACCATGGACTGGTTCAGCCGGTGGCCTAAAGATGCCCTTGTTGCAGGTACCTTTCCCGGATAATAATTATCACTGAAATAATCTACTTGAAGTATTTATTTCCCAAAACTGTCTCTAAAGTTTATCCCGAGTGACAGCTCGTATGTCAAATCAGACTAAACTGGGATTTTAAATCACTGATTTAACTTTGTTAGGATGTTCACATTGTGTCCCATATGCATTCTGAATATTGAACATGTGAAAAAAATCTTCTCAAGGTGTCTGATTTAGATTGAGTATTTGCAGAAGAAAAGCTATTAGCTACAAGAATCTGTTGGGTAACAACAGATGTTGCATTAAACATTGTTGTAAATAAATACACAAATATACTTAAAGGGTAAGTAATTAGATTTTTAACCTTAATACATCTAAAGAAACTGTAGTTAGATCTTCAATATGCGCACAGTTTGATATCAGTTTCATGCTTCTATGAATATCAGATCATTTTGTCTAGAGGAACAACATCTTGCAGAAAATTGCCAGTTGTATTTGAAATTATCTCCTATTATTTTCTCCTGTTATTTCTTCTGTTTTTGAATGGGCGTTTTATTTGGTGTTAAATTAAAATATGTATCCAATAATCTATTTTCTCCCATTAAATTACAAATTCAGTCCTGCTTGAGATAAATTAATTTCTGTTTCTCTCCGCAGTTACTACTGAGGGCTCTGTTTAAATATATTTTTGCTCACAGTTACCAATCCGGTCTCTGCCCTCTTGCTTCTATTCCCTGTTTGATTTCTCTTAACATATTCTGCTCTCTTGTCATCTCCCTCCTCCACCCTCTTCTGTGTTTCAGTTTCAGAGCACTTCCTGTCAGTTTATGACATCGAGTGCTCAGCGCAGGTTAAAAGAGAAGTGGTACAGTGCATGGGCTCCTTTCAGGATGGTGTAGCAGAAAAGTGTGTGGATTACTTCCAGAGGTAAATTATTTTATTAAGCAGACTGTCTCTGTGTGTGTGTATTAAAGTGGGATCCAACCCTTGAATAAAATCATCAGTTTATGCATTCATGTTTAATCAAACAGATAAAGCTTAAGAGAGATTGCCTTCCACTAATGTTCATGCATACTGTAGGATTTGTGCAGAATTACTACACTTTTATTTTACATGGCAAAGCATATTTTCAAAATGGCCTTCATGCGGCGAGGATCCATCAAGGCCATCATCAGCTGTGGCTCTTCTCCTATCATAAATTTGGATGGGACATTAGATAGATTTTTTAATGAACCTTGAGAAGATAGATGGGCCAAGTGTTTCCTTTTATACAGCATAATATTTTGGCTTATTTCTTTGTTTAACCTAAAGTGCTGTACTGTTATTTATTTTTAGATACAGACGGCCCACCCACGTCACACCCAAATCCTACCTGTCCTTCATTCAGGGCTACAAGAGCATTTACAAGGAGAAGAGGTCTGAAGTCCAGACCCTTTTTAACAGGTAAACAGACTTTAAGGATTTAGGTGAGTAGTAGAATTGCATGTTGTTGTAATTCCAGCTTAATCCTAGCAGTTTTAGTTTTTTAAGGACTTTAAAATAGTCTTTGTTTCACCTACTTGTACGGCATATGTTGTGCCTTTAAACCATGTTGGTTGTGTGGTGGACTTGTGTGTAATAAATGACGGGAGAGGAAGAGCGTATAAACCTCGAAACCATTGTTTAGTCTCCCTCTGCTGCAGTATGGATGGCCAATTATAAACAGGACATTGATCACTAAATGTGATTAGTGCATTTTCTAAAACATAACAGCTGTCCTCATGGAGAGATTTTCAAAGAGCAGTGACACAGAATGAACTCCCTCCAAGTCAATACTTATCGACTCCTTAATGGCACCATCAGTGAAGGAGGTTCAGGACACATCTTAATGACGTAGGCTTGCGTCAAAGGAGCCCATCCAGACCATCAGTTCTGAGTCATTTCTTGACAATTCAAGATAAGCTACTTCATTAAAATACACGGCGTATCTTCAAAAACATCCAAATCTGTGCTCTGTAGTTCCATGTTTTGAACTCATATCTTCTTATCAGCTTTTCCCAGAGCCCCTAAAGATGTATTGTCTCACCTTTAAAGGATATCATGTCATTTTAAATTCTGATCAGACACATGCTTCAAACCCACTGTGGATAAAAAAAAAACTGTTTCCCTGTTAAATATGCTCTCACATTATCCCCACCTGGTGTCCATCTGGCAGAAAATCTGCCAGAATCAGGTGATACTGGAGGTTTGTAGTGATTAACAACAAACAGGACCCTCTGGTGCTGAACAAAATTGGAGGTGGAAATGTGCGGACACCTCTCTGATAGTCTGTCACAGTCTAGCAAGCTGTAAAACATATACTTGAACTGCATGTAGATGACAGTAATATTTCTACTCTTTAGGATGAATACTGGCCTCCAGAAGCTGAAAGAGGCATCAGAGTCTGTAGCAGCACTCAGCAAGGAGCTGGAGGTGAAAGAGAAGGAGCTACAGGTTGCCAATGAAAAGGCTGATATGGTGGGTGCCAAGAAGTAGAGTGCTTTTTTTGTATGGATCTAAAATGTTTCTTATTCTAGTCATTCATAATGTTTTAGTCTTTTTTTTTTTCTTTGAGGAAGTAGGAAGTTTATGTAAATAGAAGTAGCTGTTAAATTACAAGTGAAGGTCGTTTATTCAGAGGACTACTTTGGTATTCATTCACTTCAGGAGAATAATGGCTCATTAAAGATCATTTTGTCTGACAAAGCTCTGTTCTTAAACTCAGGTGCTGAAGGAGGTCACAGTTAAAGCCCAGGCAGCAGAGAGAGTGAAGGTGGAGGTGCAGAAAGTGAAGGACAAAGCTCAGGCCATCGTAGACAGCATCTCAGCTGACAAGGCCATTGCTGAGGAGAAACTTGAGGCCGCACGACCAGCTCTGGAGGAGGCAGAGGCCGCACTACAGGTACAGTTTGGGACATGGAGACAGATATAATCGAAACAAGTGACTTAAGTTTAAACTGTAGAATACTATACCAACATAAATACACAATATTTATAGCTTCTCACTTGGGTGTTATGGTTATAATTACTGATGGGTCTGTATCTGGACCACAGCTGGTCAGAAAGGATGCTAATAACATTTATCTAAATTCATGAAAATCTTTCAAGTTTATGCGAGGGTGGAATTAAAGATTAAATTTTATTCTCAGTTGTGAACATTATATTTTAAGTCTTAACCCAAAGCATTTAAAACAATAGTACAACAACAGATTGTCTCAATCTCTCTTCTGAAACAAGTTTAAGGCTGAACACAATCCAATACCACGATCTGTTGATATCCCTGAGAAGTGACTTAAAACACACTCTGCCACTGTGGTTTAAATATGTGATATTCATGTGATTTGGTCTTTCACTTTTGTATAAAACTCTTTGCTCAGTTAAGATTAATGTCAACATAACTAATTGTGGAGGAAAGGTCTCAAAATACAATCTCTCAGGGCCAAAAAACTATGTCAGTGCTAAATACATGACCCTTTGGATCAGTAAATATTCCTCATTCTTGGTACATTATTTAGTTTGCCTTAGCTAATTCTAGAAATTACGTTTACTCATGGCAACAATAATTTTGATTCATGGTGTAGATTGAAATCAAAAGGAGGATATTCTCTGAATTCATCTGAACTTGCATAGTTGTCTTTTCATGTTTCCCCTACCACTGAGGGTCTGTTTTATACAAGCCTACAAGATCATGCAGTGCTTCCCCACATGATGCTCTCTGTTTTGCCTGTACAATGTTAGACCAGGCATAAGTTTGCCTGAAGAGATAGCCTGGGGGTCTAAAAATGGTTACTGAACGGTTTGCAGGACCGGTTTTTAGCTCTTCTCTCCGTAGTCTAATGTTTCCATGGCCAATATTTTCCTTGCCTCCTCACTTTGTGTTGCTCCAGGCTACCACTTAAAGCACTCTGTGACATGCTGTGTGTAGCTGCATGCACAATTTGCCGACAGCCTTCTCATCCCGGTGTGTGTATGTGTGTAACAGCGGGTGTATCTAAAGTTAGCATGGTGCTCTGGGGCCTGGAGCTGTGCTGTAATTAAAGCTGTCCTCCTGGGTACTTGGTTGCATACAGATCCCCTATGGCAGGCCTCTGATTAGGAGTTTTGATCATACACATTGCCTGATATTCTCAAACAGGAAGCCCTTGACTAGTCCTTTAGGCTGGATGTTCATGCATTTTGATTACAGGGAATGCAAATACAGGTGTATAGTAAAACAAAGGGAAAAGCAATACAGTAAATTTAACATTTTTAAATAACTTTCTTAAGTGTCTGTCCACAACAAAGCAGTGAGGGGAGGAGAAGTCAGAGGAAGTAGAAGATAATCCAGACAGTTCGACTGGCTGACTTTTTTGGTGAGAAATTCACACTACTCACAGGCCAACAAAACTCAGTGGAAATGGAGCAGAAAGGAGAAAGCAGAGGAGAGGAAAGTGCAAAGAGGAGATGAGATGAGAGGAGATAAAATGAGCAGGCAGGGGGCCTTGTGAAGCATCTGAATAACTCTCAGTGGGACATTTCCTGTACTCTACTGTTGCCTCTCTTTTTAATCAGTCCCTTGATGTTATTCTACGTAGCTCTATTCAGAAACCCTCCCATTGTGTTGAGTTTATATTTACAGTTTTTGTGCTTTCTTTATATTCTCTGTTCCTTTCTGTCACTGCTTTTAGTTATGTCCTCTTCACACTGCATCTGCTTTTCAAACCCTGGAACTTAATATGCTGTCCTGCCACAGACCACAGAGCTGTGTATTGGTCTTTAGACTTGGAAATACAGCAACCGCTGACCCCTATTTACCATATTTTCACCTGTTCACCATTAAACTTCCAGATAGTCAGATTTCTCTCCTTTATTTCTTTTCTTTGTATTTCCACTCAGACAATCAAGCCATCAGACATCGCAACAGTTCGAACACTCGCTCGTCCCCCTCACCTCATCATGCGGATCATGGACTGCGTGCTGCTACTTTTCCAGAGGCGGGTCAACACAGTGAAGATTGACCCAGAGAAGAACTGCAATACGCCGTCCTGGCAGGAGTCCCTCAAGCTAATGACAGCTGGAAACTTCCTGGGAAGCCTGCAGGTACACTCTGCTGCCAATTTATGCAATGGAGAATGAGTCTTTATTCTGCAGAGAGCTTGCTCACATATGTCCCTGAGCCACATTCTTTAAAAGTCATTTTCAAAGTTCAGGTCAGTCTGGTCCAATATGGGTTAAAAAGTTGCAGCAACAAGGCACCTTTTCTCATTGAAAGAAAAACACAACTTGTTTTTGAAAGTAGAAACTCAGGTTTAGTCTCAGTTTTTCCCCAGGGACAGCACATGTTATTTAAAAAGTAGTGAGTTATCAATCAGACAAATTACATATCTGGTCTTTCACTCATATCAATTATTCTACGCAACTTTTGGAACAATATAGAAAACAAAACAAAAACAAGATAAGCCAGTATGGGCTCTTGTACTCACACACTGCTTTGGCTTTTTTAAAAGTAGAAATTAACAGGTTTTCTGGGGCCACTGTGACATGATGTACCCGAGATCATGTGTGGGTGGACACTAATAGAGTAGTTAGTGGCTGTTTGTTTTACATTTGGGAATTGAATCTACTACATTTAAAAAGTTTATTGAAATTGCTTCAACTTTTAATGATAAGCGAGAAGAACAATTGTAGAAGAAAATGAAACATTTTTCTGTCAGTCCTTCTCACTCGTCTTCTTTTCTGCCTTTTGCCATCACTTTTCAGCATCTCTTTTGTATCCTAACACTACTACCCGCAGTTTTATTTTGAACAGAAGTATAAAGTTAGCAAACAAACAGTTCCTTGTTATGTTACCCGCATTTCTGCATCTGTTCTTCCGGCCTGTGTTGTATTCTGAAATTTTCTTGTATTTTTTCTTCTCTTTTCTCTTCGTACATCATCCTTGCCCTTGTGTGTTTACTTTTTTCTGATCTCATTTCCTCCGTAGTTTTCAGTCACTGCTCTGCTTTGTGACTTTTTTTTCATCTATCATCACAGCTACATTTTCTTTTGTTTTGTTTTCTATTATTTTACAAAGTTTCTTAGATTCTCAGTCTCCACATACCAGAGAAACAGTACCTTTTTGTGAAGGTGCTGTAAATACCATTATTTTCTTTCCAGCCTGACAGAGGTGTGCTTTGTCGCTTTTATTTTTAATTTTTGAATATCTTTTTCCCATTTTACCAATCACCTTTACTTTTTTCCACTTCTCTCTTCCTCACAGCAATTCCCTAAAGACACCATTAATGAGGAAATGGTGGAGCTGCTGCAGCCTTATTTTGACATGCTCGACTACAACATCGAAACAGCCAAGAGGGTTTGTGGCAATGTGGCTGGCCTTGCATCCTGGACAAAAGCCATGGCCTCTTTCTTCTCCATCAACAAAGAGGTCTTACCCTTGAAGGTAATACAGAGTGTGGCATTTAGCACCTGGCGCTAAAAAAGGAAATGAAACTGCCTGTGGATACTTTGCGATAAAAGGGAGAATATGAAATGGGTCAAGGGAAGTGTCAGTGGGAAGTGTGATGGAGTAGATTCATGAGCAGATTTATACAAGCTTCTCAGTTTGTATGTTTCATGCACAAAGGTTGAGGTACATCTGTCGTCAACCTCCCAACAAACACGAGTGCAATATTCAAAGCTGCTCTCAGACTTACTGGGAAGAGGTCATGGCCCAACACTTTCCTCGACAATGAGTAAGGGACACTCATGTTGGAGAGCGGAAACTAGTTGTTTTTTGTTTTATTATCAATGCAGAAAAGCCCGAGGCTGTAGAAAACAGCACAGACTGTCTCTGATATGAAAAGGATTTATTCATATTCCCACACTTTGGCAGCAACTATTTGATGATTGGTTCAGGCAAGAGAAGTGCTCCAAAATTTCAAACACACAGAGAGAGTAATGCATTTATTCAATGATTATGAGCCTACAAGAATGAGGTTATAAAAAGGGGTGCATCCAAAGTCGAGTTCCCAGGGCCTTTTAAATTTAATTTCACTTTATTGAAAAGTCCCAAAAGTGGGTCTCCCCAGACTGACCTAAAGACCTAAAGTACCTATCACTGTTAGACAAGGTCCTGGGTGGATTAAGGCCAAATCTTAAAGCACTGCCAATGCAATCCAACATTCAAACAACTCCTATAGACTCATATTGTCCATCTTTATCTAATACCTGTTATGTGTTTTGATTGGAACAAATTTGTGTACTTAATAACCTTTCTCCTGCTTCAGCATAAGTGCAAACACTTTAAATGAATGAACTTTTAAAGCTCTTCCACCTTCCAACAAGAATCAAATAAGATAGACTAATTATATCCACACTGGAGTCTGTGTTTGAAATAATAAGGCAAACACAGCTCTGATTTTTTTCATTCCGGCTGAACTAGTTAATTGCTTCTTTGCAGCATCACATCAATCTTTCACTTTGTATTTATTTTTTTGTTTCCTGCATTAACTCCACACACAGAGGAGAAGTATGCCGAGCTGAATACTCTGAGCACAGCTCCTTAATTAATAGAGCACCACACTCTAAAACCTCAATCTTTCTTCCCCTTGTGTTTCATTCAGCTGAGGCAGTTTGAGAGTTTCTAAAGCTTGTTGATTATTGAAGGAGTTGCACAGTGCAGCTGTGAGTTTGGATTTTGTTCATAAATACACGGTCCATTACTGTGTTGTTCTCTTATGCCTGATTTCCCCCTCCCCTTGTTGCCAATTGTCATTTCTCCCGTTTTTTGCCCGCTGCCATGTCTAATTTTCTCCATTACCCATCTCGTTCCCTTCCCACTGACCCAGTTTCTCACTTATCACCTCTCTCACTCCTTTTCTCCTTCTCATTCACTTATTTTCTCCATTTCTCCCTTTCTTCACTCTTGTTCTGTTTGTCCCGTATTATCTACAACCTCTAAGAGACATCCCTCTGATATCTTCTTTGATCCTGACCTTTTTGCTTTAGCAAGGAGCGCAGCCAGGCAAAATTGATTTTCTGGTTTCCAGCTCAGCGGTGGCTTCCCTTAGAGATTGCCAGGGACTGCTAGGCAAAGGTACAGTTGAGCAGGCAGGCAGGCAGACAGACAGGCAGACAGGCAGACAGGCAGGCAGGCAGGCAGGCAGGCAGACAGGCAGGCAGACAGGCAGGCAGACAGACAGACAGGCAGGCAGGCAGACAGATAGACAGACAGACGGGCAGACAGGCAGGCAGACGGGCAGACAGACAGGCAGGCAGACGGGCAGACAGACAGACGGGCAGACAGACAGGGAGGATTGTTCTTCTCAGATGTCAATGAATATTAAATGAATGCCCCAGACTTTTTCCTCCCTAGGCCACCCAAACACAAACACACTAAGACACACTCTGAATTTTTTCTCTCAATTTCTGTCCCTAAACCTTTCGCTTTGCTTTTTCCTCAGACCCAGAAAAATACTTTCTGCTCTTTCTCCGTCATCCTCAGGCACCTTTTTTTGGTTTTTGGGTCTTTTTTTGTCCTTTACCTGACTCTGTTTATCTTTAGTTTCTCTCTGACTCCCCAAACTTCTTCCGTAACCTTGTATTCTTGCATCTCCAATTTTACTCTTGAAGCATTAAGTCCCTGTTGGTGCACCTTTGACATGTTTTTACAAGTCTAATATCAAGCTGATAAGATTAACGTCATACAGATCCTGACTTATACTTAGTTATTTAATGCCACCTGCCAGAATAAGGGCAAAAACATGTCCCTGAGGACTTTTTCTTTGGTCATATTTTATAATGAGTCCAACACTGAGTTTCTAATCCCCAAATAAGGAGAACTGATCCCATTCATTGTCTCGAAACAAGACTCACTTTTGCCTCTTTTCTCTTGTTTTATGTCAGATCCTTCCTCTCTCCTCATCTGCTCTCTCCTCTCTTTAGCCTTTTCCCCCACCCCTCTGTCTTTTTAAGCCCTCTCACTGGAGAACCGACCGTGACCTCTGTGGGCTTGTTATGTCCAATCAATGCATTACAGATCCCTCTGTCTCTCTCTTTTTCCTTTTCTATTTTTTTTCAGGCGAACTTGGCAGTGCAGCAGAATCGCCTGGCCATAGCTAATGTGGACCTTCAGAAGGCCCAGGCTGAGCTGGATGCCAAGCAGGCGGAGCTGGATGTGGTTCAAGGAGAGTATGAGAAAGCTATGATGGAGAAACAGGTCAATAACTTCATTTGTTAGAACAAAGTTGAAATTCAGCTAATGAAATGAAAAAAGGGCAGCATGTGATTGAAAGACCTCAGAAGTAGTCAGGTTGAGGATGAGTCAACTCCTTCACATTGTGCTGCTACTCCACATCTGAAGCTTTAGACTCAAATAAGAGAAATACTTTTACAAAGAGCGACCTCGCACAACCTGATGACTAAGTTTGACACTCTAATAATACTCAGTGATAAGCAAAAGATCATGATGTATATCTTTTCCCTTCTTGTTTCCCCGACACCTAATTATTAGAAGAAACAGTCTAACTCTATACTGGTGATTTTTTTTCTCTTTAGTTATGTCTGTGAAATTCATTCCTTATTCGACAAAATTGTGAATGTTATGAAATCTAAAACTCACAATTTGATTACCCTTTACAATAGCAGGACTTGTCCTTGTGTCATTATACTGTGTGTATAAAAGACTTCAAGATATAAACATGCATATTAACTGAAGTGTTTGCACACCATTGTTACCTCAAAGCGCCTTCTAAGCCTTCAGATTGTGGCTACTTTGGCGTTTCCCCTGGTCCACAGAGGCTTATCTAGGGGTGGACCAGAGCAGAGGTGGTCATGGTCCCTCTTGATCGTTTTCCAAACTTTGATTGGCATTTTGTGATGTTAGATGGGACATACATATTCAAACAAATACTTCTGTGCTGGGTTTTAACTTACTTTTTTTTATCCTTGTATAATAGTATGACACTGTTCTTTGGTTGGTACTTTAAATTGAAATTTTAAACAAATATCTTCTCTTTGAAACTTATGAGTCTAAGATGTTGCAGTTCTTTTGTGTTTTACAATCCCTATAAACAAGAATATAACATCTTTTGGATGCTCTGATTTAAATACTTAAAGGAGAGACTAGTTAAAAGTGTGAACACTTGCTTTATTACACTTAAAAAGTCAGTGCTTAAATTTGGCCACCCCAATCAAGCAAACCTGACTCTGCCCTTAGCCCTGCCCATCTACAAAGATGGACAATAAAGCTCTTATCTGATTTGGTCATGTCAGTGCTTACAAGATGATTTGTTTGTAAGTCTTATGTGCACATTGTGATAATTCTTTCGTGCAAAATATTTTTTTAAAAACTGTTTCTGCAGCACTCTGTAATCTGTCTCATCAGATATTCACCGTATCCTAGCAGATACAGGCACTACGAGTAACTACAAACATAGAAACAGTCTTTTCACTGATTGTTTTTTATTGTCTTTTGCTCCTGAAGATCATGAAGATGCATCAGAATAAATTTCTGAGTTTTCTGAGTTTTTCAAATAGTATATATTTTTTTGTATTTTTATCAAAATTAGTGAATGAGTACATGTAGTATATCACACTTACGTATCCCGAAGACCTGGAGAACCTGTGTCAGGTTATCCCTCAGAGCCCGAGTCATGCCACTTCTTTTAAATCAGTCTAACACCAATGATACACTGTTAATTGTTTTTGCACCTTTGCTAGTCCATCTGCTCCCTGTTTTATTGAACGGTACTGTCTGTTCTGTCAGAAATAACAGAGTATAAATGGAACAATATGTGCAACCGCACTCCCTGATTATCAAATCTGGTTGACTCTTTTTATAATTTTGTTATTAAGACCCAGAGCAGTCCAAGAGCGAGATTTGGGGTTTTGCTGCAGGAGTGTTTGAGGTCCAGACAATCACTGTTGACTTTGATGTGCTTCTTAATTAAGAACGCCTATAGCAGACAGACGTTATTGATGTATCAGCTTCTGGGCAAAAGTTCTCATTATTGCCTGTGAGTAGCACATAAATGGTTTTAAGGCGTGGTTGGCCTTTCAGTGTATTTATAGAAGAGAATGTAATTTTAGTAATCAACATGATTACTTACTGATGTAAAAAGGGGGGGAAATATCCATCTATTAGGGGTAGCAGGGGCTGTGCTCAGCACATTTAGTAAATGCAGGTGCCTTTGACTAGATCTGGATTACTCTGACTGCATGTCTTTGGACTCTTTTTTTAACCTGTGATCTTGTATGTTGAGTCATGTGGTCGTGAAACAAGAGTACTTTAACTTCCAAAGGGCACGACCTTTTAAATACAGACATTAAAATGCACTCTATCTTGTAACGATACTTGAGATCGGTATAAACATGCTCATACTTCTACAGGATAAAAGACTGAAAGTGAGTTTTATGTTAGAACTGAAGTGGAGTCCATTTGAATGACATGACGTAAAGCTGAGCAGACAAATCACCCTCCTGACCTTTTTGTTTGTCTCCCTTTCCCACTCTTCAGACACTCCTAGAGGATGCTGAGCGCTGCAGACACAAGATGCAAACAGCGTCGAGTCTCATCAGCGGCCTCGCTGGTGAAAAGGAGAGATGGACGGAACAGAGCAAAGAGTTTGCTGCCCAAACCAAACGCCTTGTTGGTGGGTATCGTTGCTGGCTTTGAAATCTCGCTGTTTATTTTGTGCTCTGTGGTTCTTTTAAAACTGAGACTCTGCATAAGTTGTGGTGGCTCTTGTCATTGCTCCTATATCCATCTTTGGGCAGTTGCTATCAGATACAGAAACCCTGCTGCTTTTTCAGATTATTGTCCACATTAACTCAGAAAACAGCCAGAATGAAACACCTCTAATTAAAATCTTCAGAAAGAACATATACTGATTCCATCCTTAGATCAGAAATTTCTGAGCATTTCTTTATTTTAAAGTCACAAAACAAGGTCAGTTCCCAGTTTTACTTGTATAATTCCTCTGGACTTTTCACCAATCTACCATGCCAAGTATTTAATTGTTACCTGCACTCATCATAAAATTTTTTTCCAGGCGACATTCTTCTGGCCACAGCGTTCCTCTCTTACTCCGGTCCCTTCAACCAGGAGTTTCGCAATCTTCTCCTCAATGACTGGCAACGTGAATTAAAGCAGCGTCAGATCCCATTTGGAAACAACCTCAACCTGATTGAGCTTCTCATTGATGCCCCTACTGTCAGCGAGTGGAACTTACAGGTCAGTGATCTTTTCTAACAACTCCTCCTCATCAAATGATGCACTTACTCCATATTGATTTAGTATTCATAGTATTATGTTATTGAAATATAATCTTAAATTGTTTATCCAGGTCCAGTTGGTTGTTGGTTCATCAACAGGAACTGAGATCTTAATGTTTTTTTATGCTAAAATATACGAGCAGAGTATTGATATTGACTTTACAGCATACATTTGTAAAATACTTCTTTCTAAACTAATTTCCAAAGTTTTGCTGCTTTAGTCTTATAAAGAGTAAAACAAATAATAAGCTGTTCCAAGCTCTTGCAAACATCATGCCCGGGTTTCAAATATGAACTTGTCTTCTCTCTTGCAGGGGCTCCCTAATGACGATCTGTCCATCCAGAATGGCATCATTGTCACTAAGGCCGCTCGCTTCCCTCTGCTTATTGACCCTCAGACACAGGGAAAAATCTGGATCAAGAACAAAGAGACCAGAAATGAGCTGCAGGTTTGGAGTTTGTGTCTGAAGCTTTATTTATTTAAGTGACATATTAAGTATTGAATGCATGTTACACTGACTGTTTTTTGATATTGGCTGTTTCTTTCTGTCTACTCCAAATGTAATAGATGAATCCAAAATACTCCCTCGATAGGTGCTAACATGTTGCATTGGTGATAGAATTCAGAGCTTAGTGCTTTGACAGAAAGCATTCTTGAGTAACAGCTATTGATGTACTGTGATTTCATGTTTTTATTTGTTCCATCTGTTATCAGAGAGGACAGGACTTTTGTTTCTTTCTTGCATGTCATACTTGTAAGCATTGATTGTAATAATCACAGGGGATCCCAGTCAGCTCAGCTCACTTGTTAATAAAAACTGGCCGAGGAATTCAGATGGAAGATAGACTATCAACCTCTGCAGATCCGATGAACGCTACCATGTAATTTAGCTTTAGTACAGTCAGTGTAAGTCTTTGCTTGCTTACTGACTTTGTTGTCAGAGAACCTATTAATTTTTGCATTACTGTGGGTTCATTGGGTGACACACTTTCTTGTGCCTACAGATCAGCTGATCAAGTCTGCACAGGTCTGTTTGAGTTTAGCCCAGCATACTGCTATATTGTCCATTACAATATTTTTACATCTCAGTTCGACATTTCTCTATACGTGAGTGGATCATTTAGCAATTGGGTCATTTAAAGCATTTAATGTTGTTCCTGCACCATATGCAACAAGAGCATTTTTTCCCAGAACTCATTGCCTGTGCAAACTTATGTAGTGTAAGATATGGTTTTCTAAAGGCTCTGAAACTTCCGGTAGTAAGCCCAGCCGGGGTCACTGACCCTGTTAGTGGTAATCTCTGAGCAGAGTAAATGCAATCTTCATTTCTATTATGGTGTCTGTGAGGACGCATTTTACCAAGCAGAGTTTAACCCCTATATATGTGACCACATCAAAACGACTGAATCTATTTTTATAATCTTTTCTAAAAACAGCTCAACGAAGGAGTGATACCTTATTCATATGACAAGTCACATCTTCCAGACACTCATTGTCCTTTGTAGCTCAGGAGGAATTAAGGAGAAACCAAATGTGTGTCATTCAGTCATCTGGCTGAATCAAAACATGTCGACTGTCTCATAAATGTGCTCATCAGTCTATTGAAGGTTGTTTTTTATTCAATGTAACAAAACTTTTGGGATCTTAACTTTGATTCCAGATCACCTCTCTGAACCACAAATACTTCAAGAACCATCTGGAAGACAGTTTGTCTCTTGGACGGCCCCTTCTGATTGAGGATGTAGGGGAGGAGTTGGACCCTGCGCTTGACAACATCCTAGAAAAAAATTTCATCAAAACAGGCTCCACTTACAAGGTAACATAGCAAGAATACGTTTCCTGAGAACACTCATACAAGATTTGTGTTTAACCCTGCTCAGATGAGTGTGAAACAAGCAGGTGTGTTTTGACGCTGGAAGGAAGCATGATGGGACTTGGCCAGATTCCCTGCCCCATGCCAACTGTCACACCTGAACAGGCACAGGCTCTTAAGCTCAGACAAGGGAGAACAAGCCCAGTCACCAACTCTGTACAATGTTCTTTGCTGGCTTGAGGCAGATAAGTCTCTGCTTCTTTATTATACCAGCTGAAGCACTCCAATCATTGTTATTGTCTTGGGATGGATAAGAGAGTGCTCAGTGAGGCATGATCACACAGGAAGTGCTTTATTTAGTGCACTTAGTGATGTAGTGCTTTTGTCCTAAATCTCTTGGTGTGAATTATAATTGATAACAGCTTCCTGTTGAGGAAATTGAGCACCACCAGCTCCTCTGAAACAAAAGAATATCAAAATTTTCTCACATTTTTTTTAACATAATTTAGTCCTCTTGTATTCAAACAATTGCCAACAAAAGATTTGTTACCCGAAACGAGGCTTGATGTTTTCAGTCTGCTGCTTATTGTAAAAAACTGCAACTTCTTTTGTCATCCTAAGTGTGAAATGAAGTTTCTACACTTGAAATACCTTCTTTCTAAACTCGCACAATGATTTGCTTTTGTCTTGCTCAATGGGACTTATTGGGACAGACATGAAGGCATTTTTTTACTGCCGAATAAACCAAACTTTCCAGCGCACAAAGAGTCAGCGAGAAGGTTGGGTTTTGCAGGTTACTTTATTGAAGAATGCAGTTAGTATCTGCGCTTCGTTCAAGAATGCACGTTGTACTTTTTGAGACTCCCAAGTGTGAATAGAAAAACATCAAAATCAGGCCACATTAGTGAGGTCATTCAGTAATCATTTAAAGCAGATTCCAAAGAAGTACAGCAAAAAAATAATAATAAAAAACACTCGAACACTAATAGGAATTCTCATGAATGTGCTCATAATGAAAGTCTATCCCATTGAACAAAAATGGCTGCCTTGTACAGAGGGTTCAGTTCCTTCGAGAAGCTCCATTCATGTGAAGAGAGACCCAGTGTTGCGTAACGAGGTATTGTGAAGCTACCCAGCCAGATATCTTTTATTTTTTCTCTTTTCATCTTGAGCTTAGCTGTGCAAAATAGACCTCTCTGTCTAAAAAAGAAAAAAAATGATTTCCTGTTATGCACCATTGTAGGCAGGTATTTGTACTTTTGCAAATTGAAGGAAAGGGTTTCAATGGTTCTTACTCTCTCTGCATTTTACTATACAAAATGAAAGCCCTCAATCAAACTTGAGGCGTAATTTCAAGGTATTAGAGGAAATGTAAAATTGTATGTGACCAGGAATAATGTCGCAGTAGTCTCTCAGCCAGTAAATTGGTTCAAACTTTTTAAAAGTTGTAAGATTTCCTTTTGCAGAGCGTACACTTTCATTTCTATTTCTTGAGGTACCCACTCCTCTGAAGAAAGTGAAAATGTAGTTCGGGTGAACAAATTTCATCTAGATAACCTTGAGTTTGACGTCACAACAACAGGTTATTATATTTATCCTTGCAGTCCTTTTGACACGCACACACACACACACACACACACGTGCACACACATTTGAAGAGGCAATTTACTGTATGTGAGCGGTTGTGTGAAAGAGGCAGAGTAAAAGTCTGCTTCCTTGCTCTCTCTCTCTCTCTCTCTCTCTCTCTCTCTCTCTCTCTCTCTCTCTCTCTCTCTCTCTCTCATTATCGCCTCTCAACTCTGGTTGATGCTGGTTATTCAGCAGCTGACACTGCAGCTGCCTCCTTCTGTCTCACATGCGCATCAAGCAAAACACACATAGAGTACACGCACTTACACACTGTTGTGATTGCAAGTAAGCATGTGCTGTGAGGCAGACAACAAATCTCTTGGCTACCCTAATGAGACGCCTGATTAGGGTGTCTTCGCCATGTCTCCCTCCTTCCAGCAAAGCTTTCTTTTCTATTTATACCTCGATGTGATAGGTAAGGGAAGGTGTCTGTGGCCGACAGCTCTAGGGACAAACTGGCAGATGGGTAATTAGAAGTTTCACTGCAGTGAGTAATTAAATGCTGATCAGAGAAAAATGTAAGCACACATTCATGCACATCTTTCTCAGCTTCTGTTACTACAAAGTACTAAGACACCAGGGAAGCTTTTTTGTGATTGTCAATAAGCTTGTTTAATATGTCCTATAAAATGTGTTTCACTTTATACTCTCACTTACTTGTTTTTTAAGAGGATGTAGTGTAACGCACCATGTTTCCCTCCCTTTTTTTACCCCATATTTAAGTACAGCGCACAAAGCCAGCATCACAAATACCTCTGCTTATTCGTTTTAAGACTTTTGTTTTCTTCTTTCTGTCTTTTTATTTTTTTTCAGGTAAAAGTGGGTGACAAGGAGGTGGATGTAATGAAGGGCTTTAGACTATATGTGACCACCAAGCTGCCAAACCCGGCTTACACCCCTGAGATCAGTGCTCGCACCTCCATCATCGACTTCACAGTCACTATGAGAGGACTGGAAGACCAGCTGCTGGGTAGAGTCATCCTCACAGAGAAACAGGTAGACTTTTTCTGCATAGGACGCATGTGTGAATTATTTATCACACCGTGTTCCAGGTAGTTTATTTCGACTTTAGTGTGTTCCCACAGGAAGCATGTTCAGTATTTCCAGCTTGATGCAACTTGCTTGGAGCCTTTTAGTTTCCCAGGAAGCCCTTGACGGCCATTTAAGTACATCTCCTCATATCATGTACCTGATCATGGCGTAAAGGATTTATGCTCGAACATGAGCTTCCAGTTTTAACATCTACATCTATTACTCCAACGTTCTAGTTGGCTCGGAGGTTTTCTCCCTTCCTTCTTGGATCTATCATGTCTTGTTCGTCTTCGGTAAACTGCCCATAAATGTGTTCACAGTAAACAGATGTCGTCAGCGCTGTGTTCATCACTCAGTGTTTACTCTGATTTTTTTGCCACTTTGATGCTGGTTACTAAGAGGTTCAATTTTTCCATGAATGTATTATTGGAAAATGAGTTTCTCGTACATTCCCTCTGTTGGTGGGGTGTCAGACCAATATTTAGGGCAGTGGCACTGAATGTAACTGCTTTTTATAATCACCCAGTGGCTAAAGAAATACATTGTGTTGTCTTTGTTACATTTTATTTCATTTTTTTTAAATATTTTTGTGAGTGTTGAGTGGGTTTGGGGGAATTCAGAGGGATCGTATTTGCTATGCGATTAGAGATCATGTTGTTGTTTTCACAAAATAGTCATAGGAACATTAGGAAGCAGGTTTCATACAAAAACCAGACACTGTGGCTTTCATAGTTTGCAATAAAATAGTTGGGAATGCGATTAATTTAAATTATGTCAGCCTGTTCTCCATGCAAACGCTTTTATGCTTTTATCATGCAAACAGCGGCATGTAAAGGTCGATGGAGTCAGATGATCTGTTTAGTGGGAAAAAAGACTTTCTGACGCCAAGACTCCTGGATAACAAAATAACTCATACATGGACATCATTTTCATTACCTCCCTACTCTCAAGATAAATATCAAGTTCTATCGTCTCGTGATTTAAAAGGCATGTCATTGGCCGATCATACTGATGCTTCCCAGGGGAGGTTTAATGGCCTGATGGCCTTTTCTGTTGCTCTATCATTCTTCTCTTTAACCTTTGTATGTTTGTTTATGTTTATGTCTGGGTTTTTATTGCACTAGGAGCTGGAGAAAGAGAGGACAGATCTCTTAGAAGACGTAACATCTAACAAAAGAAAGATGAAAGAGCTAGAGGACAATCTCCTCTACCGACTGACCAGCACCCAGGCAAGGAAATGCATCAAAGTTGTTATCTGAAAACATAGTTTTAATAACATATTTGAACATGCTTTTATCCTGAGTGTGTAGCACTGCATGTTTTCCTCTCATGGATAGAAGTTAGTCTCTCATCTCACTGTCCAAATGAATCTTGTAAGGAATTAGAATATTAATTTTCTCCTGACTCCTGCAAATTCTGTCTCTTTAAAGGGTTCACTGGTGGATGATGAGAGTCTGATTCTTGTGCTTGGCAACACAAAGCGCACAGCTGAGGAGGTCACCCAAAAACTTCAGATTGCTGCAGAGACTGAGGTCCAGATCAACGCTGCAAGAGAGGAGTACCGACCTGGTAGGTCACAGCAAATGGGCTCAAAGACACTTTTCACACTTTTTTTTTCTTAACTTTTTGGGGAAATGACTCCTTTTTCGACTCCAAAGAAGAAATCAGTTAGTTTTTTAACTACTGAAGCAACGACATACAGGAACATTCTGTAAGACAAAATTTGCTCAGACAAGCATTCAGTTAAAACAGATTTCTTCATAAAGTCTCAACAGGTTTCTGAGTGTCAATCTGTGCAACTTATTTAAAGTTATCAAACACATTCAGCGGCTTCTCTAACAAAAAAAAAGCATCCAAATACATTTCTTTATTCTTTAATAATTGACTAGACTTTGGGCGGGGCACACACATTTATGAATGGAGGCTGTTAAAGTCAGCAAACCCTCCTTTAAACTCATTTATACGCATTTTTGTTTTTTCTGCATCTCACTGCTTTTGGCTTAGCTGTAGTAATTCTTATGTTTGTGTGTTTTCAGTGGCCACGAGGGGTAGTATCTTGTACTTCCTGATCACTGAAATGAGTATGGTGAACGTTATGTACCAGACCTCTTTGAGGCAGTTCTTGGGACTTTTTGACCTCTCTCTGGCAAGGTGAGAATATCTCCCAATCCTCTGTCTACCTGTTTCTTTTTAAGTGGATATTGCAGTTTGAATTTTTGCTCCCCTCAGTGTTCCTTTTGTCTTTGCGTTGTTGGAGGTATCTCTTTAGGGGACTTACTGAAGGACCGCGTCTGATTGTCTATCAACCTTTCCTAAAATACTGATTTTCAAAAAGGCCAAAACAGTATTACAATATTACCTTTGCTTTATGTTGTTGATGAGAATCTATTTCTGTGATAAGCTTTGTTTGTGTTTTTATTGATTTTTATGTGGTGCGTTCAGTTGGTTTGGTAAGGTTTTATCTTGTGTTGGATGTAGAAGACCATTGAGATTTTAAATCCAAAAGATTATGAGGTTAATGGAGGTATAAATACCCTTGAAAGCTTAAAACAACACAGTCTAGACAATGAAGTGTGACGCATTAAAGCCCGACCACACAGACAGCCAGTAATATCATTTCAGAGTTGTATTAACAAATATTGAATATAATAAGCCTGACAAAGGCTTAATTCAAATTTATCATTTGCTTTATTTACCTTCTGAATACGAATCAGTCATTTAGTTAATTAAATAAGATATTACCTTTGATAAATGTTTGCTCACTCATTTCAGTAACTTCTTTCAGTATTGCTCTGAACAAGCTGAGAGATTTTTGTTGTTTTCTCACTCTCACCACGTATGCACCTGAAAAGTAATCATATTTTTAGAATTTATGTAAATCCTGAAAGCTTCTGAGTCATTGTTGGTATCGAAGTGGAATATCAATACTTGGAACTGTTTTTCCTTTGCTGTTCACACACTGGGTAAAGTGTTTGGAGTGCCTAAGGCAAAGATCAAATGCAGTCACAGTCAATTTATCCCAGGCCTACGTATTGATTCACCGGCTCAAACCCTTTCTTATCAAATCATACAACTAATTATGTCGATATTTACAATGCCCTTAATGGCTAGACGAAACACACTGTTACTGTGAAATGTTGACATCCTAACCCACACAATCGGTACTGTTCAGAATGGCCTCTGCTCATTGGGTGAACGACTCTGACCATGCTGTGATCCATGGGTAATTTACAATATTGAAGTCAAACCATGTGAATGCAAAGCTTTAAGAGGCTCATATGCCTGAAATTTTTTGAAACATAGCATCTGTTATGATTTTCTGTTTTAACAGATCTTCAAAAAGTCCCATCACCAGCAAACGCATTGCCAACATCATCGAGTTTATGACCTTCGAGGTGTATAAGTATGCAGCACGGGGCCTTTATGAAGAGCACAAGTTCCTCTTCACTTTGCTGCTGACACTGAAGATCGACATGCAGAGCAACAGGGTCAGACATGAGGAGTTCCTCACGCTCATCAAAGGTAAGAGGAGAATATCAACAATGTCAAGCTTTTCTTCAACATTCAGTTTTCTTTTCTGCCACTAAAAGTAAATTTATTGAGTTTTCATCTGAAGCATTTACATGCCTATGAATTATGATGAACACAGACATTATCTGAGTGCTGTTCTTCCACATTAAAACAATGGTGCAGGAAACTATTCACCTTTGTACTGAAAGAATAAAAAGCATTTATTGTTGTTGTGGTTTGTGCTCACAGTGTTCAGAATTTCTCCTCCTCCACAGCTCAGCTATATCAATAACTGCCTGTTGTATTTATGAAGTCATGGTGTTATTGATTTAGAGCCAATGTATGATGCATTGTCTTGATTTGTGTCCCTGCAGCCATGTTATCCATCCAAAGACACCGTCTAAAAATAACACGCTTGGGCAAACTATGTAACAAGCTGAACTCAGGCTTTGTGTATGAATACAGATCAGCTTCTTCCTAAGCTTCAGAAGCCCTTGACTCCTTTCTTAAGCCACTTTGGGCTCTATCCAATACCTATCTTTCAGGCCCTTATAGCAACTGTTATAATTGTGGTCACCCCTGATAAAATTTCTGCTGTTTGTTGATTTGACCAAAACAGAGTTAATAAGAAATTACCGATTGATTCTGTCTGAAGTAGAGATGCAAGCCAGGACAGTATTTGCATTATTACTCTTGCTTTCAGGGTTTGGCTATCACCCTGGAATAAAATGACCCAAAAATGCTGATTTGAATGGTACCTTAAAGGGATAGTTCACTTTTTTAAAAATGTGATTCAGTGCCCGAGAACATTGCAAGAAAAAAGAAATGGGCTATCTGACAGAAATTAAAGAAGCTACGATGTTAGTTGTACATCGATGGCTCACTAACTCCAGGCCATTCAATTACTGGAAGTGCTACACTCATAATAACAGGGGCCTTTCAGTAAAGTTAGAAAATTGTGAAAGTATTCAATATTTTAGCACTTCTCTATTTTATATTCAATACAGCTAAAAAAAAAGACCCTTAAAATAGAAGGATTTATCTCTTTGAGTTTGAGTACATGACTTTTCAAACAGGATGAATACCGTGTCACCTTGCCTAGTTCAGTACACACAACTGCAATCATGGGGAAGACAGCTGACCTGATAGTTGTCCAAAAGATGATGGTCAAAACTCTTCACAAAGAGGGTACGCCAAAGAAGGTCATCGCTAAAAGGGCTAGCAATTTAGAGTGCTGTGTCAAAGCATATTGACTGGAGGAGAGGAAATGTGTGTCAGGGAAAGAACACAAGCAACAGAGACAACTGGGGATCCTCAAGAACAGTCGATTCAAGTACTTGGGAAAGCTTGACAACAGGTGGACTAAAGCTGGTATGAGTGCATCAAGAGTCGCCACTATAGACTGTATATAGAATGGACGCCGTCTACCTCCTTGCTGGGAGAAGCCACTCCGAGAACAGCGCCCTCTGTTGACGGGCTGCAGTATAGACTACAGTACATAGATAGAGTATAGAGTGCAGACTCTCGGCGACTCTCCCGCCGAATGCGAACAACACTACTGCGCAGCGCTGGTTTCAGGAAATGAAGAAAAATACCAGAAATACCGAGAGCTTTTTGGCTTCAAATCCGTATACAGGCGGAAGGCGGAACCAAGTTGTCCATAGTATATACAGTCTATGGTCGCCACACAGACATTTCAGAAAAGGGACTTCAACTGTCCCATTTCGAATACCAAGCCACTCCTGAAACAGCGATAACTCGAGAAACATCCTAAACGTGCTTAGTAGCAAAACAATTAGACTGTTGCTTTGTTGTTCAAAGTCCTCTTTTCGTTTAGAAATCAAGGTCCCAAAGTCTGGAGGAAAAGTGGCACAGAATCTAAAGTGTTAAAAAGTCCAGTGTGAGGTTTCTGCAGTCAGTGATGATTTAGCGTGCCATGTCATCTGCTGGTGTTGGTCCACTTTATTAAATCAAACCTGATGTCAACACACCTGTCTACGAGGAGATTTTGGAGCACTCAATGCGTCCATCTGCTGACAAGCTTTATAGAGATGCTGATTTCCTTTTCCAGTATGACTTAGTACCTGCCTTCAGTGCCAAAAATCCTAACAAATGGTTTGCTGGCCACAATAGTCCTGTGCTTGATTGACCAGCCATCTGGCCTGATCCAAACCCTGCAGAGAATCTACGGAGGGAGAAAGTGAAAATGCAAACAAACTAAAGACAGCTATCAAAGCAATCAGAGCTACAGGCTGATCACTTCCAAGCCAGTCTGACTGCTTTGTGATAAAGGACCCTCAATGTAGATTGAGTCTACTATGTGTTAGCATAGCCTACTTAAGTAAAGTTGGACATTTCTGTATTGGAAATCCTTTTTGGATTAATCTCGGGGAATACTGTAATATTTTTAGAGACCAGATTTCTGATAGTCATCCTCTCTGGGCGTCACTGCATTCTCTTACTGTGTTGAGTGTGGGCTCCTCTGATGGCTGGGAGTTTCTAGCCTTATAATCAGCAGTTAGAATATCCCAATTGTGAGATACCAAGTAAGTGATTGAAGGAACATGAGTGAGGTGTTTCACCAGAGAAGAGATGTTCTTGTTTTGAATGATCTGAGGATTCCCTTCTTTCAATGTGGTTGTCACAACAGCCAGCCAGAAGGGCTAGCATACTAGTTATGGACTTCTTGGGACTTTGTAGAGGTGTATACCCTGTAGTGAGATACCTCATTCATGTAACCAGAGAGCCAGGGTTACCTTTGTAACCTTCAGTTTAGAATGTCCCTCTCTGCAGGGATAAAAGCAAGCTTTGGCTAACGGAAAGGCCAGAACACAGAGTCTGCTCCCTGCATGCAGCTTGACCATCTGTCATCTCCAGCCTGCTGAACATGAACCCACAGAGAGACTTAAGTGTTTGTTTTTGAAGGTTTGCTTTTGGAGTGTTTATCCAAAATGATCTTCCTCTTTGCTTTTGCTCTCTGTCTTCCAGGTGGCGCGTCTCTGGATCTGAAGGCCTGTCCTCAGAAACCAGCTAAATGGATCCTTGACATGACCTGGCTCAACCTTGTAGAGCTCAGTAAGCTGTGGCAGTTCTCTGATATCCTGGAACAGGTAAAACACCTACAGACATGCACACATTGACACGCACATGCACAGATTGATCGATATAGGTCGTCTTTGACAGGCGTATCCAACATTTCTTTTACCAAGAGATGTTTTTGACCACTGGGACTTTGATCTATTAGGGCTGTAGATAACAGCACTCATCTGTCAATCCCCTCTCTCCCTACGCACACACAGCGTCATCGTCTACAGGTGCCTATAAATATTTTCACAGCTCTCCCTTGCTCTAGTAAGCATGTCAGTGTCAGTCTCATCATGTTTTGCTTCATGTCTTTCCTCACACACATATTCAGCTCATCAAGTTAGACTGTAAGTCACACACAAACACACACACACATTTAGGCGTGACTGGCAGGTTTGCGGCTTTCACAAGAGGAAAAAAATCAGTGCTCTGTGAAATGAGCTTAGTTTGGAGGAACTCCCTTTCAATTACTTTAGATTGAGTTTGTGTTCATGTACAAAAATGTGTATGTGTGTGTATACTTGTCCTATAACACACTGAGATTTATTACCAGTGATTTACTTCAAGAGATGGATTAATGGATCTTTGTTTAATGAGAGGTACAAGGGGAAAACAAGATTATCATGTGAGTTAAGATAGAACACAGAGACAAAACTGTCTTCACAAACACAACTCAGATGTAACTTTTTTTCACTCGTGAAACTCTCACACATCATGTCAAGCATCAGTCTGAGTTTAGTGGTGAAAGTAGCTCATTAAAATCCCCGGACTAGCCCAGAAATTTGCATGGAGGACATCATTTTGAAACACTCTCCTCTCTCCATGTTGCTAATGTGCCCTTCACCAAAGCTCTGAACCTCTTCAACTCTAGAGTGGAGCTGCTCAGTAGCTAATAGACAAAGATAAACAGCTCTCAGTGGAGGTGATTTCCCAACTTCACGGATGAAGAGCAGGTGGCTGTTGGTCTTTGCAGAAGAAATACTTTAGTAATTCCAAAAAACAAACTGAAGTTGTATGAGAACAACACAGCCATTTAACCCCACTTATTCCAGAAAGTCAGGTGGCGATGTGAAATCAAAAGCAGATTTGGCTTTTTGTAGTGGTCCTCTGATTTCTTGTTTATATATTTGAGTTAGCCTGGTTTTGACAGGGTCATGTACAGACATTTATATGAAAGAGGCCTCATGCAGCTAAGTACAGCTGTAATATCCAAAGCATTTTTAGGTCAAAGACTGGTCTCTGTCTAGTTACAGAAAAAAAACACTCAACACTGTCATCATACATCTTACAAACATCACCAAGTCTCTAAATCTGAATACGGCCCACTGCATGAACCTAACATTCAGAAGGTTATTGCAGTGCATGCACTGTAAACACAACCTCTGTTTCCCTGCCCTAACCTGATTTCTCACAGCAGCCTGGTTTCCTGTGTGCATATCAATACAGTTATTAACAGGCTGCGATGTAAATTGTTTTATGATGTTGTGTTATTAAGTATTCATGTCACTTCTTGAATTCACACGTTGCTTACTTGGAATCAATAAAATCTGCTGTGTAGACAGTTGGCTTTACACCACAGTACAAGAGTGGATTAACGATCCTGTGAGTTACATTATTCATGACATGAAATACATTAGTCTATGCTGCTGAAAAACAGTTTAGGAGATCATTTCTAACCTGTTACATGTGCTAATGTCTTGACATAGATAGATTGGTTTTATTATGGGGTTACACGTGTATAGAAGAATAAGAAGAAGAGGTAAATATTGCAATCACATGCACTCAACCAGGTTGTGCAGGCACAGAGAGGTGCAGAAAAACATATGCTCACCATGCACAAGAATAATACAGATATTTTGATGTTTCAAGGGAACTACTCAGTCAAAACATTTCAGCAGTAACCTTTTCTACAAACTTTAATCCATGCTCCTATTTTTCTAGTGATTGATTTGCAGCAACGTTGGGTTTTTATACGTGTCGGTTTGCAAAAATACATCTTTTCTGTATCAGTGAAGAAAGTTTGGTATTTTCCATCTTTGTGTTTCTGAATAGGGTCTGTGTGCACATTTCTTTCAGATAAGTCGTAATGAGAAGCAGTGGAAGATTTGGTTTGATAAGGAGGCTCCAGAGGAGGAAGTGATCCCAAACTCCTATGATCAGGCTCTGGACTGTTTTAGACGCCTGCTCCTCATACGATGCTGGTGTCCGGACAGGACAATCGCACAGGTAAGGAAAACCATCTGTGTATCATTTCTAACCTTAAAGTTTAAAACCACAGTGTTTATCCTGGATCAGATTTATGCCTTAATTTACCCAATACTTTTGTTTCACTCACACAATCAGTCCTATAGTTGTTGAGAGTCAAATCCCACAGTTGCTAGGTTACATCGTATTGCATTTATAAAAGTATGATGCAGTCTTTCACATAAAAGCAAAATCAACGAAAGGGATAAATTACCATAAAATAGACTAATTAAGTAGTCTAAATCAGCATATTCTTAAATAATGGAAGAGTTCAGGGCTGGAAAAGAGCTGCTGGTTTTCTTTAAATGTTCATTTGTATTAGTGAGGGAAAATTCATTGAAAAACGTCTTTATCTTCAGTAATATCTCCCTCTGCTAAGTCTTTCCTTGAAGGGAAAAGTGTAATACATTTAGTAAAACGTCTCTATCACTCTGAAGCTTACTGAGCCTGTATATCGACATTGTGTAATGGACATCCACTTCTTAGTGATGGGTAGTGTTTTAGTCCACAGCAGACAAGCCTGAAGTGGATTTCATTTTGCTGCACTCAAAAGTGGTCTAGCACTTCACCTTGTCTGACCTCTGGCAGCTGTGTTTACTAATTTAAAAGAAAAAATCTGTGAAAAAAAAAAAAAACACTTTAAACTATTTGCTCAGATCCCAGCCTTGAGAAAGTGAATTTATCCTAGTTTTTAGTTTTAACTTAGCCCGCAACCCAGAGCAAGCTTTATGTGTTATGTGTTTTGTTGCCTCCAACTGTATGAAGCTGTAAACAAACATCCACTCTACCGCATTACTTTCTTTATTTCTTCCAGGCCCGTAAATATATTATGGACGCGATGGGTGAGAAATACACTGAAGGGGTTATTCTTGACTTGGAAAAGATATGGGAGGAATCAGACCCACGCACACCCCTCATCTGCTTCCTGTCAATGGGCTCTGATCCAACCGACTCCATCATTGCGCTGGGAAAAAGGCTGAAGATTGAGACTCGTTATGTTTCCATGGGACAAGGACAAGAGGTCCATGCTCGTAAGCTCCTGCAGCAGACCATGGCTAATGTGAGTCACTGGTGTCAGGTTGCTGCTATTTTTTGCATCATGTGACGCAGCAGCTGACCATTAGGGTCGTCAAAGAAAGAAGAGAAAGAGAAAAAAAATATGCTTTAACATTGTTTTCCAAACAAGCTCTCTGTTTGTAATAATGACAGACAGTCCTTTAATACATCATTACTCTCAGGTCTGAGTTTTAAATGGCTGTATACTTTGTATTAACCCGATTACTGCTCCTCAGGGGGGCTGGGCTTTGCTCCAAAACTGCCATTTAGGTCTGGACTTCATGGACGAGCTAATGGACACAGTGACAGAGACAGACTTTGTCCATGACAGCTTCCGTCTTTGGATGACCACTGAGGTCCACAGACACTTCCCCATCACTCTTCTACAGATGTCAATCAAGTTCACGAATGAACCACCACAGGGTCTCAAGGCGGGACTAAAGAGGACCTATGGAGGTGGGGCGAGTTCACTTAGAGTACAACGAAAAATTATCCATCAAAACTGCATAAATCTTAATCTCTTATTTTACTGAGCAGATTGAGAGAGGTGAGGCTAGTCTGGGGTAAAAATAGACGTCGCTTTTCTTGAACTCATGCAGTTTTTGGATACTGGATCAAATCATGACCAATAGAATTTCGTCCAGATTGAAGGGTTTTTGTGTCTGAAATCACAACCAAAACACACATGAGGCAGAAAATAAGTCAAAGACGACCAGTTGATGATGAATTGATCACTTCAGTGGAACATTTATGAATCAATCTTGACTTAAAATAGAAAAAGTAAAAGGATTATGAGAAAGCAGAGACGATCATTGTATTGCTCTTGATGTCCAGGACGGTAAACAACTAATTAGTGACAGCACACAACCCACAACCACTCACACTTAAACAGCCCATCAAAAAGTCAGATAATCAATAACTAATGAGACAAGTGTATGCTGGGGTAGAGGCTTCAGGGGGAAAACATGGTGAACAACTGTTTATTGCTTAATTCAGTGATTTTACACTCAAGTACCAAAGCCTATAAGGTTCATGAAATTTTAAACAAGTCAAGGCTCATAGTTAGGGTTTTTATTCAAGCCTACCAGAGGGTGGAGGAGAAGAGTATTTAACATGCATAAACCACCTGTCTCTGTCTGTGCTATTTGATAAAAGGGTATGTGAGGTTCCTAAAGGGCAGCTGAGAGTCTGGGTACACACTTATCTTCAGCTCTTTGAGCTTTGCTGCAATTAAATGAAATCTTTATTCTTCCTCAACAGATTGAAAGAAAAACAGGAAAGAGAAAATCAATGCTGTCATTAATACATTCAGAAAATAGAACTTTTTTTTCTCTAGATGTTTATATAAATTCTTTACCTGCTTGAAAATGATTGTTTTTTAACCACTAGTGCAAGGCCGTGTGCCCTTTATATTTTATGGCACCCAAACCTCAAACATGACAGCAAATGAGGCAAATATCTAATATATAGATAACCCTTCAGATTAGGGATTAACATGACAGTGGATACTGTTATTTTCTATAATAACTGTGGAGATTAAATGAAGTCGAACACAACACAGCTGGGGTTATAAGTCCCCACGCTGTCATCCTCTTTCTCCTCATGACATTCCCCAAACTTTATTAGAGTTCAGGAAAGTTCTTTGAGGAAGTTTTCAGAGAGAGGGATTTGCTAACATGTATTCTGCAAATCTAAAAAAGCCTTTAAAAATGGAGTAATGGCAAACACAAAACTTAATGTTGTACAAAGTAATTCATACAAATAAATTGATTAAAAAAAAAAATCTTAAATAGCTTTTTAAAATCCTCTGTGAAAAGGGTAAAACGGCTCTTGTACTTGGTCCCAGTTTCTTCAAGTCCTCCTAACCTGCTTTTGAAGAATCAGAAAACCATCTAGAGCTGGAAGACCTGCTATCACAGCTCCAAATCTTGCAGTGAAATCCTGGTTTACTCATCACTTCCTGTTGTGGACATACCTTCTCATGTAACTTCTCTCCAGGTATAAACCAGGACCTTCTGGATGTCAGTAATATGGTACAGTGGAAGCCGATGCTGTACGGTGTGGCATTTCTCCATAGCACTGTGCAGGAGAGGAGAAAGTATGGGCCTCTTGGGTGGAACATCCCCTATGAGTTCAACCAAGCTGACTTCAACGCCACTGTCCAGTTTGTCCAGAACCACCTCGATGATATGGACATCAAAAAGGTATGAGAAGTAAATCCTTTCATTTCTTTCTATGCCATCTTGGGTCTTCTCTATCCTTTAGAATGTTTCAGTGTATTTTCAGAGATTCTGCAGATCCAGTCTATGAAAAGTGGGGGCAATCTGTGGAAGTAATTCTGGTGCTTTTTTTTCCCCCCATTGTTTGCCGACTGTGCTAGACAGAGACTGCCATCTTTGTTTTTGCCTGTAAACTTGTGATAGACTTTGTGTGATTGACAAAGAGAACCTGTGGAGGCCAACCCGTGGAGCACTATAGTCAACTTGGTAACAAAGGAAATAAATGGATGGGAGTCATATATTTTTGCAAATTCAGCTCAGACATAGATGTGCATTTAGGAGCAACCCCTACTCAACTGATTTATTCAGGGTTTATTCAAGAAAATATCAAAGAGAAAAATAATTTTTTCCAAGCCAATAAAAACAATCACACATTATCATCAACCTCTAGAAGGTACTGTAATGAATCATTTGGATATTCCTAGCTATACATATTATGAAATGAATTTCGGGGCAAATTGATCAATATCCAATGAAATAGATATTGGATCAAATCATGACCAATAGAATTTCATCCAGATTGAAGGGTGAACAATACCTAGCTTAACTTTCTTCATAGCAAGTTAAAATAGAGTCATCAGCTACAATAACAAAACAAGACAGTGAAACAGTCCTAAAAGCAGAGTTTTAGAGTGATGATAGTCTGAAAGGCTGTTTGATGGGCTTTTACTGGCTGAATGTACGACAAGTTGTTGCTGTTGTTTATTTATCACACAGTTTGTCTATGAAGTCTTAGTAAACCAAAAAAAAAAAAAAAGTATGTATATATTCTGTATATAAATAAAAGTTAGATAGATGTATTTATACAGTGTTCAGAGCATATATTGTCATACAAAAACAATCTGGTAACATTTCCAAAAGCTGAGTTAACAAAATGACCGTGTTCTTTTTCCTCATTTTCAAAGAATATTACACTCAACGTGAATAAATGTGCTAAACAGAGATAAATATGACACTGTTCAATATGTTCATAACACAAGGGTATGATCTACCTTTTTTATACTATTTCACATCTTCACAGCTTTAACTGATCTACAAAACATTCAACATTTGACTCTATATACTTTTTTGATCCCATACTGGGAAATTCCCAGTTTTGTAGCACTAAATGCATTCTGTGGGTAGTCATCAGACAATATCATATCTTTTCAGGGTGTGTCGTGGAATACAGTGCGTTACATGATTGGAGAGATCCAGTACGGCGGCCGCGTGACTGACGACTACGACAAGCGGCTCTTAAACACTTTTGCCAAAGTGTGGTTCAGTGAGGAAATGTTTGGACCGGCATTCAACTTCTACAAAGGTTACAGCATCCCAAAATGCTCCAATGTGGACCAATACCTGAGCTACATCCAGGTGAGTCCGTAAAAAATTAATAATCTGAACATGTTTGTGTGACTTTTGTTTATAAAACAACAGATTTAAATGCACTTCTACAACCGGAGAGGTTCCTTGTCACTGTCACTGTCAGTGTCTGACAAGGGCTCCTGTCTTTATGTTCATCATGTCGTGTCATGTTGCTGTCTGCTTCCAGCTTTCAGTGGAGTCACAAACCAGACGCAGAGCAGTATTTAAGATCGAAGGTTTCTGCAGCTGTTACATCCAACGACAGACTGCCATGTGTGACTTTAGATAAAATGCAAGCATGCTAATTTTATTACAGATTATGCATGATTTATTAGTGTGCTGGTGTGCTTAACTGTTGCTTTTTGTCAGTGTGTGTTTGTGTGTGAGTTCCTGTGTGTCTGGGGGGCAGTTCCTGAGTGAGTTTCATTAAACCTAGTTTCATTATGATGGATGCTCAGGGCTTCCAGGCTCTGCAAGCTTATTCCTCTGCACTGCCTCTCAAATAGAGAATGACAAACACAGCCCTGGAGAACAAACACGCACTAACACACACAAACACACACGCACACACACATGCAGAGATGCACACTCACAGCACCCAAACACACTGAGCTGTTTCTCCGTTAATACACACAAATGTTCATGCTTTATCTAAATTTATAAAACACACAGTAGAGTGCAGTCTGACCCTGCGTTTATGTGTGTCAGTGTATTGAAATGAAATGCAACAGAGGGAAACACAGCTGAAATTCCCCAAATGACCACAGTGGTGGACAAATCCTTTTTTCTTTCCAGGGCAGTGTGACTCCTCTTCATCACCTCCCATTTTTCTTTGTGTTATCCTGGCTCTCTCCTGATGTGTGAGTCTTTTTGAATGCACACTGTGATCGATGTTTGAGGGATAAACGAGGCAATGACGACATAAATCACGCAGTGTCTTTGTTGTTACCCCAGCGCAAACTCTGAGCTGCTCTCCATCAATGAAGCAACAAGAAGAGAAGCCTTTTGATCGAATTTAAACAAAACAGTCTATCACAGCCAAGAGAAAATGAAGCCACGTTTGAGAAAAGATGGAGACATGATGCAAATATGAAACCCTGTTTTCTGTTGCGTCCATATGCTAATTGCAGTGATAAAGGTGATTTAGGTTACCTTAAAACAAAGCAGAGAGAGCCCTTCCCCCTTTCATTACAGTTCGTATCTTCATTAAGTCTCTGCAGCCAATTCAGAGCAAGTTTGAAATTTCATATTTTAGGAAGAGTCTGATTAGAGTCAGCACGGTAACAGATGGTCTGCCTTCCTGTCATTATTGAGAAAATAATAACTCCAAGATGTCTCAGAGCCTTTCAAAGTAGCACCATTTCAAACCTGTGCACCCTGGGGAATATTTTCAGCATCATCTCACTTTAATTAAACCATCCGTATTTCTCGTAAGAACAACTTCTGCTCTCAGTTTTAGGTGGATTAATACTTATGTGACATTCATAAACCGGCTTAAAGTCCGGCTCAGATTGTTTTTTTTTACTACTTAAACTGTTCTCAGTGGTCTTTAAATTGTGATTATGACGTTTTTACCAAAAATCGCGTTACCTGTGTCATTTTCAAGTTACCTGTGACTTTTCCAGTAGCTCATTAGCAATTTGCTTCCGAGTCGTGGGCGGAGACAGCACTGCTCTGCACACTCGTCTTCACACTAGCTTGTAGCCTAACATTGTCGGTGTAGCAGAAGTGGCAGGTCATAGGAGCTATACGGCTCTCGGACACTAATGTCTTTGGGGACATGATGAAAGCTAATGTCATAATTAGCTTTCTTACAAGTACTAGTGATGGGAAGAACAGTTCTTTTGACTGTACTGAATATTTAGAGTCCGTTTATTAAAACGATTCGTTCAAAAGATTCGTTCGCTGAATCAGTCAGTGCTTGGGTACACAAGTGAGTGACACAGCTGCGAGTTCATTCATTGAACGAGCCCCTCCCCTCCCCTAACCTCCCCCTGAAGTCACAGCATCGTTCACTGGGTGACACATGTCATTCATTGGCCAAGTCCTGAAGAAAGAATCACTCCCCTGTCCTGAAAAACTCACCTCTCCGTGTGTCGCTGTCGGTGAAAACAACACAGCAGCAAGCAGCACACCCTCTAAACAAGAGCGAGTTGTCATTCATTTATATCGCTGAAAAGTTGAGAGATTAAAAATTAATAAATATCGCAGCTGTAGCAGGGATTCTGCTAAGTTGAAAGATATCAAATAGCGTATTGCTCTAAATCGGCTGAAATTAAATCCTTCTTGCAGGAAAGTTTATATACATGTATTAATGTAAAGGCACTATAATGCACTGTTTTATCTTAGCCTCAGTAAATAAACCAGTGTTCAGCAGGAAGTAAACAACGCTACAACCCCTCCCTCCTCTACCTGCATCAAATCATTTGGAAGTTGCTTGTTTCAGTCACAATGTCGTTCACAAACTGAATCAGTCCGTTCACATACTGACACATGTCGTTCACAGACGTTTCGTTCACTGACTGATACAGGTAGTTCATTCGCTGTGAGTGAATCACGAGACTCCGTCCGCCCGCTCCCTGGCTGGCTGGCTGTGTGTCATTCGCCAAAGAGTCAAAGGCGGCAGTTCCGCTCCCGACTAGCATGCCTGGCTTGTGGCTGAGCTCAACTGAACTGAAAAAGGAACGAATCCGGTCTTGGAGTGATTCAGTTCACATCGTTCACTCAGCAGTTCCGTACTTTTGAATGAAACGTTCATGAACGACACAACACTAACAAGCACTGCAATCCACTTACGCACACGCTCCACGATCGTCCTCTGTATTTCGGGGGCGGAGCTTGGATTGGTTATGTATGAAATCTCACAGTTTCTGATCCTGCCGTTTGGGTCAATCAGAGATTTATAGCGATTTGAATGAAGAAATACTCAGAAAAGCAATTTTGCATTTAGTTTTCTCATGACATGTCCTGTAGCATCAGAAAAATGCCATATGAACATATAAAAAACAAGAAAAACATGATTTTCATCAGAGTAGGGTTTGGGTGCAGGTTATTCTATGATTTGTTCTCCCTAAGACATCTCTCTCTGCAAATTTGTGTCGACTTCCACAGAGAGCAGAAATCTGTGCCCACTGGTGAAAAAGGTAGATAGTTGTTTGTTACCATGGAGAGATGACTTTAAATGAGGCACAGAGAGAGATATAGACGAAGGTTCCCACGTCAGCAACTAAGCAGTTACATTCATGTCTGCACTGTCATGACGGTGAAATTCACACAAACACAAACTTTCTTCTTGGAGCACAGGTTTCTTGTCTCACTGCTGTCTCTGGGCTCCAGTCCTAGCAGCGGGTCCTTTTTGCTCGGTTTTGTTACCGCTGAGCCCAGTTGGCAGTGTTTTGGGGTGTTAAGCTCGGGGGTGATCAAATCCCCCATGCACAAGCAGTTCATACTGTACCAGTCTGTCAGATGCATGCGTGCATTGGAGTGGGAGGGATAGCGTGAAACCTCCACGTGTTACACCCTCACAGTGACGCTCTATGCCGGAGGGTGAGATGGAAGCAGCTGGTGATGCTGTGTGGATCAGAGGGGACACATGGCTGTCCTGTCTTTATCCAACAGTAGCTCAGCAGAGACAAAAACAACAGCACAGAAAAATTTTATATTTTGATACTTGTGTGAAAAGCAGCATTCAAATTTCACATGACTTTTGACAGTGGGATCTGTCAGGGCTCAGAGTGAGAATTTAGGCTCCTCTTAATTCGCCTCGCCTTTGTCCTTCCAAAAAAACATTTAACACCATTTCCAGAGCTGACCACACACTTTTAGCTGCACCTGTTTTTCTTTGACAGGGTCTGCCAGCCTATGACACTCCTGAAGTGTTTGGCCTCCACCCAAATGCAGACATTACCTATCAGAGTAAGCTGGCCAAGGACGTACTGGACACCATTCTCAGTATACAGCCTAAAGACAGCTCATCAGGAGGAGGAGAAACCAGAGAGGCTGTGGTGTCCAGGCTGGCTGATGACATGCTGGAGAAACTGCCTCCTGACTACGTACCTTTTGAAGTAAGTGTGCGTCGACGTGTCAAGAGTTTGCAGCATTAATAGCCTAAGGTGTGTGTTCAAGCACGACGTGCTGTGTGGTGGAGACAAAGATGTGGGGTGTGTGTGTGAGCGAGGTGATGAAAGGTTGTGTGTGTTTAACGGAGAGAAAAGAGGACTAAGAATAAAAAGACAGGGTGTAAATGGAGCTGGATCCAGCCGGCTTGTCTTGTCTTTTTTTTTAGGCTTTTCACGTCTTTTTTTTTTTTTCACAGGTAAAAAGGTGAGAGGCAAATTTGACTTTATGAGGAAAAAGTATAAAACTTGCTTTAGTCTCTGTACCTTGCTCCCTCTGTTCCTCTCACACATCCTTCAGTCTGTGTTCGTTTGCTTGAACAATAAATAACAGCAGTCTTTTAGAGTGCAATTATAGACTGAAAGCAAGAGAAAAGGACTGAAGATGCCCAATCCAAAAAAAAAAAAAAAAAAAAATCCTTGTAAATACATTTAAGATAAAAACAAATCCTGACAGGCAGTTGAAAATAGATGGCACAGATTTAACCTCTTGTTCTTTTCTGTTTCTTGCTTGTTACGGTAACTATAGAAACCTTGCATCTTGTGCTCAGTTTGTACCTGAAACATGTTACAAACACGTACGTGCGAATTATCCAAAGGGTGATAATAAGGCTCAGACAACAGCTCCAAAGTTTCAAAAGAATATATATACAACATCAATTATATGCTGGAAAGAAGTCAAGATGAAGATAAACAGTGATTTTATCTATGCTTTTTGGATTCTTAGGGAGATAGATTCAATTCTTTTCTCCTTATTCAATGTTTTTTAACTGAACCAGGTGAAAGAGCGTCTCCAGAAGATGGGTCCCTTCCAGCCCATGAACATCTTTCTGCGTCAGGAGATCGATCGGATGCAGAGGGTCATAATTCTGGTCCGAAATACCTTGACTGATCTGAAGTTGGCAATCGATGGAACCATCATCATGAGTGAGAACCTGCGAGATGCCCTGGACTGCATGTATGATGCACGCATACCAGCACGCTGGAAGAAGGTTGGTTGAGGCGATTACTTCAGTTTTGCATCAGTCAAAGAAATCACTCTATTTTGAGGGTCGTATTTACAATTTGATCATATATTTTGAGTTTTTTGGCTTCTTGTTGGTGTCTGGTACAGGTTATTTTAGCATTTGGTTAGCTTTGACATCAAACATTTTAATAATTTCCAAAAAAATAGAATGCCTAAATGAAATCACTCATGTTATTTTTTTGTTTAACAGTACTAACACTTTTGGTGAGCTGATTTTATCTCGAACAAAAATTCAGGATGAGTCATGAGTTAGTATCTGTTTACATATTTTAATTACTGTGCAGGCTTTAATCCAAAATGAGATTTTATTTTCATCAGATTTCCCCCAGGCGTTTTTTTGGTATTAGAAAACTCATCATCTTTAGTTAGCCTTTAGCTTTTTTGTCTAGCTTACTTCTTATTTTTTATTTTCATAACTCAAAAATTTCATCCAAAAATACACAAATCTGCTCCGGCGATGGATGAAACTTGAAGGATTAATGATACTGACAGAAGGGGCGTAAGATTAAAAGATATATCCTTTTTGGCATTCAAGCCCTGCTCTCACAAACATTACATCATGAGAATAATTTAGATTTGAATGATTTCCTGGATGTGATTCAGATTTAATTCTGCTGTTCTGAATTGTTTCTTTTTCTCTCACAGCACAATGACTCACAATCTGTTTTTTATTTGCCTCTCTGTTGTCTCCTCTGATCCATCCAGATGACAGCTCTCTGTGCTTTGCTCTGATGTTTTCCTCATGTTGTTGTTTGCCTTTGTTTTCTAGGCGTCATGGGCCTCTAGCACCCTGGGGTTCTGGTTCACAGAGCTGCTGGAGCGGAACCGGCAGTTCCAGGCTTGGATCTTTGAAGGGCGGCCCAACTGCTTCTGGATGACAGGCTTCTTCAACCCGCAGGGCTTCCTAACAGCCATGAGACAGGTACAAACAATATCAAACTACCTGAATACTTACCCAGCACCAGGGAGGAGAGCAGATGGTGCACAGAGGGAGAAGCAGGAACACTCCCACAGTCACACAAAAGCGCACATACAGAGAGAGGGAGAGAGAGATGGAGATAGAGATTGGCAGACAGCTACACACATTTCTCTTCTTTTTCCAGTCTCCATTCATATTAATGAGGAGGGGTTGAATACTACACAGGGATGTAGCCTGGCTGTTTAACCCTGTGAGATCCAGAAATAAAGTCTAACCCTTATTGTAGGAGATCATTAGTCCTTTTGTGTTGATCTTCATGTTAAATCCCATAAACACCTTACAACTTAAATAAACCTTAAACAGAAGTGAAAACTACATGACACAAATATGCGTTTAGAGCAGGTCCTCTACTGTTAACAATTAGTGTAACAATATATTTATACAGTTTTACCCTTTAACTTGCTACACAGCGGGTGCAGATGAGTCAAACCCTTCACTTCTGTCATGATCCACTCCATGCATGTTTATTTCAAACACAAAACTATTGTTATAATAATAATAATAACTTTATTTATAAGGCACCTTTAAAAACAGATGTTTACAAAGTGCTTTAACAGAAGACGCAAACAAAGGCAGGAACAGACAAAGAAAAATTGACAGTAAAAAAAGCACAGTTAAAAAAGGATGGTGAAAGATTGGCAGTTGGTGGACAGCATCACATCAGGATGGTGAAAAGGGAGATGGATAGAGGACAGATTAAAGAGGAAGATAAATAAATACATAGATAATAAAAAAGGTTAAGGTAAAAGGGTAATAATGAAAAGGGAGGGAGTATATTAAATTATGAGAAAATGTTAAAAACAGGACTAAAAATAATATTAATAATAACTGACAAGGTTAAAAAAGAGGTAGCAGGCAATAAAATAAATAACTAAATTATGCATCATGTAAAAGTATCATGTAAAAGCTAGTCTAAAAAGTGAGTGCCCAAGCACACTTTGGTATTTTGGTGAACGGCGCAGCAGAGTAAGTCGTATAGAGGGAGGGGATAAGGCGTGGAGTGGGTTTGACACAGCCGAGTCCTGTTTTCACCAATCACATCAGCTCATCTCCTCACCTTTAAATCCGCCACCGACGAGGCGTATTACTATTTTCATGAAGTAGTCGGAGAGATCAGAGAGAGACAGAGAGAGACACAGAGAGAGAGAGAGAGAGAGAGAGAGAGAGAGAGAGAGAATAATGCCACACGATGGCGACAGAAGGCAGCCCCTCAACAAGTGTCGCTGTAAGCACTACAGAGGGCGTTTTCCACACTCTCTCATATAAGCACAGATGGATTTGGTGTGTGTAAGGTTGGACCCACTGGTAAGGCAAACACCCTTTTCCACAAATAAAGACACTCACATTAGGTTGCATATATTTAAACCTCACGTGACAAAGGAAACCTGCCGGTGAGGCATCAGTGACATATGTGCACTATGTCGCTGGTCTACCAAAATACCACTAGACCGGCTGCGCTCCACCTGCGCTGAAAGCTGACCAGGTTTGAATCGGCAAGCTTTCAGCGCACTTTCTACGCCGCTGGCGAACACGAAAATGTCACTGCGCCCGCTGATTCTGTCGACACCTCCCCCTACCATGCCACCACGCCCAGCTTGGCGGACCTCGGAGAGCCTCAGTCTACGAAAATACCAAACTGGCTGTGTGCTGGACTCTGCCAGACGAAAATACCACTGCGCAGGGTGCGCCACCGTCCACCGCGCCGCTGGCGGGCACAAAAATGGTGCCCAGAGACCTTCCGGTGGATGCTGATAGGGCCGAAACGATTCAGGGAGTACTGCTAATGGGCAGTTTTTGTGCTCAAGAAGACTGTAGTCATACATATTGTGCCACCATGTTACCACAGTAGCACAGAATGGACAAACAAAAGCATGGACTGTAGTTGAAGAGGAAGAAGGAGGGAGTGGTTGTTGTTATGCCGGTTTTGAAAAAATGAAGGATTAGTCTTATCACGCATCACAGGAGCTCCTTGTCCTCGAGGGCCACTGTCTCCTCACCGGTAAGAAGAGTCAGCAGGGGGGACGTTTCAATCTAAAATCTGACTGCCTGATTACCACAAATAATCCTTAATATCAGTAACTTCAGTTTGATGTGATTGAACAGACCTTATAAATTTCTGTATTTGCACCTCCAGTCATTTTCACTTCAGTAAGTTCACACTCCTTCTCAACACCACTGCCTAGCTCTTGTCGTGGCACCTTCAGTATCAGAATATATGGGTCTATAATTTCAGTAGTTGCAGTTGAAATAATCATCTACATCAGCCTCTAACAGGGTTGTTTTTACTGTATTCATTCTTTGCCAGCAGACATTTCCATAATTATCGGAGGCCTTGGTTTATTGAATCTCTTTAACAGAATCTATCAGAGATGCAGACCTGATGTCTGCTTATCTTTTTCAGTCACTATGAAAATGATAGAGACCTGAGGACTTGTATTCACACAGACAGAAAATCCCTCGACTTCGCACTCATAGTGGATGTAGAAAAGGAAATAATTCAGCAGTGAATTCCTGTCAGGTTGTTTCGGCAGGACTGAAGAATCCTACCCAGAAAATATTGTCTACCAAGCAGGGGTTTGTGGGATTTCTGTGTTCAGTCTCCAATACAGTTGTTTTCTCTGCCTGAGGTTGTACCCCACCGCTTTGTTCAGATTCAGTGTATCATTTGTGACTGGTTTGTTTTTCTTACACTTGCTCTGTGTGGCTGTCCTTGCCAACCCTTATCTGTTTTGTATTGTCCAACACGACTTTTGTCTGTTTTTTTTCCTCTCCAAAGCAGGTTGAAATGAGAGAGCAGATGATACACTCTTGTTTCATTTATTTATTCTGCACTTTGCTTTCAGTCTTTGCTCTTTCTGAGGCGTGTTAGATTTATTGTCTTCTTCTCTGCACTGCATCTCTCAAAACAGTGCCTCAATGGAGTGTACTTCTCTGTCCTGCACTGTGCTTTTTTATCCTCCCTCTATTACAGCCCTGTTATCAGTATTGATTTTTTTTTTTAGAGGAGAAACTTTGCAAAATGTCAGCTCTGTCACTTCTGAGGACTGCTGGGTCAAACTGCCCACTTCACTGCCGTCACCTGTGAATATTTTTCTAAATTTGCAGGAGATCACTCGGGCCAACAAAGGGTGGGCTCTGGACCGAATGGTGCTCTGCAATGACGTGACCCGGTGGATGAAGGATGACATCACTCAGCCCCCCGCAGAGGGAGTGTATGTTTACGGCCTCTACCTGGAAGGGGCCGGATGGGACCGCCGCAACTGCAAACTCATTGACTCAAAACCAAAAGTGCTTTTTGAGATGATGCCTGTGATCAGGATGTACGCAGAGAATAACGGTGAGATTTCCTCATTGGAAAGTTGTGCTATCTTGAAAGTGAATTATGATGATGTGAATACTTTGATCTGCCGTTCAGATGTTCTCATCCCGTCTTCTTCGATTAGGATCAATCTGTCAAATCTTTGCCCATTCACTCTCTCCTCTCTCTTCCTCAACATTTATATCCCACACAATCACTCACAATAGATGGGTGTAACATTTAAATGTCAAGCACACAAAGTGCTATTTATTTTGCCTGGAAGTAGATTACCAGCAGTATGTGGTGCAGTGTTTGCTCTGAATCAGACCAGACTACATTCAGACAGGAAGCAGAGAGACATACCCCAGTGGATGCCTTCAAGCGAGGCTGCCTGGAAAATAAATTAACAATCCAGTGATGTGTGTAACACAGTGTGATTGAGCCAGATCCCTGCCAGCTTTACTCACCAAAAAAAAGCTGCTGCCTGCTGTGATGGAAAATATGCACCATACATATGTTAAGAAAGATGTGAGTCTAACTGTGACTCCCTTTAGAGAGTATAGTTTTCTCCCTGCGTGTAGCATCTCTGTGATTGGACCATTACGGGGTTCTTGCTCGTTTAGACGATTGCTGTTTTTTGCTCCTGAAAAACTCTCCAGTAACAGTGGAGCTCACTGAGCACATGTACTTGGACCTGAGTATACCTGGCTTTGAGTCTTATCTCAGTTGTGGTCATATTCTGGATGTAGTGTTTACATTTACATATGAACGTGGATATTCATATCTACTAAAGAGGTTTAGGGCCACAAGATGAGAAAAAATAATAATAACAGGAGGGAGATTTTTTTAAATTTCCATTTCCAGCTTTAAGTCGAAATTTCTCCATTAAAGCCGAAATTTTAAAGTCAAAATTTCGGCTTTATTCATGTTGACTTTAATCTTGAAATATCGGCTTTAATGTCAAATTTCAACATTATTTACATAATTTAGATTTTTTTAATCTCCTTCCTGTAATTGTTTATTTTTTTCATGTGGCCCAAATCCTCTTTTGTACGTATCCCTGTATACATGATAAATACTTATATCCCAGTTTTAAATGCTGCATTTTATTTCTCTGATGCTTTCGTTTTACAACACAAACTGCAACACTTTTGAAATCTGAGAAAAATGAGACCACTGTGTCGTATTGTGGGCTTAACACCAGCATCAAATTGCAAATATAACCTTAATATATACCTCATTTCCTGCCAGACAGACTGAGAGACAAAATCCAGTTTCCTAGTAGTGACAGACATAAGATAAGTAAGGAAAGGGTTTATTCCTCTTTCTGGACAAAGGATATGATCATATGATTTTTATGATTTTATGCACAAATACATAAAACAGGATGCCCAAGTCCATGTAGATGCACTGACCGCCAAACAAGCTGCCTGCTGTAAGTTAGAGCCAAATGAGTCCCCTGTATCCAAATGTTCTGCTAATCTGAGTTAGTGATTTGTCACTCAGTCCATCCTGCTCTGTTTATTCCTTAAATGTTAAAATAGCATCACTATTTTAGTCAAAAGAAGTAGTTAGATTCTAATTTTGTGGGAAACACTGGAGGATTTTTGTGCATACACATGAGACTTTAACACTGGTCCTCCTCAGCTGTGTGTGTGCGTAAGATGACACTTCTTGCTTTTACAGGTTCAAAGGACCCCCGCCTCTACTCCTGCCCCATCTACAAGAAACCAGTAAGAACTGACGTGAATTACATCGCAGCTGTGGACCTGAAGACGTCACTCTCTCCAGAGTACTGGATCCTGCGGGGTGTGGCTCTCCTCTGTGACGTCAAATGAACGCTCGATTGAGAGTAGCACTGACATAAATCTATTTCAGGTTTGCCATTATCCAATTTGCTGTCAGCCACATGAACAAAGTCCTAAAGTAAACAGGACACTCTGCTGTTTCTGCAGCTGAGGCACTTTGTTTGGAGAGGAGGAGTAGTGAGGTCATGGGCATGGGGACAAAGCCTTTGTAAACATCATCGCTGTTTGTCTGTCATTTCCAAATCTGATGGGATCATGCAGAAGGACAAAAGAGATTAACAGTCACAGCTACAGTAAAATCCAGATTAGAGTTAGAGGTAGATATTTTTCATAGCAGGGACTGTTAGAGAGGTAAACAGGAGTTACTAAATTTGCTCCTTATGTCGGAATTTGACTAGCATCTTTAATAGTTTGGTTTGATCTTTATCTTACTGTAAATTTGAAATCTATAAACCGTCTTATCATAGCAAGAATAAGCTTTGGAGATCAGGATGACAAAACAAACCATGGATTTTATTATTTTCTATTAATATTCAGGTACTTTGGTCAGTTCTTATTTGTCAGCTGTTGATTTTGACACTCAGAGTTAATTGGCATTTTAGCTTCTCAAAATGGAAACAGGCTTGTTAAGCAGACAGGACACAAACTGTGCTGCCTCATTAAATGATTTAAGTGGGCCCTGATGAGTCCAAATATGTCCAGACTGATGAGTCCAGACATATTTGCTCTGCCTACCAGGTGCATCATCATGTCAAGTGTGTACTACATGTAAAAGGAAAGCTTTTTTTTCCACCTATGATGACTAATTTTAGTCTGGAGTAGATCCACTTATAATAAAACAACCTCATTCAGATGTGTGTCAGCCAACAGAGAGGTTCAATATAGTGTGAAAGAAACTCTTTAACACACTCTCAGAAGATTTAAACACTCAGAAGACCTGAAATACATAGAAATTTTAATGAAGTTTTTACAAAAAATGATGGCATCAAAACATCAAAACACTTTTTTGGTTGTATTTTCTTTTGTTACAAAACCACTATATCATACGCACTCTAAAGCTACCCTGTACACAGATCAGGCCCAGGCTTCCCAAATAAAATCTTCACCTTAAATCATCTTTATCCCTTTTTGTTATCCAGTACTTCAATGTTGACCTGACTTCTCACGTCCTAAAGGTTCAAATATGATCCACCTTGTTCTGCCTGAACAGCATCAAACACCTCCTTTTCCTTTTTCACACATTGACAAATCTGATATGCTGTAGAGCCAAGATGATAAGAGTGCAAAGATAGTTGTGGGAAACATGGCCCGTAATGAATATCACAATATATTCATAGAGTACTTTTAATGCTTTTCCACCTTTTAAATACATCCAAGACTTGTTGCTTCTAACAAGGTTGATGGCGTTATGTACACAAACACGTGTTGCTCCTTGTTGGCTTGTTGTATTTAGTAAAAGACCGTCTCCACCTGTCTCAACAGTGGTCTTACAGTCGTTCCTTTGAAGCATATGTCCTCTGTTTTCATTTTCAATCAGATCTTTCACCCGTTGCCTTTTTTCTTCTACACTTTTCTTCATCTTTGACCCTAGCATTACTCTTCTTGTCCACACTGATATTCCTCTTCTTCTGGATGCTCTACAAGGAGAAAAGGTTTGGTTTTCCATGTTCCAGGTGAAAGGAAGCTGTAATAGCAGAGCGACCACCACGAGTCTCAGTCATTGCAGGTTCCTCTTTCTGAACTGAACTTATGTCCCATTCATTGTACAAGACACTTCAGAGGTTATTGCCTACTCTGCTGTACATGCTACACTTACATAAGTGACTAAATGTATTCTACAGCTGTGGCACGAATAACTCTCAATGCAACATAAAAACCAGACCTGAATCCTCCGTTCCTCACTCTTTGTCTCTGCTACAACAGCACTGAGAAGCACAAATCTTCCTAATGTCAAAGTAACATCTGCATATAGTCAGTCTTACGGCATTACATTCCCTTGGGACAGTGAGCGGGTCATCTCTGTGTGTACAAAGTACGTCTTCAGCTCTCCTTTGCCCTTGACGTTGATGATGCCTCTACAAGAGCACATGTAGCCCAGGGTCACAAGGATGCGACTCGTTTCCTCTGTCACCTGCAGGGAGAATCAGATGGTTAAACTCATTTTATATGACTGAGTAACATCCCTGCGAGCACAAACACTCAGCTCTCCAAAGGAAAATACATCTCGGGGCTGAGAGAAATGTGCCCACTGCTAACTTTAACCAACAGACTCTTTACGCTCTGAAATACCAGTCGTTTTAAACACTAACTCTATGGTGTTTCAGCCACCAAAATTTGGTCTTGAGATACTATCAAAGGATCTCTAAACCCCCGCATATTTGAGAATAGCAGAAATCCATGTGAAGTTGAGCTCCAACCCTGAAATACAACACGAGAAAACAGCTTGACTGCAACAGAAAAAAAACACTGAATGAAAATGTCCTCTGTGGGGTTCAAAGTCAGGCACTAAATTAATACAAGATGAGAAATATCTGCATGCTACCCTGGAATTATTCTGCAAATCTCCAAAATATCAAGGCAATTTCAGAAGCAGACGCTTCTATCAAACATGTCCACGCTGTGAAGTGTAATACATCCCTCTGAAGGCTGAATGATTCCCACAGCCCTGTGCCACGCAGGTGAAAAACCATTATCTCTTATCAGTGCTCAGGCAGGGAAAGAATGATTGGAAGATGTCACATGACGCTGAGTTGATGTAATGTCCCTGCTGCCAGAAGGGTTTTATCTTTTAAACATCTGAGCTGAATTTAAAAAGTCATCTATGAATAAAAGTGGAGCAGAGCTGCAGTCAACTTCAGACAATGTTGAAATTCAGTGAAGGAGACTTCTCAAATTAGTTGGTTCTGGTTCTAGCTGGAAAGGACTGTTGAAAATATCCAAAACTGAGTTGATGTAGTGCTTCATTTTTCTTTTTAAAAATTCTAATAAAAATATCTGACTGACTTTAACTTCTCTGAATACTTTCCGGCCAATTCATTCCCTCTGCAGACAATAATCTTCAAAAGCACATCACAAATTTATACAGCAGATCATTTTAAATCAGTTTTTAATCTTTAAAAAAAAACTGCAGTCCCCAGCTTACTCAATCACTTAAAGCAGTATTCAAGGATTTCTTGGGCAATTCTTTCAGATGTGGATTTGTAGACATGGTCAAAAACACTGGATATAAAGACTCCTTCTACCTGTATTTTCCCCAGGACTCCAGTGCTGTCCATCCTGCTTGCTACATTCACTGTGTTCCCCCAGATATCATACTGCGGTTTCTGGGCTCCAATGACTCCAGCTATCACTGGACCGTGGTTAATACCTGAAAAAATACAATCAGCAGTCAGCCTCAAATGGAAATTACTGTAAACATCATTTACACATTCGTGTAAGTGTTTTTTTAATTTCATTTCTGGTGTCATGCTTTGACAGTGTTGTCAGAAATTACTTGAAATAAAAGCTCTGACAGGCCCTTTATTATTCCACTCACTGCTGTTAGAATAAACAAAGCTTTTCACAAGGTTTCACCCGAGCATGTGATGAAGTGGAAGCTAAATGCAGCTGAACTCTTAATCCCAACACTCCTCGCACCTCTGCTAAGCAACTCTAGAGCTTTTAACAGCACATGGATGACATCAGCCGCTCTTCACTCTGACTTCTGAGTCATCTCCAGATTCTTGGAAAATTGCAAATTACACAAGCGCACGGATGCAACACAGCTGCTGGTTTTTGTCCATCCCGGTGGGTGGACTTATATCCGTCTCTGATGGAGCATTTTAAGGCCGTCTGGAAACAGCAGGGATGAACAGTCACACACACGCACACTGCTGAGTTAATGGAGCATCTCACGCTGAGATCTTCACAGACAGGTTGGAGGTATTGAGTTCTACAGGCAGTGAGCTGAGACCTGCCCTCCTGCTATCCCCCTGGGTCTCCCTCTTTCTCTTTAGTTAGTCTTGCTCTCTGCTGGTGTGTTGCCATGACTATATGTCTCACTGTGAACATGAGTTTCATTTTCTGTTATTAAACTGCATATGCATTCCTCTCTGCTTGATCAAGTTACTCCTACGGTGTGCCGGTGATCTAAAAGTCGAAGAATAAAAATAGAGGATACATTAAAGCTACACGTGAGTTACCCATGTGAGCACATATGGGGCATATGCTCAGCATTATCATACAGGATGAATTTTTTGAAGTGAACCCTGGTCTATTAACCCAAAACCAAAGTGCAGGGTTCCTACGCAAGTATGGAAAAGTATGGAATTAGTTTGATCAATTTACAGGTATTAAAAAGTATGGTCAATGAGAAATAAAGTATTGAAAAATATCTATGTTTCCAGATTATTACCACAGTTCTAAAATACAAAAGAAGGTATTTCCAAAAATAATTCTAAAAAGTAGGGTATTGAAAAGTATGACAATTCCAAATTTCCTATAGGAACCCTGAAAGTGTTTGATTGACAACAGGTTAGGATGTAAACTAGAGTAGTTCCAGCACCAACATCAGTGAAGTCTGAAACATGTTCAGAAGTAGTACCCATATGTCTGATGCATTTAGCTTGATTTGCTCAAGGTTGGCGACATGACTGGGTATAAAAAAATAAGCATTTTACCTCAACCAATCAAATATTTTATCTTCAACACCGATGTTTCATCCTGAAGCTGTTTTCAACTAAAATTAGGGTTTAAATGAGGAAGTATCGAACTAAGTTTTGATCAGTCCTTTACACAGCCGCCACACTTTCTTGGAATTGGGGTTGACCTAAAAGCTCGCTCTTTGATCATCCTGAAAGAGTATAAGATAAAAAGACAATACTGCAGGCTTGAGACACACTAATCAATCAAACCAATTGTAGTGTTTTTTTTTTTTTTTAAATAATCCTCATTTGCTGATGTCTGAACTCAAAAGGTTGATCAAAAATTAATGTCTGCAGACACCTCATCAGTGTAGCTGCTGTCAAAAAATGTTAGTGCTAAACAACATGATGTCACAGTTATAACAACCAATGGCTGACCTCCACTGTATGATCGTCATATCGTGTTGAAAAACTAATATCGAGTGGCCACTACGGCATGCTGCTGCCACAGTAGGTGGGTGCAGGGATCCGTGATTGCTCTTTTACTGTACACCTCCTGGACCCTGAGGCAAGATAGTGACCGACAACTCCAATCCCAGAAAAAGACAGTTCAACACACTCTCCTCTGGACAAAGAGGAGCCTTACTAAAACCTCTCACCATCAGGAGAGTTTGAATGAGAATCCTCACCTCTGCTGTGACAATGACTCTCCCAGCCCGGTCACTCTGTGTTACAAATTTCTAACATCGATAAATGGCCACATCTGACTTCATACATAACATAACATTGGACAAACTATATGTCTGGGAAACTGCTGTTTAATGTAGTTACAGTTACTATTTTCATATTTCTATATTAAGTGTAATAGACAAATACCAACAACAAATGTTCACTATAAATGCAAATCTAAAGGACAATAAACTGACCCTGACTCAGATTCAGATTTCAAAGGCAAACCTTGCAGTCAAGGTTTTGTAACTGATACCTGAAAGGAAAAAAACATCTTAAAACTCCACTCTTGATAAGAAGAAGTCTGAAAGTGTTGCAGATCTCACTCTGCTTGTTTTGCTTTCAGTTCTCACCGGAACAACTAGAAGGTAAAATCACTGTGGATTCACAGTGCCGTCTCTTCTTGAAAATGCTTTGGCTCAGCAGACCAATTGAGGTAAGTGGTCGGTTTTTGAACTAAGACAAACTGAGCTTTCCTTCACAGCGTTTAAGTGTAGCTTTTTTTTTTTTTCTTTTTGGAGAACTCACCGACTCTGAGCTTGAAGTCATTGAAGGAGTGTTTGTTGATGACATCCAGCTTCCCCACCAAGGCAAATGCAAACTCCACCATGGTCCCTATGTGCATGTACTGCCTGTCATGCTCCTGGATGAAGAGAGAAACCAGTAACTCTTTGGTCGGCCAAAGGTAGTTTTGCTACTGTTACAAGTCATATAGAGTTGATCATTTAGCATGAATTATGAGTATTTAGCATACCTGAGAGGTGTACTCGGGTCCAGGTGATGCGTTCAGCCCTGTAGCAGCCATATAAGTACTGCCAATGGTCTTGATCTTTTCCACACCGCTGAATTTGGGCTTGGAGAGCAGCTACACATAAAAATGCAAACAGAATCCACAAAACAGTTTATGAAAATGTTAAAAGCATTACTCTTTTTTTTCCCTCCTTTCTGCTGCCAGTAAAAGCCTCTCAGAATATCCAGATATCATCACAAAAGGTTAAAGCTTGCATATGACGCATGGGTCAGAGTTCAACCGTTTGAAAGGATACTCTAGTTCGCTTTTGTTATTCATGGTGCATGTGTAGGATGCTGCGAAGGCTGCAGGGGTGAGTGTTCTTTACCTCATCAAAATCAGCAATGATTTCGTTGAGGAGCCTGAGGCACTCCAATCCTTCTTTGTTGACATCAGACTCGGTGTAAAACTCTTTAAAGTCCGGGATGGAGGCAAACATTACACAGACCAGGTCATAGGACTGGTGGTACAGATCCTTGAAGACAGAATACAGATGTTAGCTTTGGATAGGAACTGAGTAATTCCTCCTCCCCCCAAAAAACAACAGATGAACTGCTGACAGCTGGATCAAAAACAGATGAAACAAAAAATAAAAAGCTTTTATTTCAAGAAAGCCACAGAAAATGAATCCCACAGTTTTCAAGACTCTTTAATATTTATAGTTTTTTCTTCAATTAGGTCATGTGTGGGTCCACAGATTCAGGCACAAAACAGGCTTTAGATCAAACGGAAAAATAAACATCTCATCCAAATTACAGTAAGTCTAAAATTCATTCCAGCAGCAGCTCTCTCTTGGATCCTGTTCAAGTTCAGGGATGGAGACATCTGCTGACTCTTCATCCAGGAAATTTGCTGCAGAAGCACCATTTTCATTCAAACTTACCAAAACACATATTATAAACTTTTAAAGATATCCAAGATTTACTTTCACAGTCTCACAGTGAGAAGCTCTCTGGAAGTAATGCTGCGTATGGAATAATGAATGAGAAAGTCTCACAGGCATGAAGGGATTTACTGTGTCCGCTTATTCATTAGAGGTAGTTATTTTAAAACAACATGAAAAGTTCCAGTTCACATTAGACTGAGCTGACCTGAGGGATTTTAGCCGTATTTATGGGGAAGTTCAAAAAGGAGGGGCAGGATGTCAGTACTGCAGCATTATCATAATATATCAGCACCTGTCATTGAAGGTAGATTTTGTACAACAGCGGGAGGTGGAGATGTATCATCAATCTTTACATACAGTCAAGTCTATATACATATGTCAGATCAATTATATTGACCCAACAAACTGAGAGAAGCCCTCTTTTACATCGCCTCAGCAGAGCTAGTGAATGAATTAATGCAGTGGTTCTCAACTGATCTTACTCTGGGACCCACATTTTCCCATGGTCCTTAAGTCGTGACCCACTTTTATAAAATTTAAGCCAAGCAAATTTATTTTTTATGAAAAAGACCTTTGAAGACTCAACTCTTTAACATAAATACACCTATTTTATTGAGTAAGGGGCATTTCAGAGCACATGAACCGAGGACGACAACTACTCAAGTTGCATTTACAGAAAATACCAAATATTAAATTGCACAAAATGGAGACCAGCAAAATGAAAAATTTGACTTTTATGCATCTCTGCATTCAGAGCATATTCAGAAGAACCAGAGGGGAACCATGCAACAGTATGGACAAAAGTGAATAAATATTAAACTGCACAAAATGACCAAAAAAAAAAAAAAAGCCTTTTACTGCATTCAGACCACATTAATAATAAACCAAGGAGGACCGCAACATAACGCATGCCTTTTAAAAATAGGTATTTTTCAAAATAAAAGACACGTCAAACATCAGATGTGCATTAAATGTTTACTTTTTTGACCAGCTGTTTGCGACCCATCCAGAACATGTCCGCGACCCACTTTTGGATCGGAACCCACCAGTTGAGAACCACTGAATTAATGTTACAGCTCTTGGCAAGTCTCCTCTGGTACTGCAGGACCTCTGTTAAAGCAGCACATCTATCCTGCAACATTTACGATTACATGAAAAAGCTTTATTGATACCAACCTCGTTCTTCCAGTTGCGTGCCAGAAAATGCTCCGCGACGTGTGCGGGCAGAACGTTCTCCAATAAAACCCTGTTGAGGTTCTCCATTGTCTCAATTTCCTCACACTCCTTCTTGAACTTGTTCTTCCACAGGAAGTCTAACCTACAGTAATATTCATTCTGTTACAAGAGGACACAGAGGTGAAGAGACTGAAGGTATAGCTGTACAGCTTGCTTCCATCAAGTCACAGAGAACAACAGACAAAGCCAGAAGAACGGATTACGGCAAAAGGTCGAAAAAAGAAGCATTGAAAAAGAGTAGGCCACAGTTAGCTCTCCAGCAATAGAAATTCACTGATCTAATGCAGCTGCTGTTCAAATATCCAAACATGATCACTCCACCAGAACCTAATTAACATGAAACCTTCAAATGACTGTGTGAGAAAGAAAGAGAATGAGACATTTCAGAGCAGGTGGGGATAAATGCTGAGGGTACAGCCTGTAACATCATGTTAGTTTTTCATTCATACTGTGAGGCCGGCACAGCTCAGGTGCTCCATGAAGATGACTCTATTTAAACGTGTTGTTGAGCAGCACACGGTGAACTGATTTGAAAAGAGGATGAATCAACCAAGGACAAGCTTCATGACGTTTGCTAAGCTAACAGGAAATGATCGAGCAGGAAGAGTTATGGGCCTTTAAATTAGAATAATTAGTGCTTGTTGAAATAATAAAAAGAAAACAGGATGGTACGGAGAAAAGGTGTGTTTGTGAACACATCTGATTGGAGTGACTCAGACTGAGCAGATACTGATAAATTTTGTTTTGCCTGTAGAATTGGGCACATGTGGTCCCTTTTCATGAGCTTGGGACATCGGTAATTTGTTTCCTCAAAGCACATTTAAAATCTCATCAAACTTGCTCTGCGTCACATCAGAGTCCAGATTTGTAGGTTTAATTTTAATTTGCCAGCACTTATTTCCTTTGACTTTATGACAGCAGACCCCAAAATCTGACTGAAACGAATTTCACAGTCTACAGTCACAAGAAATAATGTCACAAACTAACAGAAGCTGTGCTGAATAATACAAAAGGTAACTATGTTCTGTGTAATGTGATGCCACCATAGACTGTATGTACTATGGACAATTTGGTTCCGCCTTCTGCCAGTATACAGATTTGAACCCGAAAATCTCTTTTGTGACTTTTCTCCATTTCCTGAAACCAACATTGTGCAGTAGCATTGTAAGCATTCGGTGGGAGAGTTGCAGAGTAGCTGTGATGACACTCGGCCCAAACAGCGTATCCCCCGGGTGAGCTACGCAACCTTCATATGCCCATAGGCTGTATTAAGTGTCAATCATAGAAAACATGAACACCCTAATAACTTTTAACAATTGAGCTGTACAGAAAAAAAGGACTTGGGCACAAACCAGTCTGACAGTAACTACATGTCAACATCACAAGCAGGGGGGAGAATAATTTATAATCTGTGTAATAAATTTCTAAAGTTTGTTCACAGCCCCATAAGCTTTGCTGGAGGAGGCGGGATTTATGACCTATACTGCAGCCCGTCACCAGAGGGTGCTGTTTTCGGGGTGGCTTCACCCAGCGAGGAGGCAGACTCTCTCCATTCTATGTACAGTCTATGGATGCCACAAATGGTCCCTGCTGCCAGCTTACTTGAAATGCCCAACTCATGTATATGTGGGTGCACAATATGTATGCAGACACAGTTTAGTCCCAGCAGAGAGGAGAAAAAGAGCACAGCTGAGATTGTGTTATTTTAATACACAGGAGTCAGGGGGAATCGTCTGCTGGCTATTAACTGATAAGCTCTGATATGAAACAGAAATATAACCCTGACCATGTTCCCTCTCACTGAGATGCTGCTTCTTCATTGCTCCAGTCTGCATTCAGATCTATTCTAGAGCATACAAATGAAGGCTGCACAATGCATACACACTCATGTGCAAACACTAGGTCTGATACTACATATGTATGCTCATTCAACTACATGATCTACTGTGTGTTAATCCAAGCTTTCAGCATTAGCCATAGTAATGCTGAGATGTCGTGTCACTTTTAAAATACGAGTTTGATGTTGATGAAAACTGTACCACAGCTCCAGAGAGCAGCAGTGCTCTAGTTCTCAATCACTTCAGCAGGCACCCTTCAGTGGAACATAAAGCCCAAAATAGCTAAACCTAAAGGCACAAAGCCCTCCAAAATGACCAGTCTCTGGTCTCTGCGTCTCCTGGCTCTTAAATCTCAGTCCACCTGAGAAGCTCAGAGCTTGCTGATTTAAATCACCAGCCCAGAGAAGCTTAAGGGAGGCCAGGCAAACTGCTCCCGTGATGCCTCTTTTGCACAGTATGGCACAACAGCCCAAAAGCTTTGCCGTCTCGACTGAGTGTATCAGCTGTGCCGAGTGGATTTCCATCTAGAAGATGAATGAGATCAGCTAGTTTTTGGCCCAAAGCTCTGAGGTAATATCGCCATTATGGAGAGAGGGATGGAAGTAGTAGTGTCAGGAGTCCAATTTTGTTTGCATTCACATTCAACTACTAAAAGCTGGCTGTAGTGAGGCAGAGAAAAAATACTCATCAATGACCTTAATGATCCAGGTGCTATGCCCAGCTGCACTGCAATCCATCAAAGTCAATTGTGTACATGTGTGAGGGAGCTTTAAAGGTTAAGGAGACTACATCAATCCCCTCAACGGGAGGGATGTGAGGAGTGTGAAGAGGATGAAGTAGATAGGTTTAACAAAGCAGTCTACTCATTTCACAGGCCATCAGGCTCACTAAAAGAGGGGAATTATCGGGAAAAAATTTATAGAAAATGTAAAGGAAAAATAAAGGAGGCACAGAATGAAAGAGTGCAATGATCATATTGACTGAGGTTTTTTTGGGACTTTGAAGGTGAGGATGTAGAAAAAACAGAAGATAACGTCATTCAAACTATTAAGAGAGAAAAAAAAAAACCTACCTGTCTGGCAAGCACAAGGAGGGTGATGAAAAAGATAAAGAGCGAAATAGAGCCCATAGTCTTGAGGTCCTTGAGAACTCCTGGTCTTGAAGGGGGAGATAAAGGAAGAAAAGAGAGAAGACAGAGTTAGATAAAGTCAAGAGTAAAAAAAAAGATAAAAGCCGAGAAATGTGTGAAAAGTAGAAACAGAGAGACAGTAAACATTTAATTAAAATTCAGATTGCCATCAGTAATCTTTGACATGTGTCACACGATTGGTTAGCAGAGCATTTTATCCCAAGCTGTCTCTCAGTTCAAACTGTCACTTCTGCTTCACTGTGACAAGAGCTTGTTTACTCTTCCTATGCCGGTGGCGGTGCCTCACTGCCAGCCGAGGTTCATTTACAAGAAACGTCTGTTGACAAAAGTGTAAGCAACGAGACAGCATTCACAATCTGCAAAGATCCAGCACTGTTCACTAACATATTGACACTGGTGTCATACGCAGCTGCCGATATGCTAGTGCAGTGACTAGAGCTTCTCTTTAAGAGCTGTGCTTCACTTTTACTGAGAGATCCTTTGAATTTTATTTTACATCTCATCCCAGTTGCACTCTGATCTGCCTCCAACATCAAAACCTTTTGAACAAAACACTGATGTTTATTTTATTTTACTCTGACTGCGAAGTTCGAAGCTTTAACAGACTCAAGAGCTGCACAAATGTTAAGCCAAATTGCAGTATAAGAGGGGTGCACCTGTCATTCATCATACATCTATGTGTAAAAAAAACTGTTTTTTTTTTTTCTAGCACGGCAGTCTGGCCATCCGTTTTTGATAAGACTCAAACAGTAGCATCCTCATTTCTGTGAGCACATTTTGCATATTAATGGACTCCTATCTAGGGCACAGCTCAGCAGACAACTGAGGAAACAGCCTGCAAGTTCTGCACTCGCCTGGCTCGTTATCCAATCGATTCCCTACACAGAATCAATGGAATGAACAGAGGATGAGCTGTCTCACATGAGCTCAGAGATATGAGGCATGATTTCAGTCTGTTGCAGATCAAGTCCTTTTATGGTGAGAGAGTGTCTTTGTTTGTTCATTGTCTTTACAGTTTGTTTTTTCTCCTCGATTTTACACTTAAAATATTTACAGTGAAGTGTATTAGCTTTGCAGGAGGGGCAATGCCGGAAAAACTGTGTTGCAGTTTACTTTGAGAGTAAAGTCGGTGGATTACAATGAACCTGCTTTTACGCTGCTGTAAATTACAAAACTGAGATTTCACAGGATGAAATGATGAAACATTTGGTGACACTTTTTAGAGCTCTGAGAAGTTTTTTTTTTCTTTGACATCCGAAAAAGACTCAAATTTGTAATCGTAGCTTCCAGAAAAGACTCTCCCTATTATTCCAGTAAAACCAAACTATGTCTTTCAAAGGACCCAATCCGTTAAGAACCGTCTATAAAGAAACTTAAGATTTGCAGTCTTCCTAGAAGGTCACTTTTAAAAAACATTATTCCAGGAGACACGATTCTCATCAAATGTCAAAGTTGGTCTGCAGTCCAGAGAAAATCTCACTGGTCACATGGGCCCTGAGGACGTCTTCCTGTCATATGTGTGTCACTGCTTGGCCTTACTTACTCTTAGCATATAATGTGTGTCAAATTTGTGGCCAGAATTTCCTCTAAGAGTCTCAAAGAAAGTAGTTTCATTTCTTATTACCTCATTATGCTGTTCATCCTGATTGAGCAGCTAATTTCCTGAGCTGTTGGCTACAGGCTAGGCTGTGTGAATGGGGAGTGGAATATTAAATAGAATGAAATGAAATAAAATGGGGAGGGGGGCAAAGTTGGGTCGGTTTGGGTGAATGATTGTAGAGTGAGTGGAGCATAATGACTAGCTTTGGACCACGCTTAATAATGCTTTCAATCTGGGTTGGTGACTTGTACTTAGCAGCCATCTAGCATGTAAATTCAAAACAACATTGCACTTAGGGAAGGCAAGAAGTCATAGTGGACAAGAGGAGTGTTTATGTTTGTGAGTTAGAGGTTACAAAAGTGATGTAAGCATTGTATGTATGCTTTGATTCAACTTTGACGTCACTTCTTCATGTATGATTCAAAGTTTTTTGCTCTATAAAGTTGTGCATGTTTTAGACAGGGTTACAGACTGGTAATGTTCAGAGAGTTCCCTTTCAGTCGATTCACTCGGTACAACACATATAGTATGGGATATCACGCCCCTGCGTGACCTGACTGAAGACACCTTTATTCACGCCTTTAAGGCAGATGATCTGTGGTGACGTCTGGGAGGCTCCGCCTGCACATATATACGTGTAACACCACAGTCATCCTTCAGTTCTTACGCTCTTCACCTCGCTGAGAACACCTACACCGAGTCGGGCTAACTAGCTGCTGCTAAATTAGCCTGGTCTTGTCTCTGGCTACTGCTTGATCGACTTTAGCTCAACTGCCCCTGTTGGTGTTAGCCTACGGCTACCCGCGGAGCGCTAATTTCGTTCAGCTTTTGAGTCTCGTTATGAGCTCTAAGCCCATGAAGGTGAAGGCGAAGTCTTCTGTTCGCCCCTGTCCTCAGGGGTGCGGCTTCTCCCTTCACGAGAAGGATCTTCACGAGGCTTGTCCCGTTTGCCTGGGGATTGTCCACGCCAGGAGGGCGTTGACTGAGCCCGAGTCGTGTGAGTCCTGTCACCGGCTTCGGAGCTCAACCCTGGGAAGGCGGGTCAAGTTTGTGGAGAAAATTCTTGGAAAAACCGCTGTTGCGCTGCACGACCCCCTCCTTTCCGAGTCCAGAGACCCGGCTTCGTCCGAGTCCGGTGGTGAGGACTTTCTGGTCGAAGGCTCAGTTGGAAGCTGGGCAGACCATGTGGAGTGTGCTGACGGGTCAGCTGGGTTTGAGCCGGGCCCCTCCGAGGGCGCTGGCCAGCCGCTATCCGGGCTAGCTTGTTACCAGGAGGACGATGACGTGCTGGACATCGGCCTGGACGTGCAGGGTTTTTCGGAAGATGAGCTGGAGCCGTTGTCTTCAGGTCAGTATGCCGCCGCTGCTGCGCCGGTTGATCTGGACGACACATCCTTCCTCTCACTGTACCGCAGTGCAGCTGAGAAACTGGAGGTAGAATGGCCCTCTCCTCCTCCAGCTCAAAAACCGTCGCGGTTCACAGGGTTTTTTCTCCCACCCGAACCGACGACTGTTAAGAACAGTTTGCCCATGTACCCGGATTTTGTCGCAGAACTAACCTCGACATGGAACAAGCCGCTGTCCACCCGCGCCACAGTGCCCGGTTGTGGACAGTTTCTGGATCTAGATGGAGCTGAAAAAGCTGGATTGGTGAACCCTCCGCCTATGGAGGCGTCCCTGGCAGCTTATCTGGCCCCGGCCCAGAATCACGGTGTCGGTGGCCCCATCACGCTCCCATCCAAGCACTGTAGATTTTCAGCGTCACAGCTGGATAAAATTTACAGGACACAGGCAAATACGGCTCGTGCACTGAGCTCCGTCACTATGCTTCAGACATATCAAGCTATGTGTCTGGCAGAACTCGGCTCGCGTATGCCTCCTGACAGTCCGCTTACTCCTCTCCTCAATGAAGCTAGGGTCGCCACAGATTACATCCTCCGTGTGTCCCGCTGTGCAGCGCTGTCTCTCGGTAGAGGCATGGCTTCCACGGTGGTGGCGCAGAGGCACCTGTGGCTGACTCTCACCGACGTTCCGGAGAGGGACAGAGCGGTTTATCTGGACGAGCCTGTGTCGGCCAGCGGTTTGTTTGGGCAGTCCCTCGACGACATTCAAGCTAAGTTTGAGCTGAGGAAAAAACAAACCGAAGCTTTGAGAAGCATCATCCCCAGGCGTGATGCGAGGCCCAAACAACAGGGTTATCCGCACAAACCGGCACCAGCGCCTCCCCCTAAGAGGACTGCAGCGCCCGCCAGCTTGGGGCCCCAGCCGGTGAAGCGATATGTACCCGGTCAGAACCCACGCCCTTCGGCTTGGAACAAGGGTCCGCCACCGAGCTTCCGGAGGGACTCGGCGCCCAGGAAGAAGAAGCAGCAGTCATCCTAGCTTCGGGATCGACTCGAGAGGGCCAGCAGCACGGAGACACTGCCGCCCTTCATTTTCTGCCGCCAAAGAGGCCGCGTTTAAAGTTCGTTCAGGGGTCCGGTCCCGAGAGGCGCTGCACTCCCTTAACACAGTCTCCCAAGCACAACCCCCCTCACATACACATGCCCCAATAATGGCGCCTGTTGTTCACTGTGTGAATGTCACAAATGTACGTTCTTTGAATCAAATAAAGGTTTCGTTTTGTTCTCAAAACATCATGAATCAATCAAGTCTGGGCGAGAAAGTGTTGCCGTTCCCAGCCGGCACGCTAGGGGGCGACAACCCCTCCCCCACAGTACTGGAGGTCAGTCGACTGACTGTTCGTCTCTCTCGGTGGCGCGCATGCGCAGTCTCACCGTGGGTAGAGAGAACTGTTGCCATCGGCTACCGCTTACAGTTCAGGGTCCGGCCGCCTCGCTTTCACTCTGTAATACACACAGTTGTAGCAGAGGAAGCAGCAGCAGTGCTGAGGGAAGAAATAAACAACTTGTTGAACAAGAGGGCGATACGAGTTGTTCCCGCTTCGGAAACGAACAAAGGTTGGTACAGCCGCTATTTTGTTGTTCCGAAAAAGGAGGAGGGCTCCGTCCTATCCTAGACTTGCGAGTGTTAAACAAATACCTACGAACCTACAGGTTCAAGATGCTAACACTCAGACAGCTACTGGGCGCGATCAGACCGGGAGATTGGTTTACAACTATCGATCTGACAGATGCTTACTTTCACGTAGCAATTCATCCGGACCACAGGCAGTTTCTAAGGTTTGCATTCGAGGGCATAGCCTACGAATACCTGGTGCTGCCGTTCGGCTTATCACTCGCCCCCGAACATTCACCAAATGTGTCGAGGCGGCATTAGCTCCACTACGGGAGAAAGGTGTTCGCATCTTAGCCTATCTGGACGATTGGGTGCTAATCGCGAGCTCCAGAGAGCGAGCAGCGGCTCAGCTGTCATTGACCCTATCGCACATCCAAACACTGGGCTTTTCAGTAAATTTACAGAAAAGTTCACTGACTCCGAGTCAACAGGTATCATTTCTCGGGCTGGAAATATGCTCCGTTTCAAGCCGAGCACGTCTGTCAGAACGCAGGGTGGCTGCGTTTCACCGCTGCCTTGCACAATTTCAGTTGGGACGCAAACTGTGTTTCCGGACGATTTTACAGCTGACAGGCATGATGGCATCTATGATCGCTGTAGTGCCGCTCGGACTGTTAAAAATGAGAGCGTTTCAACGCTGGACTCAGTCTCACCGGCTGTGCGCGCAGCGTCACCTCCAGAGGAGGCTGACGATAACTCAGTCTTGCATGTCGGCTCTTCTCCCGTGGAGAGAACCCGGTTTTCTACAACAGGGATCTCCGATAGGGAGGGTGTCTTTTCGCAAGGTGGTGTCCACAGACGCATCCCTGAGGGGTTGGGGGGCTCTGTGCGAGGGCGCAGCAGTGAGAGGTGTGTGGACGCCAGCACAATGCAAACTCCACATCAATTACCTGGAGCTACTAGCTACCCTTTTAGCTCTGAAGCACTTTCGTCCCGTTCTGACAGGCCATCATGTTCTGATCAGGACGGACAACACAACCGTGGTTTCTTACATAAACAAGCAGGGAGGGACACGCTCTCTTCCCCTGTTAAAACTGTCTCACTATCTGTTGCTATGGTGCAGTGTTCATTTTCTGTCCCTCAGAGCCACACATATTCCGGGTCACTTAAACCTTGGACCAGACCTTCTCTCCAGGGGGGTCCTCTTGTGAGAGAGTGGAGATTGCACCCACTAGTGGTGGCTCAGATATGGGACCGCTTCGGCAAGGCAGAAGTAGATCTTTTTGCCTCCAGAGCAAATACTCATTGCCCCCTGTTCTTTTCCATAACAGACTGCAATGCTCCCCTGGGGATGGATGCGCTAGCTCACCCATGGCCCAACACGCTGCTATATGCTTTTCCCCCAGTGGAAATAATTCTGCCCATTCTGGAGAGGGTGCGCCAGCAGGGGCTCTCCCTGATCCTGGTGGCTCCTCGCTGGCCGGCGAAGTCGTGGTACGCAGAGATAATCAGTCTGCTGGTAGCGAGGCCCTGGCAGCTCCCTTTTTGCAGGGACCTCCTCTCCCAGGCGGGAGGAGAGGTGATTCACCCGCGCCCAGAACTGTGGAAACTACATGCTTACCTGTTGAAAGGTCCAACTTAATGGCTCAGGGTCTGCCCCCAAATGTGGTGGCAACAATCCAGAGTGCAAGGGCATCATCTACTAGGGGCCTATATGCCTATAAATGGCGGGCGTTTGAGCAGTGGTGTCAGGACCGAAATGTACTCCCATTTCAGAGTTCTATTGTGGATGTTTTAACATTCCTTCAGGACCTGCTGGATAAGGGTCTCTCTTTCTCAACAATTAAGGTCTATTTGGCGGCTATATCTGCATGCCATGTTGGCTTTGATGGTGTGACGCCAGGCGCTCACCCTCTTGCTATGCGCTTCCTAAAGGGAGTCCGCAGGCTAAGACCTGTTCTTAAACCCAGTGTTCCCTCATGGGATTTAGGGTTGGTGCTTGAGGCTCTTGGTGGACCCCCATTTGAGCCTATTGAGTCAGCAGACATGAAATTTCTTTCATACAAGACTGCACTGCTACTTGCTTTGACGTCTGCAAAGCGAGTGGGCGACCTTCATGCTTTGTCTGTGCATCCCTCTTGTACCCAGTTCACTCCGGATGGATCTAAGGCTACATTGCGTCCAAACGCGGCGTATTTACCTAAGATTATCCCCACAGCCTATAGCTCTATGAGTTTTGAACTGCTGAGCTTCTGCCCCCCTCCATTTGCATCTGAGGAGCAGAGGAGGTTGCATTCCTTGTGCCCTGTGCGTGCACTACGCACTTACATAGACCGCACTCAGAGTGTGCGTTTATGTGACCAGTTGTTTGTCTGTTTTGCTAATCCAGCCAAGGGCAAGGCGCTGTCTAAGCAGCGGCTTTCCCACTGGATTGTGGAGGCTATCTCCTTAGCATACGGCAGCAGGGGTCTCCCGTTGCCCCAAGGTGTGAAGGCACATTCAACCAGGGGAATGGCGGCCTCTTGGGCCTTGTTTAAAGGGGTTTCTGTGAGTGATATCTGCACTGCAGCCAGTTGGTCATCACCGCACACTTTTGTTCGGTTTTACCGTTTGGATGTGACAGCACCTTCGGTGGCTCACGCTGTCCTTTCTGCTGGGTCTACAATGCACTAAAAGTTTTGGAGGTTTGACTTCGGTTCGGTGGCTGCTCTGCGGGGCGTGTATATATGTCCCATACTATATGTGTTGTACCGAGTGAATCGACTGAAAGGGAACGAAATGTTATGAATATAACTTCTGTTCCCTGAAGGAGAGGAACGAGGTACAACACTGGGTTGCCCCGCTGCGCGGCAGAGCTCGGTGAAGAGCGGCTATCGAACTGAAGGATGACTGTGGTGTTACACGTATATATGTGCAGGCGGAGCCTCCCAGACGTCACCACAGATCATCTGCCTTAAAGGCGTGAATAAAGGTGTCTTCAGTCAGGTCACGCAGGGGCGTGATATCCCATACTATATGTGTTGTACCTCGTTCCTCTCCTTCAGGGAACAGAAGTTATATTCATAACATTTCGATTTTCTTAACAAATGAAAATAAACGTCATACAGTTGCTAAACTTATTCTCTTTGGAAGCATGCGCATGACTTTGTAACTTACAGGACTCAATTTTGAGCTCCTTAAACCTGAACTAACATGGATGTTTTTTTGAAGCATCTTGTGATTCAGTTTATTTCAGCTGCACAGACACAAGCCTTCAGTCCAGGGTGTGACGAGATGTTGATATATCATTGACCTTAAAGAAAACAAGTGTCCTCTCTTTGCAATTTTCAAAGCTGACATGATGACGTCCAAATTGACCTCACTGCTGAAGAACATCCATGTGATTCTAAATGGTTTGCCCAGTGGTTAAGATGAATGAATTAGGGTTTCATGATGTTTACTGCTCTCTTCATGTTAAACAGACTGTATTTAAAACTGATGTAATGAGTAAATGACATACAGAGGACCAGGCAAGCTTTTTTTCTAAATACTGCTTGTTGCATTGCAGAAAAATTCCCAAACCAAATATTGCTAAAATTAACCCAAGCTTTTTTAACTTTGCAGAACGTTTGACTTGACTGCGAAAATGAACACCGTCTCAGACAAAGACAAAACTAATACCATTCAAAAAATATGAAGAGAAGACTAATTACAATCTGGGGAACCCCGGGTCTGAAAGCTTGTGACTCATTACATTTTTTCTGGAAAACAATGGTTTTCATGGTGTTCAGGGCAGACAGAAAAGACGAAAAAGTGTGTCTGTTTGTCTTATTGATTTTAAATAATTTTGTCTTTTTGATTTTAAATCATTTTATGTCTTTTTGATTTTAAATTGTTTTGTCTCTTTGATTTTAAATCGTTTTATGTGTTTCTGATTTTAAATTGTTTTAATCTCCCTTTTTTAATTTATTTTTTAATGTATTTCCTTGCATCTGTAAAGCACTTTGAATTGCTTGTGTATGAATGGTGCTATACAAATGAAATTGCCTTGCCTTGATCAATGCTTCTTTTAAGTCTTTTCACTGAGAGGATAAAAAAGTGTTGGTATACGTTGGTGCTTATAGATACTTGAAGAAATGTTGCAAGCCCTGTGTGCATTAGACCTCCAGAGTTAACAACCTGTGTCAGACTGAAGCATCTTTGCAGGTTAATGTTATATTTCTTTCTTATTCTTAAATAGAGGATACATCCTGCTGTCCTCATGCCAAAGTGTCCTTGGGTGAATGTGACATGTAATGTAATGTAATGTAGTGTAATGACATGTAACCTGAAAAGTGCTACAAAAACTATTTTCTATTTAGCCTTTTCTGTTTACATGCCAACTGAACAAAAACTGAACCTTCACCGTACGATGGAAAACTGTCCTCCACACGCTTGTATAACTGCAGTGTACAAGCTGTAAAACACAGTAAATCGAATAAAGGAATCTAAATCTGGCCTGTTACAATATGCAACCGTTGGGTTATTGGTGCATGGCCTTCTGCACATCATCTCTATGTTCCCGCACTCTTCTATAGGTACTTTGAGTGGAAAATAGATTAAATGAAAGAAGAGGGCGTAGGGAAGACACTGAAATTGAGAGAAACCAGTTTAAGTGGTTCTGACACCTGCAAACGTTGCCCCCTGGGTGACTCCATTTGCAGCTGTTCTTGACTCGCCTGACTGGAAGAAAACCTGGAGGTAAACCTTATTTCCTCCTATTATCTCCACATATTCCTTTTCTTAGTTTTAATGTATTTTCCTATTTCTTCTTAAGTCAACACGGCGCCTTTCCTTACTCTCTGGCTACCTTAACTCTCTCTTTTCACCTGCTTTGATTCTCTTTCATGCTCTTTTGAATGATGTCTGTTTTTCTCTGTGCACCTACCTGTCCAGGCTTTCAGTCTTGTATAGAAACCTGCTGTATTCATCCAGCAGAGAGGCGTGTGTTTGTAGTATAATGACGTTGTACACTACAACAGCCGTCAGCATGATGATCATCTTTAACTCGTAGTTTATTCTCAGAAACACTGAGCAGGAGATGAGGCCCAGGATGCAACTATAAATTAAATACTGGATAAAAAGAAAAAGAACAAAGATGGGTTTGTCAATTTGTTCAAAAAAGACGACCATAAATTCACAGAGAGGCATGAAAGTGGTTTGTTAATCTTCACTCACAGGAAGGTAGAAATTGTTCCTTCCAGTAAAGGCGATTAGTTGTCCATTAGGGTAAAACAGTGATTCATTTGATGAATTGTAAACAGGACCAGAAGGCAGCAAGTTATCCTCCAAAAAAAACTAGAAAGAACAACAACAACAACAACACAAAGTTAACAGATTATAACGTTTGTCTCCTTTTCGTCTCATAATTTAGACACAGCATTTAAACACGTTTTTCCTTCCTGCATATTGTTGTCAGTATGGAGAGAAAAAAAAATACCCAGGTCTGTTCAACTTGCTGTAGGAAAACAAGAGTCTTGTCTGATAAAAGTGCAACACTGACAACCATTCAATAATGTCCTTTAGAGTGAACCTGTGGGATAAAATGAGTCTTGGCTGCCCCACTGAGCAAAGCAAAGTTAATGTGGCTCATCCGCCCAGAGCGACTGAACCGCATCAGCCGCAAAACAAGATTATAATCTCTGGAATCGATTTGTGTGAAGGTCTAAACCAGGGTCCTGACACCATGCTTTATCACGCGACTTCACCACCAGCCTTGGGGTTCTATTTCACCTTTAACCAAGCCTTTTAATTTGATCTTCCTCTCCGGGGAGAAAAAAAACAGAATCAACGTAAAAGGGATGAATAAAAACAAAAACGTAATTACATTACGTTGTCTTATCACTATATGCAAATAGCGTTTGCAGAGTTTTATAGGGAAACCACTATCTGTAAATTAGCCAAAGGAAATATACTGCTTAGCAAAAGAAAAAAGAATGTGACGCCAAAGAATCAAAATATATAGTTTGTGTGGGACCTTCTACACAAAAGAAATGAAAAGCACCATGATAAATATTTCATTAAAATACTACTGCATACATAACCCCAAACAATGAAGACAAAGACCTATTTTCTAATGTGGCTCTTAATCCTCTTTTACTGTGGTGGGAAAAAAAGTCCTGAATATTTCTTTTTAAATCAGTGTCGCTTCACAGATTCTTCATGGAGTTGTTAAGTTTTGAGGGGGATGAATCATTTTAAGGGAAGTATTCTTGTTTCTGTTATGGGTTTGTTGTCAAGGTAGAGCTGACCAATCACGTTTTAGAAAGACAAACCCCTTTGTACGGGAGCCCAAAGCAAGATTCTAGTTGAGATATTCGTTCGTTCGTTTTCTTCCGCTTCATCCGGGTCCCGGTTGTGGGGGCAGCAGCTTCAGGAGGGAAGCCGAGAAGGCCCTCACCCCGGCCACTTCCACCAGCTCCTCCGGTGGGATTCCCAGGCGCTCCCAGGCCAGGCGAGAGATATAATCCCTCCACCTGGTCAAGGGTTGGCCATGAGGTCTCCCCCCGGTGGGACATGTCTGGAACACCTCTAACGGGAGGCGTCCAGAAGGCATCCTAACCAGATGCCCGAGCCATATCAGCTGACTCCTCTCGACGTGGAGGAGCAGCGGTTCTACTCTGAGCGCCTCCTGAGGGTCCGAGCTCCCTACCCTATCTCTAAGGCTGAGCCTGCAAAGGAAACCCATTTCGGCCGCTTGTATCTGCAATCTGGTTGAGATATTCTGGTTCAAAATCGAGACACTTCTTTTTAGGTCAGACCTGTTACAAATATGAACGGTGGTGTGTTTATTGGTCAAACTAACCGACCAATCCAAGGTACACTGTGTAGTATCATGCTACATTTAGCAGAGCATTTGTTTTGTTTCCAATTACTGCACATTGTGCCTTTAACTGCATTAAAAAAATCACAAAGAATTGGTTTCATTTTCAAGTTCATCTGCCTGGAGTAAGCCAAAATAAAGCTTCTAATGACAGTAAAACTGATACTCATCACAGACAGATGCATATGCACTCCTCTGGGAGGGATGTAATGAACCAAGGGCTGACAATGTTTTTTCTTTTCTTTTTTGAAGACATATCTCAAAGGGCTTCACTTATTATCTGGACACATACTTGCTTCTCATGGTGCTAATTGGCCTGTACACATTCCAACACTCACAAAGGCAAGTCTTGGCAAGAGGTCATTCGTCACCTATCCCCTATTACACCAGAGTGTTCCAGTTGCCTGTTATTCCCTGAGGCATGAAAGCTTATGGGTTCTTTTTAAATTAAAGCACCTCAGTAAACAGAAGTAATAATGCAAGTTTGTTGGATTCTATGATCTTTAACAAGAACTCAAATCAGTACTCATATTGATTTGGACCAAGCTTTCTAAGAGTGCGTGTGTGTACATATCATGTTTTTCATTTCTACTGCCCAATTACACCAGAGTTACAAATAATAAGAGTGACATTTCAAGGGTTAGAGCTCTTCATTCATTCATCATAAAAGCCTAATTGGTTCCCCCTCCCGCCCTGCAGTACCTGAACATAAAAGCTTACCATGTTGAACACTGCCATTATGAGTATTAAAGCTGTGGTTGTCATGGTGAGGGTGATGCGGGGCCATGGCTTGTTGGCAATAATGACTGATGACCTCAGTAGCCACATCCAAGACGTGGAGGTGCTTTTACTGCAGTGCTGCAGGGACACACACAAAACAACAGCACAAAAAAAAAGAAGGTATGAGCCCCAGTGTACAACAGGACTGCGATATCACAGGCTGCAGACAGACTCAAACGCAAACAAAAAGCACCGATGTATACAAATCAAGGCAAGTAAATATCGCACCAATACATATCAAAACAAAACAACAGATAATTTTCATTAAGTATGGCTTATTACTAGGAAATTAACAAAACAAGTTTCTATAGTTGCCACTGTAACCCCCATAACCCCCATCCTTGCCTCTCTCCACTGGCTCCCTGTTCATTTCAGGATCCATTTAAAGATTTTCTTGTTTGTTTTAAAATCTTTAAACGGAGAAGCACCAAATACATTTCTGTCCTCCAGCAACGCTATACTCCGACAAGGTCTCTGAGGTCTACAGGACAGCAGCTTCTTGTGGTCCCTAAGATCAGACTAAGAACCAGGAGTGGCAGTGCCTTCTCTGCAGTGGCCCCCAATTTATGGACTGAGCTCCCCTTCATGTTAGATTGTCCTCAACTTTAAATCCCGCCTGAAAAACCTATTTTTACTCTTTGGCTTTTAACCCAGCATTAGAGTTGTGTGATCAGTCTTCGTCTGTTCTTTTACCTGGTTTTTGATATACTCTTACAGTGTTTTTATTTCATGGTTATAATTATGATTCTTTTATTTGAAACATCTCATGTTCTGTGTGTTTTTAACTTCTTTTATTGCACTTGCAACACTTTGCTAAACTTAATTGTTTTTTTAAATGTGCTATATAAATAAAGTGGATTGGATTGTAACTAAATACTGCAATGATTGTTGTGATTTGGCACTATATAAATAAAATTGATTGATTGATTGATTGACTGATATAGTGATACACTCCAAACTGCAGGGTGTTGCAAAACAAATTCAAAAGGCTTAGAATTTCTAAGAAAAAAAAAAAAAAACAGTTCATATCAGAGTGATGGTGCTTAATGCAGTATACTTCAAACTGCATGAAATAACAGCACCACAAAATGACCACTACGAGTGATTCAGTCATCTGTGGAATGACGTGAGCAACAGTATACAGCCTTCAATAAACCATTCAGACTCAAATGACAATTTTTGGACCTTTATTAAACTGAGCAAGGTTGCTATCTATTTGGCAGTCAAATCATAACTGAGCTGTTTCTAAGAGCAGTACGCACTGTGCAATCATGCCCGTCATTTAAACACAGCTATACCACTTGACAGTCAACACAATATGATTTTAATATGTTTATGGTCTGCATTTTCTGTGACACAGAAATGATATCTTCCTAGGTGGCAGTGAATGCTGCTATGGCCTGTTGCCAAAAGCCCAAATTGTGTGCTTGATTCACAGCAATCTCAGAGCAATTTCTGAGCATGTGGCTGAGTGGATGTGACATTTGTATAGCTCAGGGGTGCACATCACAATGCAATAAATTAGGGATGGCAGAATGTATCATGCACCAGCGGGATTACTGTTGAAATGTACAGCCAGTGGGATGCAATTTTGCTTTGAAAACAAGAAATTTGCACACACATTCACCCCTAGTCGGACATGAAATAGTATGCATGACTTGATCGAAAAGGGAGAATTAAAAGGCAGAGCGAGAGAAACTGCCAGGGTTGATTTAGGTGAAAGATGTTGAGTTACGCAGTCAGAGGAGCAGCAGAATATGCAAGTCAGTTAATCAAATATATATCTGACCTTTCTGAGCAATCGAACCAGCATTTGCATCTGAACAGTGACAATGTTTCTCCAAGAAGTGCTATTAACGTCTAAACCCTTGTTTTATGACAGCAGATAAAAAAAATTATACTTGGTAAAGCATTTTGATGGTCGGCTGTAAAACTGAACTTTCATCCTCCTCATGGGTTTCAGCTTCCCAGTTTTCTAATGTCGAATAAAAAACACTAGCAGAAAAAAATGTGTAAAATATTATTCAGCACTTTATTATTATAATGAAAAATGTCCAAATTTGAGTCACTATGAATATTTTAGAAGTAAAAATGTGACATATTAATATTGTGGAGATGGTGAGATCATTTCAAATAGCCTTTCTCGAGATTACAGAATCATTTATGTAAAATTCCTCTAATGGCAGGAGGCTGGGAGGAAGGAACTGAATGTGCTCCTGAAACTGCCAGACATTTTTCTCCAACCCTGAACCAAGACAAATAAACAAACCTTAATTATGGAGAGTAATGTGCCTTTACACAAACGATTCATGATTTTTAATTATCGTACCGCAGCTGTGGAAAAGCTGTGAGGTAGACAAAAACATGTTCTAAATCGATGTCAAAGCAGCAGGAGGATTGTCAACTTTAGCTGTCAAGTGTCATGTTGTATTTCCTTGGGCTACAACCCTGGAGGTCACAAAGCCGAGACAATAGTTTCCAAATTAAAAAAAAAAAAAAAAAGCCACAGGGAAGAACAGATTTCATGTGCCTTTGGTTAGAGAATTTTACAGCACCTTAAATGTTTAAACTATCATTTGTTTTTATCCCCTACACTCTCCATTTTATATTCCTTCATTTATTTTCACTAATCATAAAGTAACACAGAAAACAGCTGAACTAGGGTTTGTTGCTCGAGATGATCTTCAAGAGGCTTGTTATAAGGCGAAATATACAGATATGCAGAGGGCGTCTAAAGGTAGGGAGGAGTTCTGTGAAACCCCTTAAAAAAATGTTCTGCACACCACCTATAAATATTTGAGTGATAGCTTTCCTTTTTGCCGGGCAAAAGCTTGATGCATGCTGGAACAAAAGTGCTCCAGATACCCCATGTTTTCTATGCATTTAAACAACTTCCTTTAGTGCAAAGATGAAGATGAAAAACATGTATTTGATTTATAAACCTATACACGCTAAAGACTGATGTTTTCTGGTGCAGGCACCGGGGCAGGAGTCTGCACATGCATCCCTTGTTTCCTGCGCGCAGTCAGGATTCATTTTAACCACAGAGGCACTTGAGTTAATCTGAAGGGCACTTGGGGTAACAAAAAGGGCACTTAATGAGCTTTAAAGCTGGCCAGCGGGGGCACTTGAACCACTCATGTGCCTTTGGTAGGACATTAGGACAAACACTAAGTGCACAAATGTGCTATTAGAGGGTGAGCATTTTCTTATCAAGTAAGGGATTAATTAAAATTAAACGTTTCCAAAGCACAGATGTTTGCAGTTTATTTATAGACTCACCAAGAAGTGTCCAATGAAACATATGAAGAGGATCATGGAAAGGATAAGAAAAGCCATGCCAAAAGATAATCCCAAGACAGTAGTCCTAAAGACGAAAAGTAAGACATGTGAAAGAGTACACAAAGATCATTATTAGAAACTCCTCCAGGAACATTTATATACAGGAATAAACATAAAAATAATAATCATAGCACACATACTTTGGAAGAACGAGAATCTGTACTATAAAAATGCAGAAGAAGATCAAACAGGCGCAGGTGATGTAGTACTTGAAGGCCGGCAGAGTTGTTGCTCTGTACTGAAAGGAGAAAAGAAGGTCAGGTTTTCACATTGGTCTGTTTAAAACTGTTTCTACAGCCACTTTAAAAGGCCCTCAGCTGTGCCCACCGACACGACAAGACTCCTTTTATTTAGAAGAACTCAGAGTAATGCAGAGGAACAGCAGTACACAACATTTTCTGTTTCTTATACTCCAGTACCTCCACTCAGAGGGTCAAACATGTTCTACCACTTACCTCTTTCTCCAAGGATTTGTTGTGAAAGAATAATGATATTCTTTGAATATCCTCAGACTTGAGCCATTGTCTGAAAACATAGATGTATACATTTAGTGTAGTTGTATAAACCAGACAGAAAAGGAGGATGCAAACATCGCCACAGGATAAAAGATGTGTTTACAAATGAAATTGAAGGTAACTTTAAGTGATATATGTGAAAGAAATGTTGAATAGAATGATAATTTCACAGATTGAAGATGTGGTATGCAACAACAATGTCTGAACTTCATTTTAAAGTAGCTGCATTCTTAAAAGACTGCACATCCAATTAGTATGATGATATACAAACTTCATCCAAAGACCAAACTTTTTATTCTTTGTTAAACCATAAAACAGCACTGTGTGCACATGCATGTCATTTCAAATCACCCTTACTTTTGTGCATTTATTCCATCAAAGGTCCGGATCATCCTCTCGTTAAGTTCCTCCTCAAATCGTTTTTTCTGAGACTTTGTCCTTTAATGAAGGAAAAGAGACAGAGTATCTTTTAGGTTCACAGAATATTAATCCCACACATCAAAGCCTCCGGTGGAAGTCTAGTCTCATTAAACATTTTGTCTTCTGTCTCTGGGCTGTTAAGGGCCAAGGATAATCCTGCAGGAGAAGATTTCGCAGTGAAAAATGAGCAGCTTGCCTTTCTGATCTCCTCTGGAAGTGATACTGCCCCATTGGCACATCCTAGACACAAAGCGAAAGGAGAGAGACAGGTTACAAGCTGCAGTCCAGCTTTGCCATCAACAAAATCTCGACATATGTTTCGAAAAATTACACACAGCAGTGCTGATCTTCCCGTTCTCATTAGTCATGCTGTCTCTGTGGTGCAGGTTGGCAAAGGGCTTGGCTGCTCCCCATGACTCCAGGTAGCGGGTCATCCTGACAGATGCCCTCATCTTTGCTCCATCCATAGTGTGTCTGGGACGGTAATGATGCTGTGGGCTGCGACGCTCCACCTGGACAAATGTAGAAATGGGGATATAGTATCGTATTTTGTTTAACAGTCTTTTAAATATTACTCTGGTGGATGTGTTTTAACACCTTTGGATTGATGACCAGATAGGTGATGACTCCGTGTTCTTTCAGGTAGGGGTCTCTTTCTTGTCCTTCCCCATCCTCCACCTTATAGGCACCATTCAGGTGCTCCAGTGTCACTGAGGTGATGTGAACTCGCCTATCAATAGAAAGTTTTATAAGAATATGAGGACTCTTGGTATTTATTGTGTCTTAGGCATGGATTCAGGGTGATCAAACACACAAAACTGATACAGGTGAACAGCTATGAAGCTGCAAGATACAGCAATGTTATCTTCAAGTGCTTTAGTATTACTCTCAGATGACTTACCCTGGAACACCTCCGGCCTCCATATGATTGGCCAGTGTCACATCATGTGACCAAACATCGTACTGCCATTTCTGGAGTCCAATCACACCACACAGGACGTTTCCCGAGTGCACGCCAACACGCATGTTGATGTCAACACCTGTCGCATCTCGCACTTTTCTGTTAGGTGATTTAAAAATTAATTTCTGATATGCAGAATTATTGAGATCATTGCCCATACATTAATTAAAAAAAGAGGAAATGCATGAAAATGATGAGTGTAGACAATGCAAACACAAAGAAAGAGTAACTAAGTTTATTAACAAAAACTCTAATCTTGGTCTTTGATTTTCTCAATTAAAACTTTATACAACTTCTCGCTCAGTCAGTTGTGTCCTAACTTCCTCTCTTTTATCTCCCACAAAGGCCCACAAATTAGTTGAGATAGGACTCTGGGCTCACCACCACATATTTGATTCAGTTTAATTGGCAATCAAGAAAAGTTTCTACATCTGAGCTAGCAGTTAGCAAGTACCTGTCATCATTATGGGTTGGGGAGCTTAAGCTGTGTCTGAGAGTATATTCGAACTATCTTTGAAACGCAGGTGGTCAAAACTAGGAACTAAGTTATCCAGAGCTCTAATTAGTCTCTCGAGAATAGCCAGAGCGAAGTTGATTTCCACACAGAGGGGTCTGCAAGAAGAAATTTGTTCTTTCAGTTATTATGTGTTTAAGTCTGATTCGTTTTGATTTCAGGTCAGATCATTTGGAGTTTTAAAATCAACATTTCTACTTCTAAACTGTCATGATTATTTATTCTTTATTGTGCTTTTAAAAGTTGGAGAACATTTCTGACGTAGTTCATGCCATTCTTCAGCAGACCTGCCATGTAACCAGCACTTACTTGATGGCCTCACACATATCCAGCCCCATTTTCACACAGTTCTTGGCATGGTTGGGCAGAGACTCCGGCAGGCCGGACACACAGTAGTAACAGTCGCCAAGGATTTTAATCCGCATACATTCGTTTTCCTACAAATAGAAATTTAAAACACATAACCAGACACACAGGGTCAAACAAAGGTCATATTGAGGGACAATTTAAGAAGCTTTTTAACCACAAAGAAAGAAGAGTTTTTGTGGTAAAATGTTTACCTTGGCAATTTGGTCAAATTTGCCAAACAGCTCATTCAGCATGTGCACCAGCTCTCCAGGTGAGCAGTCGCTGGCCAGCCGTGTAAATCCCACTATATCAGCATACAGTATACTAGATATAGAAAAATATACTTGAATCAGTATTTCATAACAACATGATTTTACAATTTCCTAAGAAAAAATTCAGTTTCAGAGCAATTAATGTAAATCTAGGCTGCTACATGAATGGATCTAAGCTTTAAAATCAATTCAGTATCCGTCCAACACACACCTGCATTCAAATACTATTAATCATGTAAATGGTTTGTGAATATAAATATACATAAGACATGCCTGACGTTAGTGTGTCTCTGAACATAGAGGTTGTGGAAATTGTTTGTGTTCTCAATCTGGCCAAAGTTTGGGCCCTTTAGTCTCTGGATGATCTCAGCTTTCATCACACGAGCAATATGAGCTGGCAGCAGAGACAGCAGGAGACGCTCCTATTGGCATCGAGACAAAGACAAAAGACAGATTGCAGGCACAATTAGAGATATAAAAAGAGATAAGCAGCCTTTTCAATTCAAAGCAATCAATCTCATGGTATTACAAGGAATCTCGTAGGTAAACACATCATTTCAGTTGTGTGTAAAAAGACAGATCAGTTCATTTGTTTCAGGTTAGTGTTTTCCTCAAGAGTTCCTGCGCTCACACATTTCAACGACTGAATTTAAGTTACATGATTTTAAAGTTGGAGTGATGCACCTACTGCTGCTTTCAAACATCTCAGGATACAAATCAAAATTAAAATGATTTCAATACCAAATTGGATCTTATTTTGACAAAAGTACTTTGACTCTGAGCTTCTATCTACCAGCTACACACAGGTGAGGCTAATGAGACTGACGCCAGTTAGCAACTACACAGCAAAAGCTGACAAACTCAAGTCCAAGATGTGTCCTTAAGTTGGCATTCTGAGACTAGTCGAATGTTTTATCACCACAGGAAACTGTTGTTTCATGTATTCAGGACCTGTATGACACTGAGAACACAGCCAAACTAGAGCTCTAGAGAGTCCAGAGGCTGGTGTGGTTACTGTGGATGACTGGACTTTGGTGAGTCATCAAAACTACACACCCTTGAATGTGCACTATGACATATTTTCAATATTTAATAGTGCAGTCCATTAAATTAAATAATTTGGCACTGCATTTCACAGAATAAGTACTTTGAAGACGTCTCCTGACCGAGTCATGGTTTCAGACCACACTGGTGTAGCTGTGCAGCATTTGCTTTGATAATTAATCCAAAGGTCAAGAAGATCATCATGTATATTTCATTGCATTAGTTTAATTCTGAATCAAAACACTGCTTATAAATGCTTTACATTGTTCATATGGAACTTAAAGTTATGAAATGCAAAATAATGAGGTATGAATAATAATCAAAAATGCGATTGATCATGATAATCTATTAAATTTCTGGGATGAATCACAATTTTGAAAGTTCACCGTCTGACAGCCCTAGGTTGGACGTTTATGCTGTCAAAGTAAATCACAAAAAACCCACAGAATGTTCAATTCTAAAGCCGCGTTCAGACCAAACGCGACCAGGTCGCGTCGCGTCGCGTTGGTCGGTCAGGTCGCGTCGCGTGGTGCCGTGGTGTGTCAACACCGGGTCCAAAGCTGCAGTCGCAGGTCGCGGCTGGTCGCCGGTGACGTCATCCATGTCACTAGCTCAGTTTTCAGTTCATCAGTGCTGCCGCATATCTCTACATCCGCAGTAGACGCCGCCGGCGTTTATGGGTGCATGAAACCATCCGGAGGAGGACGGAGCTGGGTGAATTTCACCGCTTGCTCCAGGAACTCCGCCTGGACGACGGCCGCTTCCAGCGGTACTTCCGTGTGTCGACGGCGCAGTTCGAGGACCTCCTCGCCCGGGTGGGAAGCAGCATCTCCCGCCTGGACACGAAATACAGGCGCTCCGAAACTGAGATGCTTCTTCTTTGGCGTTGCGGTCCCGGTACAACCCGCAACCCACGTCGTATAGCACCGGGTGGTAGCTAACGGATGTGATTAACTGCTCCTCCATTGTGATTCTTCTTCTCCTCTTCCTTGTTTCGCCGGTTTGTTGACGTCAGCAGAGCCCTGATTGGCTGTCGCGGCACGGAGTCGCTCCCAAAGTTCAAATATTTGAACTTTGGGAGCGACGCGACTTGGCGTCCTGCGACCTCGGCGACGCGACCTCGGGGACGCGCCTTGGCGACCGGTCGCGCCCGGTCGCCCGGTCGCGCATGGTCGCGTCGCAGGAAGCCGGCGGTCGCCAAGTCGCGTCAGGTCGCGGCTGGCCATAGACTTTGCATTGGGAGCCGTCGCCAAGTCGCGTCAGGTCGCGGCTGGTCTGAACGCGGCTAAAGGGTTTTCATTCCCAGCAAACAGAGTTTTCTTTTTTCATCATTTTCAATTTAATTGTGAAGCTTTGACCTTTGACAACAGACAGAGACAAAAACTGTCACCAGTAGGTTGTCATCCTCTATGACAGCTTCAAGGTTAATTGGACTCCACCTTGTGTCAGGCTGCCTTCCTGTAACTCAAAATAAAAGAATTAAACTGCTCATTATTTCTTTGACAGTCAAGGGAAGTCATCATCAATCGCAATTCCCCTCACAACTCTTCTAAGGGAAGCTTCACTCTCTCTTTGTTTTACACTCTGGGTGCTGTTTAATTTTTTTTACCTGCTCGGTAATTAGCAACAGGAACTGCTCTTGTGGTTGGGAGAGGGTCATGAATGGAGGAAACTCTTAATTAAGGTAATGTCACTCAACAGGTTTTAGCTCCATTGATCATGTACCTGCACGGCTGCTGGAGCTTACAGAGTCGTGTATATGAAAAGGTCGGTGGAGGTGGCCAACACCAGCAGATCTTCAGGTTTGAGATGAGTTCACATACCCAACCCCCCTATGATCACTCATGAAAAAAATGTATGCATGCACTGTAAAGGCACTTTGGATAAAAGCATGCAGCAAACAGCATATATTATGAGTGCCTGAGAGAAATGTATCTCTGCACAGTTACCACCATCTGTCACAGGCAGCAGTGGCTCTCCGGGGCTGCTGCAAAACGCTCCACCCAAGGCATCTTCACTTCTAACAACACAAGCTGGATTTACCCCTGGGATAACCAGCCTCACCCCAAGCCTGAGCATTCACAACAACAGCTGGTTCCAGCCTCATCTGATGGGATAACTAGCCAAAAGCTACAAGTAGGGCAGCTATATCATAAAAGCTGGCTGTTTTGGTGATAGTCCATTCCCTCAACGCTGACGGTAGGCAATGTAATCTTGCTGTGGCACCGTGCTTAGTAATAAAAAAAATATATATTAGTGATGTACTCCTGAGACCTTAAGTTGTGGGATTTTTGAAAAGTTTATCTTTCCACTATTCAAGAGACTGTACGGGATCGAAGGTGCAATTTAAAAATGTTGTTTGGTCCCTGTTTGTTTTATGTAAATCTGAAAATGTCTCACTTTAATGCCTGAAGCGGTGTCTAAATTAAATCACAAGCATCAAAAACGCTGTGCAGGAAAAACATGTACAAAATATCAGGGGGGAGATATACAAGAGCAGCTCAGAAACTCCGAGGCAACTCATTCTGTCTTGTCACTCAAATTCACAGATTCCTGTCAACAGCCTCAGGATGCTAAATAGCTTTTACTGAAGAGGGTTAAACACAGGGGGGGCTCTGGGGACTCATCACACCAACTGAGGTCATTAACAATTACCACATTCTGCAAAACACAACTCGCTCTGCTCTGTGGACTCCACACCAATGGCACAGGCCACCAACAGCTTCATACAAAACCATGCGGATTTCATTATTAACAATTTTCAGTTCAACTTCAGCAAATCCAGCAAGGGGTCATTAAATGTAACTTGCTGAAGAGTAAATGTTTTACGTTTTTTTAGGAAAGGAGAAACACTAACAGCTTAAACATCCCTATCATCAGCACCAGCTACTTTCTCCTGATCAAATGTTACTCTTCGAGTCCTAAGTGTGTGATTACATTAGTCAAACTCATTTCTTTGTAGTCATCAGAATAATTATTCTGAGTCCTGCCACCCTCCCCTAATTCATCTCTCATGACCGAGTCCTCATTATTAACACTATCACCAACACCATGAACAATACACTCTGTACTCAATCACTCCCTGCCTGCCAGACTTCTCTGTCCCAGCCGTCATTAAGAAAGAGTTACCACCCTACCTGTTGTCTCTTCTCAAATTCCAGTTTAATTGGAGACTTGATGCAGTTACAGGTGTCCTGATACGTCTGCTTTAGTGCCAGTTCCATGAGGTGCTTGTGGTACGCCCCTGCCATGTTGCCACACATAAAAATGATGATATTCGCCAAAATCTGTAAAGGAAATAGACAAAAAAGCTTGAGTTACATCAAATAAAGATAAGTTAAGTCAAATATACATTATAAAGTTAACAGAAACTATTTGTTTTCAGACACCTTCATACAAGGGCTTACAATAAGGTGATGAAAACTGTTTTTCATAGAAAAAGTTTTTCTATGACTGTCTAGTTTGAGTAAAACTTCTGAATTAGTCTGACAGTGTTTATCCCGGCCATAGACTGTATATAAAATGGACAGAGTCTGCCTCCTCGCTGGGTGAAGCCACTCCGAGAACAGCACCCTCTGTTGATGGGCTGCAGTATAGGTCATAAATCCTACCTCCGCCAGCAAAGAAATTTATTACACAGAACATACATTTTTCTCCTCCTGCTTGTGATGTTGACATGTAGTTACTGTAACACTGGTTTGTGCTCAAGTCCTCTTTTTTCTGTGAAGATCCGTTTTTAAAAGTTATTAGGGGTTCATGTTTTCTTTGATTGACACCTGATACAGCCTATTGGCGTTCAGGGATTGCGTAGCTCACCGGAGGGATACGCTGTTTGAGCCGAGCGTCATTACAGCGACTCGCGGTGATTCTCCTGCTGAATGCGCACAACGCTACTGTGCGGCGCTGGTTTCAGGAAATGAAAAAAAATCCTGGAAATACTGAGAGCTATTTGGCTTCAAATCCGTATACAGGCGGAAGGCAGAACCAAGTTGTCCATAGTATATACAGTCTACGATCCCAAGTTCCTGCTGAAACACTCTTGACATGTTTGATACAATAAGCTAATCACATAAAAACTGGATCAGTCTACTTTTTCATGAACTGAGTAATTGAAAGGAAACTGCTCTCCCAAGCAGATGGTCTCTGAAAAAGGTATATCAAAACATTACAATAAAAGTATAAGGAACCTGAATGTGTTCAATCAAAACTTCCACTATTCTAGTATTTCCTGTCTAAAAATCGAACCATGTATCAACAGCATCAATTTCATTTTGTCTTCATCAACCATCTCATTACTCTTCTAAAGGTATGAACTCAAAAACAGCGAGACATTTAGGTTCATGAAACAAGCGGCTAACAGTCACTCTAGCTAAAATGGATTTTCTTTCGTTATTATTTAGCTCTTATTTTGATTTTTTAAAGATTATTTTTGCTGATGTAAGCCTTAGGCAAAACAAGATATTTGCTGCTTCATTTGTTTTAAAAGTCGATAAAATAAGCAGCTCTGGTGATAACCTAGCATTACAGGCTTTTGTGCTAATATTGTCAAACCCTGAGGATGCATGTTTTCTGTTCCATAGATATAAAGAAAATCAATCCCGATGAGGCCATTCTATATTCATTTTCATAGAAAACAGTTGAGGCAATAATAATAATTTTATTGCTTCTGCATGTGCGCTGTTCTCTTTATGCAGTCAATATTGCACCTGAACAGCAGGAACTATAAAACAACAAAATATTGCATTAAATATGACATAATATCACATGCAAACCACAACCAATGCTCTCCAGCTTGACCACGGGGTGCAATGCAGATTATGATTGGAGTACAGAGTTTTCAGTATTATTTCCATTTCATATTATTGCTTCTCATTTCATGCACCTCTTGTAGCAGCACTACACAGGCAGCTCCATTAAAGGATCTTTATGACAGAATTTGGTAGACAGGTGAATGCATAAAACCCCCGGGAGCACGACTAACCTTGAGCTCAGTTTGCAATATAAAGCAAATGGATGATTTCAACAGAGCATTTTCTATGGACCTTGAGTCTGTCAATAAAGTATCTCTCTCTCTCTCTACTTATACTTCACTCTTCTTCGTACACAGTCCTATATACACTCACTGGTTTGGGACCGCCTTGTGTCTCTCTCACAAAACTACCACTCACTTCAAGTCAGTGCATCTCTTTTCAGTATGTGGCCTGGTACATGGCACATACCACTATACCGATCTGCACCCCAACTGTACTCATTTACTGTAATAAAGATTTCCAGTTTCCAGCCTTTTCAAACATGTCTTTGTACTGCAGTTTATTAACACTGTCCTCCAAATAAGTTCTATAGGCGAAACATAATCTCCATAAACATACATTACTCCTTATCAGTGCATTTTTACACTTGTTCCATGAGCAACAATTCACAATTAAAACCCTAAAAAAACACAGTGCAGATGGACTCTGTTTTGTTATGAAAAAGCAGTATATAATATGCTTACTGCGGCACATATGCTTCTCTAAATGTACATCATATAAATATGTTAAAACGCTGACTGTCACACTTTCCTGTTAGACTTCTGTAAACATATTAAACAGAGACCATAAAGCATGAGTGGTGCATGTGTGCATCACAGTTTTTGTTTTATGGTTCCCTACTTTCATTTTCAGTACTGAAACAAGAAATACTGACGTTTTTTTTTCCAATCAAATGCACCATATTCACAAGCCTTGGGTTGGAGCTGTTGATTTTGCATACAGAGCCAGACAAAAAAGTCTGACCTTGTGTAATCGAACGGTGCTGAGAGCAGAGGGCTCAGAAAATTGCATGACGGCTGAAAGCAAACACAAGATTTACAGAGGCCTTTGAAAGCTGGCTTACAGAGAGGGTGACAGCAGCTCTTATATTGTTTAGTATTTTATAATCTCTCATTAAAAAGTCCCTCTTTGTGAGTCCCTCAATCAAAAATGTGACGCATTTGATGATCAAACACTTCAGTGAGAAGTACTGCCATGAAGTTGCAGTTATCAAAACCATAATTTAAAATAAAAAATACTTTTTGGTGAAGGCTGTGAAGAGTACTGCTCTAGTGAAACTGAAAAGTAACTCAGAGACTGATTCAGGAGAATAGCGTGGCTTTTGTGTCTGCTAGACTGGTGGAAATAAGATTTTTTTTTTCATAGTACCAAATAACAAGGATATACTGATCTATTTATCAATGCCATTATTGGTTTTATTTATTGGTCCAATTCCTGTGAATTTTTCCTGCCTCAGAAAAAACGAGCCTAAAGTTCAATTTACGTTCATTTGTGTGCCAATATAAGACATGCATACTTTCACTACTCTGATGAGTAGTACTCGTTTAAATTTAAAGGGTGACCGTGTTAACTGGCAACTTTCAGCCTAATGGGTCAGCAGTAGTTGGGGTCGTGACAGCTGTTGGGACACAGGAAAAAACCCAGATATCAAGTGTTTGTGAGATGAACATGTGAGATGTTTGAAAGATGCCTGTCGGCCTGTAAACCAGAACACAGCACAGAGCATCAAACACATAACACTCCTGATATTTAGTGCCTTGACAACTTCAACCTTGTTTCCAGCCTTGCTCGAAATCACACAGCTATGGAGATCGCATATTGTGACGTTAGCATCATTTCGCTTAAGATTCAGCCACAGTTTGACCTCCTTTGGTCTCCCGCCCAGCACGATTACTGCCCCGACAAACAACTGGTTGTCATTCTAGCTGACTGCCTCTTGCAGTGTGTGATGCTACTGTTTTGCAAGGCATGCAGGACTAAATGTAAGGCACTGATAGGGGGACACATTCAACATAAAGACAAATAATGATGTTGGCTTAAACTCATTAGAACGGTTTCTCATCTGGAACTGGTCCTCCTCTTCCATCTCTACAAATAACCAATAAAAACCGAGCTCTCAGAAAAAATCTATATCCGGGCAACATTCAGCACGATGAGGGCTAGCTAAATAAAGGAAAATTAATGTGTATTTTTGATGTGTATTTCTAAGATTATCACCTTCTTATATTCTTCAGTCCTTCATGATGCTGCCCATCTCTGGTAGAATTGCCTAAATCCTCAGTTGAACAGATCATGTGATACTATCCTTGTAGTATAATCCCCTATGTAAAGAGTGTGAGTTAGGCCATTTTCAGAGAGTATTCAGAAAAATTTCTAAAGAAAAACTTGATCATTGCCTTTGCAGATGTTGGTCCCAGGCTCTGGAATAAGCTCCCCACCGAAATGCGACTTATTTCTGACCTGGGCCTTTTCAAGTCTCAACTGAAAACATATTTATTTATGCAGGCTTCTAATACCTAGTAGTATGGTGACACTTTTACTTTTTTATTGTATTGTATCTTATTCTTCTTTCTTATTGCTTTTATTTCTTTTTATTGTTTTTATTTATTCATTTTTATTTACTATGTATTGTAAAGCACTCTGGTCGACCAAAAGGGTTGTTGTAAAGGGCTGTATAAATAAAGAACATTTACATTTATTGACTTAGGCAATTATTTTAACAGGGTGACAATAGGATACGTTGGTTTAAGTCTCATCTGTGAACACAGAGAAGGTAGGCTTTAAGACCTACCCTGCAGCCAGCCACTACAGACGGTTTTTAATGTTTTGGCTTCACTTTTAGGTAGGTGTCCAGTACGCTATCCTTTTTATACAGTCAATATGCACACAACAAAATGATTTCCCTTTGAGGTGTTCTTCCGACCAGGCTTCAACTTATAACACAAAGATGTTTGGGTGCACTCCAATGTCTGACTTTATTTTTTTTAAGCAGAAAAAACTAGAGTCTGATATGTTCCCATCATGCTGTAAAAAACATCCAAATATAACTAATATTATCAAATCAAAACACACACATGCAAACAGGTGTCTTCAAGTTTAAATTTATTGTTTAGCTACAGATGAAATTACTCTCAGTCTGACCTGGATGCCTCTCTATTAGTTGACATCTGTTAGACAATACACTGACAGCGATACAGGCATCTCAAAGGTCAGCTGTGTGGTTCAGCTGGGTGTGTGAATCATCCATACCTCACTGCTGCCCAATTACAGATAACAGTAAGGTTAGGCTGGAAGGGCCTCGAAAGGGCTCAGAGCATTGCTGGTGAATTCTGGGATTATGTGAATCAGAAGGCTGAACCCTATACAGGCTATTATGACTATCATTACACAGCTATGGGTGGAGGAAGACAGCTATCTATGATCAGTGTGAAGGTGACTCTTGTCCAATGACCTGACAGAAACAAGCACTAACACCTTAGACTACCGAACACTATAACTCACTATCTAACAGAAACTCTGCTCTGGTAACAAAATCTAATTCTGAAGATCTATCAATCTATTTATGAGCTACAAACCCCAAATTCTTGATGCATATGTAAGAAGTGACAAAATCTTTCAACCCTGAACTCATTTTTTATCCATTAACAGATGAGAAATCAGACAGACATGAAAGTTTAATATTAAGTCTGCAAAGGCAAAGACTATCATTTGGATTCAAATGATGCCTTTCCCTTCAAACAGGTACCACGTTTAATATTCAGCAGCTGCTCCCCCTGAGTGTCTGTGAGAAAAAAAAGAGCTTGAACAGTGTTTGGCTGCTGTGATGAATTATTGATAATTAACCACTGAGCAACTAATGACAAAACGTACATTTAAAGTTGCTAAGGTTTGTAAAGGGTGTTGTTATATGAAAAACAATGGGCAACATACACTTTTCATTTTGCCATGAAGCCTTTATAAAGTATTAAAGGCATGAACTTTGAAAGAAAAGATCTTTGTTTGATAAAACATTTTTTATCAACTGCTGTGAAAAGCTTTCTATAAATCAAAAGATGGCATTTTAATGTCTGTGTATCTTCTAAACCCCAAAAGAAGAAAAGAAATTCAATGTTTTAAATGTTATATGGGTCCAGCACAGGGCTTTCACCTCTTCAATAAATTAGCCGCTTCATTGAGACTCTAGTGAGGCAGCACAGTAAAGTTTAATGGACTTGACAAAGTGGAGATGTCAGCATGGTGCCCTCTCGCTTAAACCCCTGAGCGGTTTATATGCACACTGACTACAGGGACGTACATGAGTGTGAACGTTTAATGGCAGACATTTACAAGTCTCTGGTATGATAAACTGATGTTAAGGTGGAGAAAAAGCTGAGTGAGTGGACAATAGTTCAGTTACTATTGTACATCACACAAAAGTATGTATGTGCGTTGGTGGTGAGCTTATTTGAAGGACACCATCTACCAACAGATGATGCTGATTTTTGTCCTAAACTTTTGTCAAGATCAAAACTAGCACTGATACTGGCTTTAATATACTGTTGTAAAAGAAAATAGCTTTGTTGTAGCAAGCTACTTTGTCTGTGTTGCTATAGCTTTGTTTGACCTCTTTTCTCTGAGCAGTGGCATCAGTGTTGCTAAACTTAACTGAATGCAGAATAACTGGTAGCTTATCTTTGTTACTCCAAGTTGCCAGCCTAATACTGGTGCACAATTCTGTTCTTTTGAAATAAACATAACCAGAAAACAGTTTTTGTTGTTGTTATATCCAAGTCTCACTGTGGTCAATGTTAGCCAAGGACTCATGGCTTAAGATTCAGGAAGAGTTTGCTGGATAATTTAAGCTATTCCAACTTAACAACACTTGAGTTTATGTTGCAGCTACAGATACTTTCACCTTTAAACCACAGGGGTTTGAGGATTAGTATGGCACTTGTCAATAACCTTCTTCACCAAATGCTTCCCAGCAGATTGCAGTGTCTTGACCAGTGACCTTTAAATCCCCCTCCTCAGTAAGCACCGAATGGGAAGTACGTTCAGAGAGACATTTTGTCCACATTTCAAGACTGAGTGCAGCCAGGATAACAGGTCAGTGACTCGAATGTAAGGATTTACCTGTGGGAGTTGTTTGTTGGACAAAATGGGCAATATGAAGGCAGCTTAAGCTACAGGAACATGCCATATACACTCACCGGCCACTTTATTAGGTACACCATGCTAGTAACGGGTTGGACCCCCTTTTGCCTTCAGAACTGCCTCAATTCTTCGTGGCATATATTCAACAAGGTGCTGGAAGCATTCCTCAGAGAGCTTGGTCCATATTGACATGATGGCATCACACAGTTGCCGCAGATTTGTCGGCTGCACATCCATGATGCGAATCTCCCGTTCCACCACATCCCAAAGATGCTCTATTGGATTGAGATCTGGTGACTGTGGAGGCCATTTGAGTACAGTGAACTCATTGTCATGTTCAAGAAACCAGTCTGAGATGATTCCAGCTTTATGACATGGCGCATTATCCTGCTGAAAGTAGCCATCAGAAGTTGGGTACATTGTGGTCATAAAGGGATGGACATGGTCAGCAACAATACTCAGGTAGGCTGTGGCGTTGCAACGATGCTCAATTGGTACCAAGGGGCCCAAAGAGTGCCAAGAAAATATTCCCCACATCATGACACCACCACCACCAGCCTGAACCGTTGATACAAGGCAGGATGGATCCATGCTTTCATGTTGTTGACGCCAAATTCTGACCCTACCATCCGAATGTCGCAGCAGAAATCGAGACTCATCAGACCAGGCAACGTTTTTCCAATCTTCTATTGTCCAATTTCGATGAGCTTGTGCAAATTGTAGCCTCAGTTTCCTGTTCTTAGCTGAAAGGAGTGGCACCCGGCGTGGTCTTCTGCTGCTGTAGCCCATCTGCCTCAAAGTTCGACGTACTGTGCGTTCAGAGATGCTCTTCTGCCTACCTTGGTTGTAACGGGTGGTTATTTGAGTCACTGTTGCCTTTCTATCAGCTCGAACCAGTCTGGCCATTCTCCTCTGACCTCTGGCATCAACAAGGCATTTCCGCCCACAGAACTGCCGCTCACTGGATATTTTTTCTTTTTCTGACCATTCTCTGTAAACCCTAGAGATGGTTGTGCGTGAAAATCCCAGTAGATCAGCAGTTTCTGAAATACTCAGACCAGCCCTTCTGGCACCAACAACCATGCCACGTTCAAAGTCACTCAAATCACCTTTCTTCCCCATACTGATGCTCGGTTTGAACTGCAGGAGATTGTCTTGACCATGTCTACATGCCTAAATGCACTAAGTTGCCGCCATGTGATTGGCTGATTAGAAATTAAGTGTTAACGAGCAGTTGGACAGGTGTACCTAATAAAGTGGCCGGTGAGTGTACATTTCTCATTAAGTTTGACATTTTCAGGGCTTAAAGGTCCTTACATATTAGGAGCGTTTTTTTCGTGCGATTATTTCAGACGTCAATATTTTTTTAGAACCCGTATCCTGTCAATACAAGCATTCATATCTGTGATGTTTTCCCGTCCTGTGATATTACGGCATTTATTTTTTTCAGATCATGGTCGATTTTTCTAAAGTTTTGAATACTGTGTGTCCACTTTTGACCAATCAGATTTCATGTTGTTGCGTCGTCAGATTCACAGGTATATCCAATATGGCTGACCGGCCGATCATTTATGTGTCGGAGAACAGAGTGCTTTTTGATGAAAAACACAAACATGACAAAGATAACGACCTGAAGGACAACTTGTGGAGTGTCATAGCGTCCGATTTCTCATATGACGATGGTTTGTGTGCTTTAACAGTTTGCTAAACGTCTTTGTTTTAACTTCCATCTGTGCTAAGTAACTTTAGCTCGTAAGCTAACCTGTTCAGATACAACATATCATATGTATTTTCACTGTCTCAAACTTAACCATGTTGCTGTCACAACACCATTAGGTCTCAGTTGTTACCTTACGTTTATGGATTATAGTTTAATGTGCTTATCTGGTACTGGCCCTGACTCAGTACATGCTATCATGACAGACAGACATCTCAACAATAATGTCTAATCAGAACTGAAAAACAGTCAGTCTCGCTTCCACCCAGAACGCATCTTTTTTTCCCCCCGGAAAGTCGCAAAATCACAATGCACTTGATGTGTACAGTCAGGCGTGTCAAAATTCGCCTCCAAATATTTTGTAATTTCCACATTGTATATTTGTGTCGTTCCCAGTGTGTGGGGACCTTTACTATCCGGATACAGCTTTTCCTAACAGTCAAAACCATCAAAACTGCGAACAACCTAGACTGCTACTTTAAGTCTCTGGTTTTAAAAAAAACATCTATACAGATAAATCTTTTTTATTTTCTTTAGTTAAGTTCCAAAGGCTTGATAAATGCGCAATGATGTTCATGGAACAAAGGGTAAATATTTGATATCTATACTCATCCAACCACAGAAACTTACTCAAACAGAAAGAGAAAATCAGATTTAAAAAAACATACATTTTGTTGCTCTGAGTCAATCAGTCATGCCTTTTTCTAATTATCTTCTATTTCATAGAAAGTAGCAGATTTTTTTCTGTATATTCTGTCCAGAAGTTATCCTCTGATAGCCTTAAAGCATCCTTCTAACGTCACTGCTCTTATCTTAAAAGGAAGACGTGGGACAAAGCTTGTCACGACACAAAAGGTTAGACGTCACTGGCAAGTCGCCAGAGAAATGCAGAGGCTGAAAATGCATTCATGCACACTTCCTGCCTTACAGGAACCTCTCTAAAGTATAAAACTGACTGAAATTCTGGTTATGGTTAGTACTGCAAACTGAAATGAACAACAACTTGAGCTACTTTGACAAATTAATAAAGAAATGATCCCAATCTGAAACAATGCTCATTGTTGTTTTTAATCAACTGGTTTGGTGAAAGAAAAAAAGAAAAAAATCTGCAAAACAGGGAGTGCAAGTGAAGTAGAAATGGTGCAACAAAAATTCCTGATGGTGGATGCATTTCTGTCGCCTGACTGTAAGTACATAATGTTTATTGCACAACAGCACTGAGCACATATATGCATTAATGTGCAAACATGCTCTCAATTACCAGCATGCATGATGGATTCAAAACTTTATAAAGAAGGATGCACAAACAGCATACATGGATGTTTTGTTTTTGTGTTTTGAATCCCTCTCGCACTTACTCCTCTAGTGCAGCACATATAGTCATGCAGGTTGACACAGGTCCTTTTTTCTGGCTCCATGACAACACACGAAAAAAATTGCTCCTAATCAAATCAGACCCACAACAGAATGGAAATACAGCTCCTGATCTCACAGAAACAGATCAAATCATGTTATGTAAAACAATCACTTTTGGATTACTTCAAAAACCTCATACATAAGCGGTTACTTATGACCTTTTAAAGAGATGTGTTTTTGTTTGTGTCTTAGAGCCAGAGGGAGAAAAGCTGGAGGGGATGAAAGTTTATGGACAATGGGTTTTTATCTATCACAGATTTTGTAAATCTGTTTTACATTTTCTCTCTTCCTTTGGTTAGTAATGAAAATCTATGATACCCTTTATCATAAATATCTGCTTGCATTTTCAGTAGGTCCTTAGACAATCTTGGATTAGCATTTCTATAGGGATGGATCTCCTTAAATTTATCAGGAACCTTTGAATGCCTCTATTTGATCTTTCACGCCTCTCCAGGCAAATGTCAGTTTATAATGAGAACCAGCAACCCATCAGTACAGGTGTTAAAGTCAGTGAGCATCAGGTTATAAAATCAGATATTTACCTGAACACTGAGGGTGTTGTTTCCATGGTACACAGTCTGTACCTCTATGTGATTATGCAATCTGAGCTACACCAGAGACAGGTGCAGTGAAAGGGGAAAAAAAGCCTTAATAGATACATATCTTTAGCTTTTAATCATCTGTGTTACAAGATCGAGTATCAAAGTGTCCATCAAGCCTTGAAAATGCACCGGTTTCTTTTATAAGCTAGTGTTTCGATTACTTAATTCTCTTGCTTTGCCTTTCCGCAAATTGCAGCCATCTGGAAGGACAACTAAGAGCAATACTTAGAATTTATGCCTAATAGACCCCCTGCCATTGTTAAAACCACAACAGAGGCTTGGCCTTGAGAACAGTTGACAAAGTGACAGATGACAATGTCAATCACAGAAACAACAAGTACAATACCTTTTAAAAACACAGAGACCATCCAGGAATTGGCCAAGTCTATGTTTACTAGGAGGCACTCTGGTCTTTGGCAATAGCACATTCAGCCCAGCATGCCATCTTTGCTGCAGATTGAGCAACAATCTGTTTACTCACAATAATGTCTTTGTAACTGAACACACACACACAAAATAACCACAAAAATTACACAGGAAGCCATCTTCCTACATACAGTATGTCCAGGACAAGATCAGCAAATAAGTATGAGGTACTACCTTGTCCACAGGGGGGCACCAGAATCAGCATAAATACGGATTTCCTCTCAAAAGCTTTAAATAAAACCCATCTTTTGGGTATACATTGAGCACTGCAGAATATTTTACTCAGGTGGAATACATTTTAGTTATCACATAACTCAACTGAAAAAAAGTTGAGTTATGTTAAAAAAAGAAATCTTGTTCAGGTGTAACTCGTGTTGTTTTCCAATACTCTTCCAAGGCAGAATCACTCAAAAGACCCTCCTTGTCAGCTGATTTAATACAACAATACACCAGAGGAGCTGACAGAAAGTGACCATGCAGCATAAAGCCCCAGGCTGCCCAGATGCCATTCTACAGCCACACATGGATGAACTGAGGGCTGAGTCCAAATAGCAGGCCATCACTGCAGACTTTTCACAAAGGCACTGAGGGCTGGTTGTGAAAGCTGAACACTCGGTATACATAGAGACACGAAGATATAAGCACAAGAGTCTGAGTCACTGAGTTCAGAGAGAGGGCTTTAAATACACAAGCTGTCAAAATTTACTATCATTACGTGAGTTTATGAGGAAAACTGGAACACAGGGGATGTTTTTCTACTATTTCAATGACAGTACGCCTTAAAATGTGACATTATGAATGATTTCCTATTCCTCCGGAGAGATGGCTCCTCGTTGTCCCAGTGCTTGGTAAAGAATGCATAATGCTTGCTATCGATTGGTTGGAGATACTTAAAAAAGAAAAGCTTCAGGAGTATAAATGGAGTCTGGCAAAACTTCACCTATTGAACTCCCAAGGTGCATGGAGATCGAAGAAAAGTACAAAAAGCTTTGAAAATCCAGCGACACTTGGAGTAAAAAAATAAAAAATAAAAAAACTTTATTAATCGGCATTTTGCAATGTCACATTGCAAATTTCCCCACTGTTGGATGAATAAAGGTTTGTCCTTTCTTATCTAATCTTATCTTCTGCTTTTAGCCTTCATATTGAGCCTGATGAAGGCCATATAAACAGCCTCAGTGAAACTTACATTATATGATGAAATATTGCACCATATAGATGAAATCCATCAGTGAAAAAGATTAATAACATAACCACAACTCAGCCAGAAACAAACTGCTATCCACACAGAGAAGGATTTCTCTGTAGAACGTTTTTGGGATAAAAAAATCATAACTAATTACTGTTGTGTCCTTTTGGTTAGAAATGTGCTTTGTGATTGAATTCTGAAAGGGTAAATTAGATGCTGGATTATTAAATCTCTGACTTGAAGGAATGGCTTTTCTAACTTGCTTATTTAATGAAAGCTGTTTTCCTTCATGCATTCGTTGAATTTACCCATAGGTGCATCAGAAATCACTGTTGCTTGAAATCAGGTCAGAATGAGCTCAAATTAATCTAAGCCCTTTTTAAAGCAAGATCATTTGTTTACTGATACCACTACTCATTTCTCTTTCCCAAGCAACAGCCTGAAGTGAACATTTTGTGCTTTTAACAGCAATGCTGCAGGAAATAGGGGTGACCTTTTAATAGAGTATTAGAAAAAAACACATTAGAATTTCTATCGCTCACCTGCTGTGCAAACCTAGTTTTAGTTTAAAGGTCATATTTGTTTGCTTGCTAAAAATACAGGCTGCATGCTTAAAATGGCCAGGGACTATTCATTGTGAAAAACACTCAATGTCTAAAAGGAAAAAAAAACAATGCAGTCAAGATTTCACACAGATAATAATGAAAAGAAAAAAAAAACAGACAACAGTGGTTATATTTTCTGGGCAAGTATTGACAGGGCTTTAGCAATGTCTGAAAAAATAAGACAGACACTGCACTGTGCGACTTTTGTCTTTGTTTTCGGTATAGAGGGATGATCTGTTTGTATTGTCTGCAGAGTGCTGAACAGCTTCATATGTGTTTTACATGCTTTTGGCGCTGTGAGCTCTCACAGTGTGTACTAAAAGCCTTGGCAAGATGTCAACCACTGGTCAACACTTCTGCTTATGGCAACATTCAGCAACAACCTTGAAGTGGCTTACATAAAAACACTGGTCCATTTGTAGTCAGTCAGTCAAAGTAAACTGCTATTTTTTAGTCAGTTACAAACCCTAAGAAGTAACAGGTCAAGAGTCGCAGGTCAAAGGAAAATCAGCTAAATATTTTCACTTCTGATTGACTTAGATTAAAAATTAAAACCTGATAGTAAGCAGTTGCTGGACCTTATGGTATTTAAATACTGATATCATAAGTGCTTCATTCACATACATGATCACATTTAATCGAATGTGACAAGTTTGTTTTAATAATTAATATATTCATGATTTATTCTGAAGGTGTTTACAACCTTCCTTGTTTTATTCAGCCGTCTCAGATAAGCACCCGGCAATAAAGCAAATCAGTGTAATCCAAAGAAATTAATCAAGTATACATTTTTGAAGCTTAACATAGGAAACAAACAAGAGTTGATTATTGATTTTAGAAAGAAAAAAGGGGAGGTCCTACCCCTGTCGATAAAAGGCAAGCAGATTGAAATTGTTGAGTCCTATAAATACATTTGTGTCCACTTGGACAATAAATTACACTTGAAAGAAAATACCCAGGCCTCATTGAAGAAGACTCGATCTAGACTCTTCTTTCTCAGAAAGCTTAGATCTGTCAGTGTCAGCACTAGGCTTCTGGATGTCTTTTACCAAGGTATTCTGGCTAGTGTCCTTTTTAATGTTGTACTTTGTTGGGGGAGGGGGGGCATATCGTCTGATGACAAAAATAAGATCAACAAGATGGTTTAGTCTCAGAGTCTCTTGAGGCCATTGTTGAGAGGAGGACCAGGTCTAAATCAGATTTAATCCTGGGCTTCAAAGATCGTCTGTTGCACTGTGTCTTTAAAGGTCTTGAGAGTTCATTTAGTGAGCGACTTGTGATGCCTAAGTGCTCCACTGAACGACTGAGAAGGTCTTTCGTTCCAGTAACGGTGAGATTATTTAATAGTATATGCTAGGGTCTGACTTGGTGCTGCTGTGTAGTTTGTAGAGGTGTTTATTTTAGTATTAATTCATTTTTATCAGGCTTTTGTTGTATTTAATCATGTCTTTATCTTTTATTGTACCACTTTAAATCATGTTTTATTGGCTTTTACTGTGTCTGTTGTGTATCTGATGTTGAGTTTATGTTTTTCTGATGTCTCCATGCTGTTTGCTGTCTGTATGAGTCTTCTTATCCTGGTGGGATCAATAAAGTCTACCTTACCTTACCTTACCTTATTTTTTTCTTTAGTCAGTCTGTGTTTGCAGTAAGCTTTTCTCTTCACGCACTTCTCAGTTATATATTGTTCATAAAGCATGTGTGTAATCATGAATGGATTCAGAAGCACCTACGTGTGTCAATAAGCTGTGCACATTCTCTGAGTCCTACCTCGCATGAACCCACACTTCTGTTAGTTCACCTTACCTGCCACACTACAGGCTCCATAAGATCAGCTGTGGTGGACAGGCAGACACTCAATACGATGGTGTGCGAGGCGGAGGTAAGGGCGCTGGCGATGATGGCGTCCCGCATAGAGAACGGCAGCATGGTGTAGACCACAAACACAATAAACAGGAAGAATGACACCTGTGGAGAGAGAGAGACACACACAAATAACACACCTGCAGGGGAAGATGGTGAGAGATAATGAGAGAGAAAAGGAAACACAGACCGAAATAATCAGCGCAGACAGTCATATGCGAGGAGAAAAATGCACAACTAGGTCTGAATACTATCAACAGAGGTGCTTTAGATTTGATTCTGTAACGCTGCATCATGGGCAGTGGAAAATGAAGGAAATAAACACCAGGGCTGTGGCGAGGTATTGAATATTAAGCAAGAGGATGAATCACAACAAGTAAGAGGAGGAAAGAAAAGTTATTCCAGGGATATTTTTCTGTATGCCGTAAAACATCTGACAGATTACAACTATCTCAGCATCTTCAGACAACCTAAGCACCCTTGATCTCAGGAAACAGAAAAGCTGACGATCAGTTCTCACGCCTCTAATGCAGCTTGTACAGCGCTTCCCTTTTTGCCAAGGGTCTACACACTCACACGCGCACACACACACACAAAGTTCCTTGATACACCATGCGCCACGGGGTTAAAACAGCTCATCTGCTGTCCTGCAAGGCGAGAAAGAAGCCAGTGTTCTCACAGGCTACAGCCAGGTGCCTGTTAACCTTTCTTAGGTTATTTGCAGTGCCAGTGGAAAAGCAGGGTGAGGATGTAGGGGGGCAGGGGGGCTGAGATGGAGAGAGGAAAGGAGCTCAAGAGAGGGGGAGCAAGTGAAAATGAGAAACACAGTGCCTTCTCTGTGAGAGCACCGGTGACTAGCAGGCTCTTCTGCTGCCTCTTTCTCAATGGCAACGAACGTACAGAAATGCTTAAATATAACCTCTAACATAGAAAATGCTTAAATCAAGATTAAGAGAACATGAAAGAGAACATGATGAGTGCTATGTCTTCCACATTTGCAGACTCTTACTGTGTTAATACAGATTTAATTAGGGCATGCTTACTGATGAGCCCAGTTTTAAGCATCTGTTGAAGAGCCTCATTTTCTGCATAATTTTTAAAGTTAGGTGGGCAAGTTCTATTAAAACACTTGAGGCTTAAATGCGGACACAATATTATTTAGCTTTTATAGGTCTTCTGCTCATTTGACCACCTTCTGTTTACCAGCAACAAAGACACTTTTTTGGTATTATGACAAGAAAATCTGGATGTTTTGAAGTCCCTAATGAACATTTTTTTGGCCTTGATGTATTGCAAACATTGTTTGAGGAGAATACGCCGGTATTTGTTGCTTATGTAATCCGGCAGCTTTATGGTGCAACAATTTAGGGACAAAGCCAAACTAAAAATAGAGTATTTCTTATAGGAACAATGGCACAAGAGGACACTTTAATGAACAAGAATTTAAAGAGAAGGAACTACAGTCAGTGACCAAAGGACAGAGGGGAGGATCTACTGTGTTAACGCTGGAGAGCAGAGATCACAAGTTACCTGATAGTGCAGTTGTGTAAATCATAAGCCCAAGGGAGCTACTGCAGTATTAAGTGGGCTATCCATCTATATATATATATATATATATATATAAGATCACACTTGTACAAAAAAAGATCATAGTTTCATATATAGAATTTGCAACACAATAAACATGACTATTGTGTAAAGAGTAACTTATCAGAAGACATTTTGACTATAATTATTAGGTATTTGAGTTATTGTTGCTTAGACTTTGCTTTCTTTAAAGTAACCTCCTCTAGCTTTAGCAACAGCTTGGCATATACCAGGCATTCGTTCCACAAGTTTTTTAAGGTATGTTCCAGGGATTACATTCCAAGCTTTCTTAAGTTCATTAAAAAGAGACTGCTGATTTGTGGTACGCGTTTTTCTGACCGATCGATTCATCAATTGGAGAAAGGTCTGGAGACTGAGGGGGCCAAACCATCTTTTGAAGAACACCTTCCTCTTCTTTTTTGTCTAGGTAACCCTGACAGAGCTTGGCAGAATACTTAGGGTCATTGTCTTGCTGCAAAACAAACTTATGAGCCATAAGTCTGAGTCCAGATGGAACAGCATGGTGCTGGAGGATGGAGTGGTACTGTTTCTTCTTCATGATACCCTTTACTTCAAACAAAGCCCCTACTCCATCACCTGCAAAACATCCCCATACCATGGAACTACCATCTCCATGCTGAATTGTAGTTAAAGAGTCGCCTTGCTAAAGTTTTTGTTTTTTTGTAAAAAGGGTAGGCAAAATAAGCATGAGCTTCAGCCTACACCTTTTCAATTAGCTTTATGATGCTTTTGAAATTTACTATGTATCTGTTGTGGGAGGATTTTAAATGCTAATCGAATAAAATAACTGAATTGAATTGAATTGAATTGAATTGAAATTGTGGGTGTAAAACATGGTGCTTTCAGACGTTCACCGGTTTGTCTGCAGACATAGACTCTGCGTTTTGAACCAAACAGTGCAAACTTGTTTCTAGTCATCATAAGTCCAATTTTTGTGAGCTTTTGCCCACTCATATCTCTTTTTCTTGTTCTGTGGACGAAGTAGTGTTTTTTGCAGATACACAACCCTTCAGACCAAGAGTAACTCTCTTTCATCCAGGTCTTTTTCTATCATCATAACTTCCAAGTTCCTCTAGTCTCTTCAGAGTGTAGTGGACTCCTTTGTTAAACACCTTTAGGCAATTTCTCTTTCTGTGTATCCTTCTGTCCTCAATATACAAGTCTGTACTTTTGTTTCTTTACTCAGTTGCTTCTTTCTAGCCATTTCTGTAGTAGTTTGATGCAGTTGAGATTTATTAGGATTTTTGTATGCAGACTCTCAAAAGCCAAAAAGTTAAAGTGACTAATCCAACTGTGATTTGTTTTTTTGCTATTGCACTGAATTTGTGACTCTTGCAAATGTTTTCGACCCTAAAACTCAGCCCTTATTATCTTTTGCTGACATATATTTAGCAATGGTCTGTTAACATCAATGTATATCTAAAGGTAAATGGAGTAAAATGGTGCATTTCCATGAAAGCAACATCTGATCATGGAGTAAATACATCCCAAAATACATCAAACTCATGCTGGATTTTAAAAAAAGCATTGTGAACAAAAACTTGAAGTTAGTCTGTTAGTCTGTTCGGCCTGTAATGGCCCTTCTTTTATGAAAAGGCAGTGCACCTATTGGGTTGCATTGACAACCCGATACTCTGACTTTGACCGTAAGTATAAGCATGACTTCCACTGACAACTGCAGCCTTTAAATATCCTCAGCACAGCAGGAACGAAGCCAAAAACTGAGCAAATAGTATCTGGCATCCTTTCATACCTTCAGTTACTTACAAACAACAAACAGCACAGCTACTCCCCTAATAATCTAACTGTCCAGACACATCAACAGAATGAGATCTATGTCTGATACACATCCCAAAATTTTCATGAGATTCAGACAGTGAATAGTACGGAGCAAAACTTCCACTAAATCCTCAGGCAATAGTGACTCTAAATCTATTTAAGGATGCAAAAATCCACTTAGCCTTGAGGTCTGGTGACTCATCTACAATGGGTAAATACCTAACTGTTAATTTTGTTTTACACTGTGCAGTATGAGGCTCTGAAGTCACAGTATTTGCTGAATGTTTGCTGACACTGTGCCTCTGCTCCATATTTTCAGTAATCAAAGTATGAAACAGACTGATGAGATTTAAAAAAAAAAAACATGAACATGTAAAGGATTCTACATATGATGCCTATAGTCCATTCAGTTAGTTGGGAAAGGTTCTTAATGCGTCTGTGCATAAGTGTCCTCAAAAATATAGTGTGATGGTTGACCTGCAGGAATACTGACACAGTCCTTGAAGTCTCAGAAGACAGAACTAAAAGCGTAATCTCAGAGGGATGCATGATAGCTTCAAACAGAACAATGATGCACTAATTTCTATTTAGAGCAAACACTTCAGTCAAACTACTCCAACTATCAAAGTCTTGAAAGTATGTCAAATCAAAAAGAGTGTTACCACGGTCTGTGACAGTCAGTAAGCTTTTTTTTTAGATTTATTTCCTTCCTAAAAAAGGATGTGACACATTTACATGATTAGATGAGACGCAAATGTATTGATGGCTGGAGCTATTTCCTGCCGTTTTCACAGAGCAGACAAAAACGCCCAAGTGCTTACGAAAAATGAAAGGCTTTCAAAGCTACCCTGCAGAGAGTGTATTTGTTTTCTCTTTAATTTGATGCAGAACTATTCAAAGGTACAGTATCACTTTTTTTTTTATTATCAAGGCCACTGAAGTACTCTGAAAAAAAAAAAGGAAACATAATGGTTTTGCTTTGCATATATGGTAAATACAATTATACATCTCTACTGTCTATGTGCAGTAGTTACATCATGCATCTTAAGCAGACCATATAAATATGATTTTCCCAACATGCAACAATATCTTTAAATCAGTGAGACACTTAGTCTCTGGAAGATTCAAATTATGATTCAGAGCTTAGTCCATATGAAGCTTCTGAGACCAACAGAGAGTAAACAAAGGGTATACACACAAACTGTAGCCTAGAGGCTCAGACTCATGCTGAATGTCTGATATGAGAATAATAATCGTGCTTAATGCTAAAGCCTAATCAGATGCACCTAATCCAGTTGAAGTTCAAATTTATACAAACAAACAACTTTATGACTTTCCCGAGACAAATAGGAAAATGCATCCAAATGCACTTCTGACCCCTTTTTGCATAATTTTACTCTCAATATGAAATCACGCAGCTTCATAATACATGTATTCATCGCCCACACACAGTCTTGAGAGAGTGGTTTGGTTGGTTTCAAAGCCACGAAAAAGCTCATGGAATTAATAATTTTTGCACAGAGGTTAAGAATGGCTGGCATGGTAGATAACCTGTGGCATGATGGAAGGATATCTGACAGTTTCTTCATGATTGCAGGTCTTTGAGAGCTTACAAATATGTTGACATTTACCATTTATTTCTCTTACTAGCCAAAGCAGAACTACAACCACTAAACTGTTCAGCCTTTATGAAAACTGCCTCTTTTGTTTTACAGTCAGTGGAGCTTATCCTTGCAGATCCACAGTCGGGTGATTTAATTTTCACTTTAATTTAAGCTGTTTACATGACTGCATAAAACCAAAAGCTCCAAATGATAATCCTCTCTGCGTGACAGAAAATTTCATTTTGAGCATCCAGGACAATAAAGGTCAGCTCGGTTTGTGTTTTTGTTTTATTTTCATTTTGAAGCAGGAAGAGCTCAAAACAGCGAAGCCAACAAAAACTCTCCTTTCACCTGAAAAAATAAATGGCAGTGTTAGCTTTGGTTTTACTCTAACCCGATACACAGCTGCCAGAACAGAATTAAAGGCAAGCAACTTTTAGCTGTTCGCTGTGAAGATACAGGAGGATGAGCTACAAAAACAACATGAAACAACACCAGCCTCTAAGTGGACTTTGGCTTTGAAACAGCAAAAACAAAAAGTAAAGTTTCATTCATTTATTATGTTCCTGTCAGTGTTCCTGTGTCCTGGTCTCTAGTGAATTGCAGTTGTAATACCACAACCCAGGAACTGTTTCTAATCTCTGTCAGACCTGGCTTTAATTGGGCTCAGTCTCATTTTATTCCAACAATGTCACGGCTCAGTAATGCTGGCAACAGGAGGAAGAATACAAATGAACACACAAAGGCAGAGTTAAGGTTTTTAGGCTCTTAACTAAGTAGAGGTCCCAGGGACGGTAAAAAAAAAAAAAAGTAGGGGAAAATGTCAGCAATGCAACTGCCTCTTTCCACCATTAACAACAGCAAAAAAGAGGGTCATGTATTTTTAGAATAAAGCCAAGAAAAAAATCACCTGAACGCAGCTATGTAGAGGTGTGTCAGGTCACTGATAGAGGTGAAAAAACTAAACAGCAGTGACAATGGAAAGAGGCCTGAGGCTAGTGGAACGCAATTCAAACACAATGGTAGTTGCAGTTTTGCTGATTCTTAGTCAGATTGGGCTTAAAGTGCCCAAGGTGTTTCTGCAGTATATGCCACATGTGTTAAAGTAGTCGTGGCAGTTTTCTGTCAACTTCACGTTCATTCCTCAAGCCCCTACAGAGCCAGAATGCACGAAAAACACAATGCATCTTAATTGTTAACGTGATTATGAGTGTGCAAAACCAGAACAGAAGCAGAGTGTGGTAAATTAACCATTGTTTAAAAAAATTAGGACTCCAAGTGACAGAATCTTGAAAAAGCATTTTCAAATAACAAAACCAAAACAAATCTCCAAGGGTTTTTAAAGCTCGTGTATGAACTTTTCCCTGTTTGTGAAACAGAATGAAATCAATTCTTCCGCCCCAAGAAACAACAAAAGTAAAACAAAACAGGATCAGGAAGAAGAAAGAGATCCCACTTGTCCTGAAGATTGGACGAAATGAAAATGAATGCTCCTCACAGTGGCTTTAAGAAACCTGTTAATCTGCTTTGCCAGAAAAATCAAAAAGACATATTGACTTACTTCCTCATGCAAGAGAGAGCATCTTATTACAGTCAGATCTCATTTAGCCCAGCAACATAACATGATTACAGTTCAGAAAGCCATATTTCCCCCTAAATGCTCTGAAATTCGATGCTGCTAGATGACGAAACTGCTCAGAGGATAATGGAGAGGCTTCTGGGAGAGAGACACCAGCTGAGATCTGCTGCATAATGACACCTGATGTAGTAATCAAACAGCACGGAGCTTTCTTTAGTATTGTTGAGGAGACCACATGAGGACCCTCCTTTCAAACAATTAAATGGAAGAGGCTTTTTTTTTTTTTTTGTGGTGCATCATGGCACAGTTGACTGTGTTCATCCCCATGAATCAATGCCATGATAATGACAGTAAGAGGGGTTCATAAAACAAATTACAGTGATGGAGTGTCAGATTACATCAGGCTTTTAGTCTACTGTCTGCTGTGGAGATTAGCTTACTGGCTAGATTTACGACATGATGTGTGTGCTGTTTAGCTCTCAAAAAGAATTATTTGCTCTTTTTCTTTCAAGCGACACTCACTTTAATGGAGTATGACGACAGCTTTGTTGATTTACAGTAAAAACACACAATCCAGCAAAAAAGTAGCTAACGGTCTCAATTTGTAATTTATCTGTCTGCACAGATTGACCATGATGTCTCTGATGAATAAAGGTGATTTGCAGAAAAACACAAGAAAATGTCTGGTGTGCGTCCCCTCTTTTTGCCTATCATTCTTGTTTCATATCCTCCATTTGTCTCTCCTTTCTATCAGCCCCATTTTTGCTATCTACCCTTCTTTTTTACTATTTTAACCCTGTAAACCCATCCACCCCATTAGCCCTCCTCCTATGTCCTAAAGCCTATTAAGGCTGGCTGTATACTCCAAGGAGATTGTGTGAGTGCATCTGTGCATGTGTGTGACCAAGGAACAGGGAGGGAGAGAGAGGGAGGGAGGAGAAAGAGGCAATGAGGAGGGGTCCAGATATTTCTCAGTGAGGGAGGGAGGCTGGACCACACAGATAAGCCAATCCCTCCACAGTCAGCAAACAACACAGAGGGCTTTGTGGGGAGAGGAGAAGCATCCAATTGATTCCAGGTCTGGAAATAGAAAGTGTACTGTATACATACTAACTCCGGGCGAGTGGGACGAGTGGTTACAACACAGCAGAAGGAATATTTAGAGCCTCAGCAGTATCTCATTCACCTGGAAGTGTACTGACAGTGCAGTTTGTGATGTAAAAATATCTTGTCCTCTTACTACCTTGTTGTCTCCCTAAGGACATAAAATATTGAATTTTCAAATACTGTTTTACTGAAAAACATGTTTACAGCAGTAGTACAGACTGCTATGGGGTGAATACAAGTCAGCGTTTCAGATATTTAATGATAAAAAAATCAAAGAAATACAAGGGGAATAGTCTCTGCTGACTTTTGGTTTTTGGATCCACAAAAATTTAATCTCTATCTTGGTTCATGTAAAACTTCAAAGAGAAGATAAAGAAAATATTGCAAAAAATAATTACTGTAAAAAAAAATAAAAAAAAAGCTGAATGTCATAATTCTATGCTATAAATTGAATTTACATTTGCTTTTGCACATTTTTCCCTGGATATGCATGTTTAGTTAACTACAGGATTAAACCGTGTCCTCCTTGTAGAATTACCAGTCTGTTAAACAAATGATCAATATTGTTATTCTTATAGGCCTGAAGTGATGGTAAAATGTTGTGTTTAAGCTGTGACACAGCTGTCCACTGCTAGCTGGGACTGTAGCTCTGGTAAATGGCAACAGCAGTAATGCTGTAATATTATGAATGGGATATAAACAAGCACAGATGACAGATTGTATATAGAAGTGCTTCACAGTTTGGCAGTGTTTTGGTCTGGGATATGGAGATAAGGGTGGATGTAGGCTATGTCCTGTTAAACTGACACATCACTTACATGAGTGTTACCAGCGCAGGTATGTGGAGGTTGACCTACAGGGTGGACAAAAGGTTTGAGGGGACAGATAGTTCAACATTGGCCAGACCTGTCACACAAATTTGACCTTGTTTATCTGCTCTGTGATCCAGTGTTGAGCCATGTTTGGTAAAATAATGCTCTATTTTGGCTTCTGGGTGTTTTCATTTTACCTTCAAACAAGGCAGCCCGTTGGGATTCCAATCAATAGGACTAAAACATGAGTATCAACAATGAATCCTTGATTTCTCCATAATGGGGCAATTGTATGTAAATTTACTTGATATAATAATAACCTTATTTACATAGCACTTTTTCAAAACAGAGTTACAACATGCTTCACAACATAAAAACAAAATAGAAATAGGGGTAGAACACACAGCAGCGAGACATCAATACAATTTCCCAAACAGTCAGTCAATAGAAATGATTTAGAATTCAATAAAAGATGAAACACCAACCATGTTATAGTTTTTTTTTTCTTCTTTTTTTAAAATAAGTTAAAAATAATACTGATTGCAATAATAAGTAAAACAAAACAAAATAATACAGCAAGGGCTGGTTATACTTTCATCCATGGTGCAGAACAAGAGCATAACCTAATCATCTGTTCCATCTTCAAAAAACCTGTCTGGACCAAAAAAAAAAAAAATCGTCTTCACCCTCCCTCTCAATAAAAATCAAACTCAAGTATCAAACATTTTTGCAAGAAGAGACATATTAAACCAAGCACCTCTCCACACAACACTTTCACTGCCAGTAAGCAACAGGCATGCACAATACTTTGACCCCTAAGTTTGCCAACTATCTGCTCTTTATCCACTGCTCTTCACGCCACACCATGCTCAGTATAAAACCTGCTGAACTTGCTCGAAACATAAATATTCTTCCAAGTGATTTCTATAAATGTGTAACAAAACTGAACCACAAAAGCCAACAATGAAGACTGTGTAAAAGTATACCAACAGAGAACTTTAGACTAAAATATGACCAATTCAGTTATCCTTAATTGCTCTGTATACATTCTTCTTTTCTACATGCACTTTATTTAAATCATATTTTATTTATGATACTTCCACACTGTTCGGTTTAATCAGTTATTTGAAACGCATTACTCGTATCTTGACAACTTACTCCCAGTTTCTGTGTTTGAAATGAGTTTGTTAATTGTAGGGCGGCACTGACCAGAAACAGCGTAATTTTATGCTTTGATAATTTTATGAATGGCATGGTATAAAAAGCATCATCTTAATGAGCTCAGGGCGATATATGGCAGGTGAGGCAGAGAGAGCAAGGATCCCTCCTTTTAATCGCTGCTCTATTCCCTCGCTGCTCATGGTTTCCTCCTCGCTACAGCACAGAGAACATTTAATTACTCTGACTTCACTTCGCCTCCCCCCACTTCTTTTCCGGAGCACACGTCTACTTAAAACCTCACAGTAACACCAGCTACCAATATAACTGGCAGATAAGCAAACAGAGTAGAAAAAGGGGCAGCTTCCTCAAATTCTGCTACAGGACAGGGGCAAAAATGATTTTGGTGTTGATATTAAAATATAAATAACCTAATAATACACTAAAAAACACTTGCAATCAACCTTAAAGGAGGACCTATGATAGCCTGATCCATAATTTAACACTTACATATTATGTTACAATTTTGGGTGTCCATACTCTAGAAAAAGATAAAACACATGGATGGTGGTGTAATTCCAACACACCACAACAGACTACTTGTTTTGAGAGACAGCAACAATATGTTTCCAGGTTGTGCCGTCATGCCAGGAAATTGCTAAAGGACGAGCACACCTATAAGCTCTGTCAAAACACTGCTTGTCTCTCCCCTCCACTCTGCACTTTGTTGATTCAGTACACTTTGGAAAGTTAATTGCTAGAGTTATTTTGGTTGTGAAGGAAAGTACAGGATTATTTCTCAACACAAAGTCAAAGACACCGGAAAACAGTGGGGACTTGAGATGTTTTCAGGACAATAACAGCCACAAGTTTGTGCTCGCCACCTCACAGATGACTTTATTTTGAAGAAAAGGCAAGTACGAGCTGGATCTGCATCACAATCTTGACTGAAACCTTGGGCAGCTTTATCTACCCAGCCCTTCCATAAAAACTCAGAACCACTAACTGTGAGTAACATATGCTTATGTGGCTAAATAGAGAGCTAAGTGGTGTTTAACAGCCAGCCTCAGACAAAGGCGAAACTCTCAAGTCAAAAATCTGTGAAAAGTAACACCCACAGGCTGTGTCTGAATTTATGTTTGTGGAAAACGAGCCAAAACTAAGTGTTAGAATGAGAAGTTTAACAGACCCTAGTATAAGATAATTAAGGAGTTTTTTTGACCAAAGGTACTCTAAATATGTCCCAGAACCCTAACAAAAGGTAAAAATCAGTATTGAAACTGTCCTTCAGTATCATCAAGCACTGGGCAATGCATTCATATTTGTTGACCTACAACCAAAATCTACAAGATATTTATGAAGAAACTGCTTTTGTAGCTTGAAAAAGATCAGTTGAGATGAATGAATGATCTGCACCCTCCGGCCACTTAATTGGGTACACCTGTTCACTTGCTTGTTAACACAAATAGCCAATCAGCCAATCCCATGGCAGATACTCAATGTTTTCATGCATGCAGACACGTTGAAGACGACCAGAATGGACTTTGAATATGGCATGGTTGTTTGTGCCAGATGGGCTGGTGTGAGTATTTCAGAAACTTCTGATCTACTGGGATTTTCACACGCAACCATCTCCATGGTTTACAGAGAATGGTTTGAAAGAAAAAAAAGATCCAGTTTGCAGCAGTTGTGTGGATGAAAACGGCTTATTGATGTTAGAGGTCAGAGGAGAATCGGCAGACTGATCCAAGATGACAGAGAGGTAACAGTAAGTCAAAAAACAATCATTACAACCAAGGCATGCTGAATTCATCACATCATGCCAAACTTTGAAGCACATGGACTACAGCAGCATTAGACCACTCCAGGGTGCCACTTCTGTCAGCTAAGAACAGGAAACTGAGGCTACAATTCACACAGGCTCACCAAAACTGCCAGAATTTGGCGTAAACAACATGAAAGCATGGCTCGAGCCTGCCTTGTATCAATAGTACAACCTGGTGGTGGAGGTGTTATGGTTTCAGTTGGCAATGTGGCAAAAATATTTCTCAAAAGTCATGACTATCTACAGTTTCGTTAAGCACCTTGACAAAATTTGCAATATCAGTCTGTTTATTTGGAGTATACAAAAGTTTTGTTTCATGGTTAGTTGCTTACCAGTCAATGACAGAAACTTATGAGTAGAGTTATAACATAAAGATTCAACTTAAAGAGATGTTGACCAAATCAAGGAAAACTCATTTTATCTAAAAGGGGCCCATGAAGACAGCTTCATTTTTTCAAACTTTATTTCTATCTGTAATTTTAAAAGATTGGCGTTTTCTGTCCGATCAAATAGATACTCAACTCTCAAAAAGTCAAAAAGTTATCAGATCAGTCTACTGGATGTGAGTATGAAAAGTCACAAATAAAAGAAAGTCAATACGAATCACTTCTATACTGAACACAAGATATTTTAAAGGCTGAGCTTTTCCTTTTTAGTATCCATTTAGCATAGTTACTTTAGTGTATCATGGGTGGCTTAAACCCCATATGAGGCTAATGGATCATGAATACTTTTTATTGTAAGTCTAAATATACATATAATTCAAAGCTTTTGATTACTGAGTGCATAAGTAGACGTGTCTAACAGTAACTTTACTGATAAATGGTGTAGGTTATCTGTGCTCCCCTGTTTTAGATTAAAACAAAAAAATAAAGCGTACCTAATAGTACTTGAGTGAGGTGGAGTGATGTCAGGACAATAATGACTCATTTCCTTTGTCTGTTATTTGATCACAAGCCCCTAACCATCATAGAGTGCAGAGAAAGTCAACAATGAAGATGAGTATTAATTAAAATGGCTAAGATGCAGCAGTCAGGGAGCAATAATGATGTAATGGCCTGACATTTTTAGTCAGTAGAAGAAAGGAATGAATAGACTGGCATATGAATCAGTGAATTTTTAGCTACCTCTTTGTGATAGATGAGGCCACACAAGACATCTGTCTTGCCAATACTGATTCAGCTTTTAGATGATGGAGACCTAATGTACTGTGCTGTTTTCAATGAGCCCTGCTGCAGTGTGCATATGGCTCCAGCAAAGAAGATGCTGCTTTTGTTCAGAGCCCACGGGACATATTCAGCCCAATGACGCTTGATAAATGCATAGATAAAACACGCATTGACTTACACAAGTTGATTTACAGCTGTTTCATACAACGCATTTGTCTGGCTTCCTCTATTTAAGCTGACTGCATATATTCACCAGCGTGACTCTGATATATGATCTGTTTATGGCCTGCTAATAAAAAAGCATGAATACCACACGTGTCTGCATTCATTTATGATGAATAGGTAATTATTTCTCTACCACATAGTAATACAGTCACCGACCAGCAGTCTTTACCTTTAATTACACATTTGAGTAAATATAATCTGTCTGTGGCATCTCATCTTTTCCGACCATTGACAACATCCATTAAAGCATCTAAGACAACCAAAATCATGGCAAAACATAACTGCTGACAAAGGTGGTGAATTTCTAGAGTAGGCCCTGATATGTCAACAGTTTATTATTTTGGTTATCCACAGAATGTGACCAACACGATCATGTTTAAGGTTTTTAAGGATCTCAGGGAAAGAAGTGGTTTAACAGTAAGTCAGGAAGTCTTGTTGTATCCTGCAAACAGCAAAACGTGTGATGTTGTTATTGTTTTGTTTTGGTACTTACAAAAAGGAGCGCTATCTAACATCCTGAAATTAGACAGACATCCAAAATCCAGTGTCATTTCTGACAGCAGAAAGTTCATGACTGATACACTTTAGATATCTAGCCACTATCAAGTACGTGCGTGTCTTTATGAGCTTTTTGTTCTGGTTTCTTTTTTGTTGCTCATGTGTTTTTCATTTCATTTTAAGACCCTGGGTGTGATTTATAAGTGAGAAATTTCATGAGACCTGAGACAGCTACATTTTTCACAAAGCAGTAATCATTTTGTTTTGTGAAACTACATTTTGCAGAGACATGAAGAAAAAGACTAAGAAATGTCAGTAAAATGTCAGGATGCTCTCAGCCTTGATTTCATAAAAACTTTTCAAACAGTACTTTAAATCATAGGTCACAAACCACATAAGATGAACCAAAAACTAAAGAAAGGGATCTGATAAGTCAGGCCAGTTTTCTCTATGACTGTGACATCTGCACTCAGACAGTACAGGATCTATTCTGCACACTTTCTTATCACAGACATGTGACCACATTGTTCAGAAGTGAAGCTGTACACACCTATGCAGAAGGTAAGTCATGCAGAACCAAAACAAAGTGAATGGAGTCAGATTTCTAGCTCCTCTTTTTACCAGATTCCAATCAGGAAAATGTTTTTGGACTGTTTTCATATTTGTAGGACTATTCCAAAATAAATGCACCCCTATCAAGTGGAAATAATAAAAGGTATGCACATGGATGAGGGAATGTGGGAAGCCTTCACCAAAAATTTTCTTCTAAAGCCAACACAACTCCCAAAGAGGTTGTGATTCACCACAGGAGACCTCAGCTGAGTCAAAGACAAAAAAGAGTGTGGGAAAAGAAACCAAGCCTCGGCAACTTTCAAAATCCACTGGCCTAGATTTTTATCCTTTTGCTTAAACAGTAAATCTCTTTTAAATTGACCTGAATAAGCACTCAAATGCATCAAATACTCCGCAGAGCATCACATGTTTTACTAATGTAAATACATCAACCGAAAAATACATATATGGGTCTTACCTGATCCCATGGACACACAATCCCGCCTGAAAACATAAAAAGATAACCCATGGCGACCAGGCAGGCCCAGATGACCAGGGAGAAAACACGCAGAAGCTTCTTGAAGATGGACTCAATGCAGACGAGAACAAACACAGCAAGGAAGATAGCCAGAGCTGTGGGCACAGTGATTACGAAGGCCACGTGGTCCTCTACGTTCTGAAATGGAGAGAGGATAAAAAAAAAAAGTCATTTTTTTGATGGACTATTTGGAATAGAGGGGAAGTGGTTTTTTGTGAAGGCAATAAAGATAAAATTGTTGCACATTTATGAGACAGAGACCTCTCGAGGGTCCAGGAAAGAGCTGAAGCATGGTAAAAGCTTCTCTTCTAACCAGACGAACAGTAAATCCAGAATAATACTGATTCTCCTCTGAACACAATAAGGTGTCAGTATGAAGATAACATCTTTGCTGGGTGTAATATCAGAAAAGAAAGTTGTACTTTGTATGTCAGTTGCTTTAATATTCTGTTTCTGCCGCATGAATATGTGACAAGACTTTGTATGGATGTAAAACTGGAATATCTGAGAGCTGACATGGACTGAGAAAACCAAAGATCTAAATGGGTTAAAGAGCTGCATAAAAAGGTTTTAAAAAGGTCAGAGAAGAAATAAAACTTGAATGATTTGATGATTATTTCATGACTTATCAATTTATTCCACATTTTTTAAACTCACCAGACATCTTTTTCAAGAATTAGCTTACAATTTCTTACTTAATTTTGAGAGTATATTTTTAAAATCTGCATATTTACGTCTTAATAAAAGCTAAATCTCAATATCTTGGAGTAATTTTTAACCTTTTAGGATGACAAAATTCTCCACATCCATATATTTTAGATATATGAAGTCCAACTCCAATAAATGACCTAGCCACACAATGTGTAAATCATCAGATATGACTGTTACTTGGTCAAACAGGTCCAGTCTAGTACAGTGATCCATACTCTCTTGTTTTTGAGATATAAAACTGTGAAAGTGAAAAACCCTCCTCTTTTAGGAGAACATCCTATAGATTGAGGAAAAACCCTAAAAAGCCTCTGGTACCAAAGTTGAAGCCACATCCATTATGGATTTCCTGCAGCTTTTCTAAAACACACTAAGATCTCAGAGTTCTGATAAAAATTTCAGGAGATTCTTCAAGGTGGATGTAGGGAGATCGTGCAGTGAAAATGAGTCGTTTGTACTCTCTGCTCCTGTCAGGCTTTATCCAGTCAGTGCTTTTCCAGCTGAGTGGCAGGGGATGAAAAAAGGTCAGGATAAAGAAATAGAGATGTAAGGAAGGCATCACATCCTCATGAGTGTATTATGGAGTGTATATGTGATATCTTTTCAATCACACACAACCCAAAATAGTATTATACTGCAGTCAAAACTTAAAATCCAACCAACTAACTAGTCCAAAGATAATAAAACACTCAGATAATATAAGCACAATTTAGCTGACACAGCTGAACCCATACATCACAGAGTCTGCAGGTTAACTATGTCAAACTGGTCAGCTGATTGTAGCTTATTTTAGCTCAACTAGCCTTCGGTCTTCCTTCAGGTTTATGTCCACATGACTGAGCTGGTTACACATTACTCCTGTTGAGTAGTTACAGTGGATATAAAAAGTCTACACACCCCTGTTTAACTGGCAGGTTTTTGTCATGTAAAAAATTTAAATCAAGATAAATAATTTCACAACTTCTTCCACCTTTAATTTGACCTATAACCTGTACAACACAATTGGAAAACAAACAGAAATCTTTCAGGGAGGTGAAGTAAAAATAAAGAACTGAGATCATGTGGCTGAATAAGTGTGCACACCCTTTAATAACTGGGGATGTGGCTGTGTTCAGATTTAACCAATAACATTCAAACTCAGGTTAAATTGGAGTCAGCAAACACCTGTCACCAATTAAAGTGCCTCTAATCAACCCAAAATGAAGTTCAGCTGTTCTAGTAGGCTTTTCCTGACATTTTTGTAGCCACATCTTCCAGCACAAGCCATGATCCGCAGAGAGCTTCCAAAGCATCAGAGGGATCTCATTATTCAAAGAAATCAGTCAGGTGAGGGCTACAAAAGAATTTCCAAGGAATTGAATATACCATGGAACACAGTAAAGACCGTCATCATCAAGTGGAGAAAATATGTCACAACGGTGACATTACCAAGAACAGGACGTCCGTCCAAAATTGATGGTAAGACTAAAAGAAAACTGGTCAGGGAGGCTACCAAGAGGCCGACAGCAACACTGAAGGAACTGCAGGAATTACTGGCAAGTACTGGCTGTGTAGTACATGTGACAACAATCTCCTGCTGTCTTCATATGTCTGGGCTATGGGTCAGGGTGGCAAGACGGAAGCCTTATCTTATAAAGAAAAACATCAAAGCCCGGCTTAATTTTAAAAAAGGACATCTAAAATCTCCCAAATGCATGTGGGAAAATGTGTTATGGTCTAATGAAACCAAAGTTGAACTTTTTGGGCATCATTGCAAAACGTATATTTGGCGCAAAATTAACACTGCTCATCACCAAAAGAACACCATACCCACAGTGAAGCATGGTGGTGGCAGCATCATGCTTTGGGGCTGTTTTTCTTCAGCTGGAACTGGTGCCTTAGTCAGGGTGGAGGGAATTATGAACAGTTACAAATACCAGTCAGTGTTGGCACAAAACATTCGGCCTTCTGCTAGAAAGATGAAGAGGAAGAGGAACTTCGAGAACTGGAGTGTGATGGTATTATGGCGGTATTTAATTACCCCGGGTATATGACAATTATTTTGGACCCTGTTAGAACAATGATAAAATATGTCCATGTAGATTCTCATTCATCCAGGTCATGTAGAGTCTCAACTCTACACAGTCCAGTTGCCTGTTTTTGGAATCTTTAAGAAAACAATGATAAAAACATGTTTGACTGACAAGTAAATGTGGTGTCAAGTACAGAGGGTGACTATTGATCAGCTATTGAACTTGATCATTTAGTTGACTTAACCCACAAAACACTAGTTCTGAATACATCTAACTTAGTCAAAAATGCATCGGGAAGAATGATTTGGATGGCAAGAATGGAGAACAATGCTTCAATCTAGGGCCAAAACGTAATCTTGCAAACATCTGCTAAAATTATATAATCATAAAATACTCAATAATATATCAAATGTATGACAAACTAACAGTGCCAAGAGCTACTACTTTTTTGGATTATGAAAGAAGCAACTTCAGAAAAATTGCTGCATAATAACAGCAAACAATGCCACAGTGCTTTTAGAGAGTGTAGTTAAAGCTGGCATAACTTCAAATAAATGATACACTGACTACATAAAGCCAAAAAAGATGAGGCAAAACATTAGAACCGACTACCTATTTCATTTCTTGGATGAACTAATGTGATCAAAATGAATGTACCGCCATTACTTATTCTTATTTTAGTCACTATTTTGTTACTTCGGTAAAACATCCTCCTGATATGGAGGGACTCCCCACTAAGAATATCTCTTCGATAAAAAAAAAAGTCAACCAACTAAATCCAGATTAAAAAGTGGACTGAGAATTCCAGATTTACAGTTCTTCTGCACAAAAATTACGACTAGCTGGGTTAAAAAGGCATAATTTGTTTTTCTGCACTCTTTGTTTTGGATCATTACGGCACATTATATCATAAACAACATCAAGCCTCATCAATCCCCTGTGAATCTCCTATTATCATGAAGGAATCCTGATAAAAAAGCAAATAGTTTTCTTCTTCCAGTGAGTTTATCAAATAAACTGCTGATACAACCAGCAAATATAAGGAGAACAGAGGTAACCAGGATCTTAAAGTACTACTTTCAATAATCTGATATTTGTTCTACCAGCAGATCATGCAGTTTCAATGCCTCTAATTACTATCAATCATGTTTCTTAGATTTTATTGAACTGATCATGATTACAGTTCAATAAAATGTGCAGCCCTTCTACTGTCATGAACATTATCAGTCATGCATATATTTCATGTGTTTTCCATTGCAGTCACTGATGCCTAAAACATTTCCTCCTCTACCGCTGCTCCAAAAACTGCCCAATAACCATAAATGTTTTCATGACAGCCTATTGCATGACGCTTCACTTTGCATTTGTCCTCCTCTCCATCTATCCCATTTTCCTTCCAAGTCCCCCCCCACCTCCCCCCTCTGTCTCTCTCTCATGCACACAGCCAGTGTTCTGGGACAGGAGAGGATATGTGTGGCTGCAGAGAGCCCAGAGTTTGTCTCGCCCAGAGCAGAGCTCCAGAACAGCACAGATTTAGGTCAGCCAGCAAGCAGGATGGAGGGATGATAGGATACAAACAAAAGAGAGAGAGAGAGAGAGAGAGAGAGAGAGAGAGAGAGAGAGAGAGAGAGAGAGACTGAGATATAAGGACGTTGGAAATGATACGAGGAGCAGGGTAGGGAAACAGGAGATGATGGACAGAAAAAAAAGAGAGGGATGGGCAAAAGTCGTGTCAATCCAGTCCAGGGATGGAGCAAAAAGAAAAAGCATGTAGGACAGTTGGCTGAGCAGTGGCCTGACAGGAAGAGACAGTTAGTGGGACGCTCATTCTTTGTCAGCCCACACAAACATTTCCAGACGACAGAAAATCATATTCTTAGTGTCTGATTCTGGTTAAAAAAAAAAATTGCATAAAAAAGAGGAATTTAAAGCTCCTCTCCCTTGCTCTGCAGCAATCATGTTTCAAACTCCACGTTAATTCTTGATGTTCCTGCTGTTGGTCAGCGGACAACCTCACACTTTACAGCTTACACATAAACACAAGCAGCTAACCAAATCATAAACCCAGAGTTACACTTTCAAACAGGAGATACATGTGTGCAAACAGCAGTTGATGCTTGGCTAATGAGTCACAATAATGATGAATAACCTCTTAAATACCTCCTTATGTGCACGAGCACCAGAAACTACTATTATGGAAATTACAGCTGTATTTACGAGGCAATTAAAATGCAATCAACTATCAGAAAAGTTGCCAGAATAAATATGATTCATAGTAGATTGCTGTTGCTTGTAATCCCTTCAAAAAGGATTTAATTTGTTGACTAATTACGCAGAAATTAGTCCGTTTTGTCTAGCATGCCAATGCAATGCTGGCTGTCATACTGCTGATGTTACTGACCTCACCATCTGTTGGTTGTGATTTTAAGTGAATAAAAACCCTGTTACCATGAAAACACTTTGAGACGGTTTGTTGTTATAATGCAAAAGCGATACGAATGGGTTGTGGTGATTTGCGAGATGCATGGTTTTGTGTGTGTGCGCCTGTTTTTGTCTCTGCCTCATTCGCTTTGTTTTAGACTAATCTCCTAACAGCAGGTTCAGCAGGGATAGGGTTCTGGAGATGCGCTTCCTAAAGCCAAAATGTGATCAGCTTTAATACAATAATTTCAGTGTATTATGTAAAATTGAAAGAAACTGCAGATATATAATAACACTCTGAAATTTCCAATAATTCTTTTTTGTTTTTATACGTGCAAAGTCAGGTGAGTAATTTGAGAGTGAAATCACAGCACTGAGAAATAATGTTTTGCCTTTTTCCCTGTTTGCAACGGCCTTTTTTTCTTTGACAGTGTCCTGCTTCAATTGCAGTGATTTTTTTTTCTGGTTTTAGAGCAAAGATAACCCTGTCAAAATAGTGACAGAGGGAAACAGACCTCCTTTCTGTAGTTCAGTCAACCATGAGCGCAGACAATAACTAAGCCCCTTATCCCCCCTCCCACTTTATCTCACCCTTCTCTTCACATTAGTGCTGCGATGAAGGCTGCATGCTGGGAGACTGTGCGTGCACAAAGGTGTCGCACAGGCACGCTTTTATGTGTGTACACATTTCCATGTGTGTGCCTCCATGACAGTTGGGGGGCTGCTGTATTTTGCTTCATAAGCCACTGGATGTTGTGGTTGTGAACATGTAAGCGCTGCAGTTTTTGTGACCCCGTTTGTACTCAGGTTTATAAAAAATGTAAAAGGTCTAAAAAATAGTGTGAGCTCCACATGTGCCCAGATGTGCCAGCTTGCACTGTTTACAACTTAAAACTCTTGATACGAATTTTCTTAATAAACCCACATGAGTGAAGCCAGCAAAAAATGACACTCGGTGCCATTTATGTGGTCCCAGATTTTCCTTTCTTTCTACTTTAAATGTGAATAGTTCATCTACGTGTGTCAGCATGTGTCAGAGAAAGAGAGAGAGTGTGTTTTTGAATGTTGTGAATGAGCAGCTTACCAGTCCTGAAGCAAAAAACACAGTCAGCAGAGCCAGGCAGGCTCCCATCACAATGAGCAGCAGAAACACAATCAGAGGATGCTGCTGGCTCATACAGTAGTAGGACTTGTATAGCCAATCTGGAGACCTGTTCCTCCTCTGTTGACCTCCTCCTCCTCCTTTATCCCCTTCTCCAGACTCTCCTGCCCGGTCCAGGAGATACCGCTTCCTCCTTATTGCCTCTTGCCACATGGATCTTGGAGCTGAGAAGGAGGAGGAGGAGGGAGAGAAACTACAGGAGGCAGAAGAGGTGTTCACTGCTGAGGTATTTGTAGTTTCCACCACAGATGGGGAGCAGTTGCTCCGTTCTGCTCCCCTGCTATTGTTGTTCCTGTTGGGGACCCCGGCGTGAGAACTCCTGATCTCCAGCGTATCCTTTGGATCCTCCTCCACCTCCTCTCTGAAGTCCTTCAGGCGGAGACAACTGATGGCTGTGGGAGAGTCTGAGTCAGAGGCAGCGCGCGCTGACCGGAGGAGTGGCAGGAACGCACCGAGGGTAGAGCGCAGCATCCTCCTCTTTCTCCTCCTGCCAACATGTTGAAGCGGGAAATGAAGGAGAGCACAGAGGCTGAGAGCTCTTAAGAGTGAGGGAGAAAAGTGGGAGGGAAGTGAAGGGAAAGGGGAGGGAGAAAGGGCTAAGGGGGAGGGGAGGAGAGGAAAAGAAGGTGCGGCAGTAGCGAGAAGTCAGAGAGTGAGAGCAAAGAAAATTAAAAAATAGGAGACATTACTATGCTGACTTTAAACAGTAAGAAGTAGAAATGCAATGTGCTGATTCAAACTTGAAACCTGGAAAACACTAAGAAGCTCGAGCAGTTTCTACTCAATTCCAGATTTCACACACCCAACTCAATGAAACACAGTGTAATTTTTAAACCAACCCCTCCTGTATCTCTTTATAATGTTAGCAATTTTATGACTGCATAATTTGGTGAAAAAGTTCCCCAGAAAGTTTCCCAGTAGACAGTAAACTATCCTTAGATGTATCAAAATGCACAGGATGATTAATTTCTTGTGTGGGAAGATAAAATCTAAATCGCTGGTCCTGACTTTGATCATTTTAAAAGACCTGCTGAAAAAATCTGTTTGGTTTGATCCGAACTGTTTGCTGTGGGAAGACTTCGATCACACATGAGTCAGTGGTTTCAAAACCATGGCTCCTGAGTTACGTGCCATGAATTTGAAAACAAACTTCATGCATTATTTGACCTAAATACCACATGCATTCAAACACAGACGTACAAAGACAGAAACCTAGATTAATCATAAGTTCCAGATCATCCAATCTGCTAGAACCACATACTAATTTGATTGCTGCATGTTAATTGGTACTAATTACAACTCACAGCAATCAAATCATAGCTGTGCATATTAAAACCCGTAAAGAATGTTCAAAAGCTTGTTAGGGTTTTCTCTTGGGTTTGTGGGAGGTTGTTCTTTTATTCAACAGCCTTTATTTATGTAATTTAGTGGAAAAATAGTCTGCCAATGAAGGATCTATCATCTGTGTTAGTGCCAGGATGGTTGAGAGGCTGAAAAGTCAAGTGTCTCAACTGTTTTCCTACTCTGACATTATGTTCAAAAGTGTCTTAATATTTATTTCACAATAACCTTTCAGCTGATTTATTCTTCACAGTCACATGCTGTATTTTCTTTAGGACCAATTTCATCTTTTAAGTGGTGTCTCGTTTTATTTCGCCCCTAATGTGCAGCGTACACATATTTAGTTAATTGAATGTTATCTAAATGTATTGTGTTGTAATTTTGTTGTTATCTCTCACACCCTCTGTCTCTGTCTTATCTAAATCCTTTGCCTTTCTCCTCTTTCCTCACAGGAATCATTGCAGCTTCATCTAATCTGATTTAATTATTGAGGCCATCTTTTTTATAACTAAATCAAAACTCCATGCAGATGTTAAAGCATGACACAGCAAACAGCTGTAAAAGCTGTAAGCTTATACCAATACCATCCTTCTGCAGTTGATGATGGAGATATTGGGAGAAGCAGTGGCATGCAGCAGTAAGAAACAGTGTACCTCCATTCCTTAGATCTCTTTACTCATCATCATTCCCTGCATGTCATCATGTACTTTCTTTCACCTCTTTTCTCTTAATTCCCCGCCTTCACTTCTCACACATCTCTTCTCATTTTCCCTGCCACCCTCCCATCTTCCTTATGCTCCCCTCTTCATCTACCCCCTCCAATCCTTACCCTCTCACCTCATCTCTCTTTGAACCCCACCATTCACTCTCCCCTTAAATCCTCTTTTCTTTCCTACACTCGCGCTTTCAGCATCTTTTCCCTGAACCTCAGCCTCTGAATCCCTCACCTAATCCAATATTTCCCCCCTCCACCATTTCCCACTCCAGGCCCTTCAGGTTCCTTAATCACATGGCTTTTAATTTCCTTTCCCCTTCCTCCTCTCCTCCTTCATCCTCTCATAATTTTCCATAATGGCAGCTCTACTCTACCCTCGCCTTGAAGTCTGCCAACCAACATACTGCCTTTACTCCATCTTTGACCCTTTTATATACTTTCTCTTAGCTTTAGCTTGATGAAAAATGACAGTTTCTCAATTTTTTGTGTCCTTTTGAATTCAAAAGTTAATTCTCTGTATTAAAAACTGCTCATGAATCATTGTTAATGTCACACAGAGTTGTAAGTTATTCAGACATCTAAACATACCAGAGATCTTACTTGGCTTTTTTCCCACCTGTTATGCTCCCAAACACAGTGTGATTAGGTATTTTTCCCAACTGTGACACTCTGTGGATTTCTTAATGGAATATTAATACTTTGTTTCCTTTTACAAATCAGCCTTATCTCTGCTCTTACTAAGGCTGGCATCATCTGCTTATTGTACAACATAATTGGGCTGTTTGACTCCTTGTTTTAGACTTTAATGGAGAGTAGTGTTGAAGGTGCTAATGAAAACAAACATTACAAACTGAACCTCAACAAAGTTTTACAACATGAGATACATGGATGCTTGTTTCGACACAAATTAGGTGGTGCCGACAATGCTAAAAGATAAGCCCACCACACAAGCTGAAAAACCAATATCAGCGCCCTCAACTTCATTCATTTCATGTGTCTCGGGAAAACTTATTGTACATCTTCTTTAGATGTATCGGAAAATCACATCTATTTTCTCTTCTTAAAATTTAAGACATCAGAGAATAGCCGGAGGTTTTGATATTTTGGGGGAAAAACTCTACAACAACGCTGTTTGTGCTCTCCACTTTACTGATGACTCTTTCATAATCAGTAGCCTGTGCAAGCTGGATTTGCACCTTGACTGAAATCTGGGGTCCTTTCATGGAGAAAAGACCTTCCATGCAGGCTTGGAACCGCAAGCTGTGGGTAACATTGAAACAGCAGCTAATTTAACAATAGCTGGCTGCTGATGGCTAAAATAGGGGACTAATGGCTGGCCTCAATCATTTTCTGTAAAGGCATAACTTTCAGGTCGTTTCATTGCTACAAAACCTGACCTGAGGGTGTGCACAGGACAGCGTGCACTTTAGTCAGCCATATGTTTTACATTACTTTTATGGATTATCTGTGTATCTCGTTTACGTTTAATTATTTCTCAGCTGATTTAAAAGTGTTGTCTAGTAGTAGTTTTGTTTTTATCATCTGTCTCAGGTTTTATTAAATTTACCTCCAGTGTTTCCTCATGAACTCAAGATATTGTGTCTTCAATCCTTAGTTCCTGATTTTGATTGTTTTTAGTTTTATTTTGTGATATCATTTTTTGTTGTTTAGTTTAGTTTTGTTCATTTATTTATTGTTGTTGTTGTTTGTTTTGCTCGTGTTGACCTGGATCATGAAAACAAGTTTTTTTGTTTGTTTGTTTGTTTTTTTGCACTTTGTGTGACATTTTGGTTGTTTGAGAAGTGCTAAACAAATAAAGTCTGATTGATTAACTGACTGATTGATCATTGGAAATGCAGCTAAAAAGAAGTGTTTCAAGAAGAGGCTAAATAATGATAAAAAGCAGGGTTTTCACAGCAGGACTATGTGATAAATAAAGCTTTTTTTTTAGCTTTAAATCACACAGAACCACTCTACGGATATCCCAGACTTACATTATATTTTTTGGAGAGGATTCAAATTTAACAGCTTTATTACAGACCACATGTAAAGTCATGTTTGTTTGAAAACAATTTCCTCCCGTGATTTGCCTAATACTTATGACTTGTGTAAAACATGACGTTATCTGTTTACTTCTGTACCAAGGTGACAAGAGCAGCATCTGAAATAGTCTGCGAAGGAGGCAGAAAGCGGTGCGATGAATGCAAACATGTTCACTCACACAAAAGGTAGTGGCAGCTGGCAGATATTGACCTATTTCAGGTTAAGTGGAGGTCAAGACAAACAGACACACTCAGTAGACTGAATTTTCCTGAACTCCCACATAAAGCCACAAACACACTAACAAACAGAGAAGTGGCAGAATGTGTCTCATTAACAGCTGAACAGCCTCAAGTTGTCAATTCATTTTCCAGCTACTGTATTCTAAAATATATATGGGCAAAGTAAGCTTAAAACCAAACAAATCTTCGGAACAGGGTCAGGATAGTAAAGGCAGGATTCATGTGTTTTTTCTCTACTCTCTTTACTTTATTGCCAAGGCAATTTATCTGTATTCTCTGCAGGGGATCTGCACTGCATGGTAACCCTTTAAGCAACATCATGTGATGCTGTTCTAATGCTTTTCTCATTACCAAGAAGCTCTGGGAGGCACTTACCCTACTGAGAAAACTTCCCAAGTCAGCAGTTTTAATGGACAGGGTACAGTCAAGATAAGTTGGATGTTTTGAGCCTGAATTATTTTAAATATACAGTTTGATTGATATTGCAGTAAGCAAGTGATGGTCCTTGCAGATTCAAATCCGAGCAGGGTGACATGGAGTTAGACAGAACCTCTGCTTTAAATATTGCATTAAGCAGGGTTACTTTGCACAATGCATGACACAACGTAATGCAATTTAAAGCAAATTTAAAACTACATGGCTTTCACAGAATTTGATTGTCTTGAGTGTGTCGACTACATGCTTTTAAAAAAGTCTGAAGCACTGAGGCAACCTACCTGCACAGTCAACATACACTCACCGGCCACTTTATTAGGTACACCATGCTAGTAACGGGTTGGACCCCCTTTTGCCTTCAGAACTGCCTCAATTCTTCGTGGCATAGATTCAACAAGGTGCTGGAAGCATTCCTCAGAGAGCTTGGTCCATATTGACATGATGGCATCACACAGTTGCCGCAGATTTGTCGGCTGCACATCCATGATGCGACTCTCCCGTTCCACCACATCCCAAAGATGCTCTATTGGATTGAGATCTGGTGACTGTGGAGGCCATTTGAGTACAGTGAACTCATTGTCATGTTCAAGAAACCAGTCTGAGATGATTCCAGCTTTATGACATGGCGCATTATCCTGCTGAAAGTAGCCATCAGAAGTTGGGTACATTGTGGTCATAAAGGGATGGACATGGTCAGCAACAATACTCAGGTAGGCTGTGGCGTTGCAACGATGCTCAATTG